CATGTTAATCAGCCGAATGGTAAACACCAAGGGGAGCTCTTTAGAAATTTTAATTGAAGCTTATGGCAAGGTGTTCAGGGTCTCAGAATCATTGGCTCATTTTCTCAGGGGAAAATTCTCATTCGTTTCTCGAGGTCTGATTAGAATCTCAATTGAAGAAAACTCACTCGCTGTTTTTGCCCATTTTCGCACTGAAGCTCTTCGATTATAGAGAATGGATGGCGTACAAGTTCACCTTTGAAGCATTTAATGAAATGGATTGCAGAAATCACCTGCTGGAATCACACGGAAAGGAAAGAATTAAATATTTACCCTTCAATCATGCTCTCTCGGGCACCGCTGAGCTGAATGTTTGATCATCGGAGTCGAAAGCTCACACGAAGCTCGTCCTGACAAATTTGTGTGCGAATGGCAATCTTGAGGATTGCGACAGAGAGCAAATATGCCAGCAGGTCCGCACAGATGCCATTTGTCCAATTGTGATTGCAATTACAATGCCACGCTCTGTGTGAAAGTGAAGGGACCTCAACGACGCCCCTTTCCGATGGTGGGTGGTGAAAACACGGGCTCAATATGTGGTCGTGGAGACATTGAGTGAAAGTTTGTCAATGTTTATGGGATTATCGGGACTCAATTTCACTTAATATCGTGAGACAATCAATACCTTGCTCTTTCCTCTCCGCCTGACATTCGATTGTGTCTACATCGTGCTCAAGAAGTCCCCAAACCTCCGTCCTAAGCTTATGTACATGCTGCTCAGGATACATAATGTGGATGATACATCGGGAACTGCCAGCATCGGAGGGGGGCACACATAAGACATCGGGAAAAAGAGTCTCCCCTCCACTGATTTCCACCGATGGAAAATCAATCATTATTTTTTTGCTCAACTTCGCCAAGGAAGTCTTCGATGGCTCCGAGGGGACAGCAAGAGTGGTGAAAATCTGCACAGCAGTTATCAATCTCCTGGGATTGCTTTCTAAAGGTTTCCCATTCAATGTTCCATGAGAGTCAATTGAAAGTGGCAAGATAAAGTAACCAATGGAGAATGATTGCAGCATCGTTCGCTTTACAATTTTATAGCTTAGCGTGAAATTTATTTATAGCTGCTCTCTTCTCAAGAAGAACCAAAATTCACTGAATTTTGGCATTAAGAGTATTTATCCAAATAAAGATTGTTTGGCTATAATTTCAAAAGAAGTAGGATTTTATTAGAAATCCTCTAAAATACTATTTCCTTGCAATTTCCAATCCGTCGTGATCATTCTCCAAATCCTAAATCTCTTGAGTTTACTTCAACAAAATCCGATCCGCAGATACACACCCACTGAGGAATTTATCATGTGATTTAATTTCAGAGGGAAAAACCTCTGAGATTTATAGAGGACTATTGCGTCCAATATCTATGGCAAAGTGCCAGAAATTCCCTCTTGGTGAATAAGCCCGACATTATCGCAAAAGCTTTGGAAGATGATATGATTTTTTGCCTTCGTGATTATCAACTCTGCAACGGTTTCCGGATTAACTATTAACGTGATATTTTCACTTTTCAAATGGACATAGACGAGCCAGATGCAGGAGCGACTGGAAAAAAAACTGCGACAGTGTGTAAATTATTCATGGTGGAAAATTTTTAATTTTCCTCCAAAGCTGTGAGTGCACAGCCAACGCAAAGGCGACTCGGGGCGAGGTGGAAAAAGCCCTCGTGTTTAACGTGCATTTTAATCAGTGGAAACATGTGTTATTTGCAATAGAAACACATAAATCTGAGCCTGTGAGAAATTATTTATGGAATATGTTTTACAGCAAATCCACTCCTCTATTTGATTTGCAATTTAAACCCCTTTGCCGACCTTCCTAAATTACTGGGGCGCGTCCGTGGGAAAAATTACACACGACTGAGCTTTTCTCACCCCTGGGAATTTGTTAAAGAGGAACACTTCCTTTTTCGGGCGCCCCGAAACTCAATTAAAAGACTCCGTTTTTTCCACTCATCCTCTTCTCGCCAACGATGAAATATTGCCAAGTCAATGAAAAAAAGTATGCTCGGCACAACTCCGCAAAGATCCCCCTTTTCAGACACACTTTTCCACCGAAATTGTCAACAATTGAGTGTGAAGAAGAAAAATTGACTTGAAGCCAGAAAGTTTTGATGCTGCCCAAATTGCAATTTGAATCTGCTTCTCACACTCCACTTGTGGAAGATCAAAAAGTTGGACAAAACAAACATTTCCACACGGATGAAGTTTCCTTGTTGGAGTGAGATGAACAAGAATCCTTCGTCATATTATGCTTTATGGACAATTCTTTTTGTCCACACGATCAAGTCCCAGAATTGCTCCTTGCATTCAGTCAAACGTCTCGATGGATTGTCCAGAGAAAGTTGTGAGATACTTTTGCCCCGCAGAAATGTCAGGAAAAAAATAACATTGGATTTGCTCAAATTCACGTCTCGCTTTAGTGATTAAGGAATCAACAAAAATAGCGGGATATTGTTCAGATTTTCCAATACAACCCGATAACACACCTCATTGAATATTAATGAAGAATGGAAAATAAACTAATTGTTCCGATAATTTATTTACGCGCAACTGATGCATAATTTAGTTTAATGCAAATACCACTTTAAATTAATGATGCTCACTCATAGAAGCTTTGAAGTTGATTAAAAAGCCGTGACTATGAGGCTCAGAATACCACAAAAGCGGCTTTTGCATACCAAATAGTGCATTGATTTGTAAATTAATAGCAGTAAACCAAATTGCTGATTAGAAGTGCAATTTGTGATGAAGGAAAATTTACTTACGGATAAAAATCACACAATTGTAAGCAAAAGATCTAGCAAAAGTATAACAGAACTCGGTTTATGTTTTTTTTTATATTTTAAAACTATAATATTACATGTTTTGCCCATTTCCGAGAAGAATGGATACTTAAATACTCGATAAATATGTATATTTTCTGTAGTTTCCTTTAATCCACTTGGATCGCTTGGATCACTTTAAAATACCATAAATCCCCAAGCACAGCTCTCCGCAGCCAAAAATGCAACCCTATTCAAGTTTAATTCATTGAAAATCCACCCTCCCATTGAAAGCACTGCGGGGCGAAGAGAGAATGGGTCTGTTTTAAATTGTGGCAAATATGCTCCAAGACGCCATGACGGGTCGTTAATTACAGTGGGTGTGCAAATGACTAAATCATAGTATCGTGTCCAAGCAGACCACACTCACATGTGAGCAAATAAATCCTTGAATTTCGAGAGCTTCCACTGAAAAGTCCTTCGGCTGTTATTTACATTACAAACCGGACTTCTCTTGACGCCTAAGACACGAAGAAGCCAGAGCGAAACTTGAGAAAGTTTTTTGGAGTTGGTGAGGAAATAAAAGTGATTTAGACAAATTGTTAGCAATAGAATAAACTTTTACGACTTCATTTTATTCAAATTCCTGAATTTGTAATAGTTTTTCCGGCTCAACGGCTGTAAATCAAAGGGGGTGGCGATAAAGTTTGTGCGCTGAAAGGGGGTTGGAGAGGATAAGTTACAGACTGAAAATTGCAAATTGGTGAAAATTTCATTAATATTTCACGCATGATTGTGCGGGAAAGTTTGCAATAATGTGAACCATGGCTTCGCACTATCTAAGAGGGCCCTTAAGAGATCATTTAAGAAAATCCTCCTTGGCGTTGCCATAGCGAAACACCGTCCTCGCCACATCCCTTGGGGCGACTTGAGAATCACTTAAAATGTACTACATAATTTATAATCCCGTCCCAAAGGGTTATTTGTCTCGGTGTCCCATGTGATTATTTGCTGTGAAAAGTCTCTTGAGATTCTCAAGCTCGATTCTATAAAACGTCTTTTTATAGTGTGCGAGAAAACTATTTTGCCGCGAGTGCTTGCCCAGAGATTTTTCATCGACTCCGAGCTTGTTGCTTGGAAATGCATGAAATTTTTTCACATGTTTGCCAGTCCTCGATGGAAAATTACATCCCATTGTCCTGCGTCTAATCACGCCATATAAATTCCCTTTGACTAGCACATCCTTCACTAAAGACAAATCCAGCTGTATCTTCGGATACATCGTCAGTCTCCAGCTCCTCCAGGCACACAAACATACACTCACACACACACACACACATACGAACTCTCCCAGGGGGTGAACAACTCACGCCTCAGTTCCCACGGGGAAATATTATCTGAGTGTAGAACGATTCGTGTGGATTCTAGCGAGGCCAATAAAAATGCACACCTCATGCATTCTCCCGCTGGTAAATATCGGAATTTACTTTTATTGCCATCATATTGCGAATTTCACAGAGAAATTGTACTTTGAGATAGGAATTGTTGAAATCGCTCAACAATCATTCAGATAGAATATTTTCAATATTTCGACAATAAAATGTACAAATTCAACACATATTTCTGTGTAAATTTTGCATATTTGTGAAAGTTATATTTTGGTATCAGAATCAGAGTGCAGACTTTAATTTTCGAATAGATTGGCATATTAATCGGGTGGAGAAAGAGAAGAATTTCTAGGGTATGTAATTTAAAAAAAAAATGAAAGATTGTAAAAATATATATGTTGATGCGCAATAATTGTCAAACATTGTGTAACCCCTCGGACTTGACACCCATCCAAGCAATGCAGTTCGAGCACATTCAATTCTTCATGATCCTTTTCAACCCTGATCCCTGGGCAAGTGTTGCAGAGCATCAGCGCGGTTGCTAAAAAGTGGTTTCACCCCATCTGCAACAGTGCAAACAAAGCTCAGTTGTGTACACATCATTAGCAGATTGAATGGAGGAGCAATTTACGACGCAAGTATGTATATCGCAACTGATACGCCTCACCCCATAATCCTCAATAATTGTGCATGATACAAGGCTTGAGAAGCTACAAATAGCGGAGCCGCGCCATCCGGCATTCTAGTAGTAATCACGGAGTTTCCGGGTGCAGATCCGGATGTCACGGCAGTTTTCTGTGAGGGATCCTCCACAATATCCCAGTGTGTGACTAAGTAGAAGTTGACAGTTTTGGGACATGGATTGTATAGGAAGGAAAGATGGTGAGGGACGGAAAATGATGGAAAAATAACCGAGAAGGAAATTTCTCACAATTCACACTGTCTTGCAAATTGATATTTTATTGGATTGCTCCCAATGTGTCAGACGAAAGTCAATTCTCTGCCCTCTCAGTCACTGTCGTGCACTCGAGAGCTCTTCGCAAACACCATCTTCTTCATGGGTGACCCACGCCCGTGAAGAATCACTCTGTTTGGTCCGAGTTGAGATAGTTTTCATATCAGAATAATTTTCTATCAAATTGTGCGACACAACAGAAAAGTTTTTCAGCCATTCCTTCACCTCTCACACGCCCCTTATCCTCATCATTTCCGACCTTCTGCTCAGATACGTCCGCCCACAATGAAGAATTTGAGCTCAGCAAATAAGTGAAAGTACAGATGGTGCCAAATTCAATGGATATAAAAATTTCATCTAGATTTGGCAATATTTTTAACAATTGAGTGAGTGCAAACCTACGTTATAATTCAGATTAATTGTAACACAATTATAAAAATTCATATAAATGCAATCAATTTGATACGGCTGAAGCAAAGTAAAATAGCTAAAAGCGATTTTAAATTGCAATACCTATGTAGCTCAAATGTAGAGAATTAAATTTTGTCAATTACTATAAATATTTTATAGTGCGATATGTTTCTGACGTGTGATAAAGTATGACTAGACCAATAAATTTAAATTACATGTATTTTTTTTCTAACTGTGATGATATTTAACGAGACAGAAAATTTATAGTGATGTACTAATATCAAATTATCAGATAAATATATTCCTGTGAAGATTTGACGCTGAAATTTTAAAAATTTCTGCCATAATGCGAAACCCTGGAAATTGGTATAATTAATTCTTTATTGCTAATTCCGTATATTTCCCAGTTCACAAAATCATACTTCAAATGTCACCAGGAAGTTCCCAATGACTCTCTAATAACAACATAATACCGTCCGAGTAACTTTTGGCCAATTCGTGCAGACAATTGTGCCGTGCACATAAATATTTCTCTAGCAATCCCGAAAACTCCCCGTGGAGTAGTCGTGAGAGAGAGATCCCAACTATTTTTCCGCCCTTCAGCCGCCCACCCATTGTGAGTGAGTCAAAGAAATAATTTTCAGTTAACACAATTTCGTGGCACATTCTAAAGACCTCATGAAAAGTGCCCGAAGCCGCCTGGTCGTGGCAGAGGGTTGAATTTTTTCCTCTTTTTCCCCATCAACTGCCTAAACCTTCGCCCTGTTCGGAAGGTTTGATGGGAGTTGAAAGGGATATTTTTAATGTGGTTTTCCTCCTCTCTGGCATATTTTTTTTTCCTCTCAGTGAGGCTGTTTTCCTTCTGCGCCTTGTTTTTTAATGCTAATAATCCCGGACGTATCAGTTTGCATGTATAGCCGAGACTTTGGCACTGTAATCCTTTTTGCCCCTCAATGTTTTCCCACCATGCCGTGAAAATAGAGGCGCACCAGAAGGTGGAAAACACCTCTTCTGGGAAAAGTTAAAAGTTTATTAAATTACACGTGCACTTCTCAACGGTGCCATTTTCAACTCCTCTCCAACCTCGTGTGCTTGAATTTACATTATTTCATAGACAAACAGCAAAAGTGGCTCTGCACTGAGGAAAATCAGTCATTATATAGTACAAACCATAGGGATGAAAAGCGCACAGAGAATAGGGAATGGGAAGATTTTATGCGCTATCTTTCAACCTCAAACCAGCAAAAGCCAAAAAGCTCCCTCAGAAAACTTTCGCCGTCTCCCCCTTTTGCAATGTAAAATAATATTTCAGATGACTTTTATTTATGAAAAGTTGAGAAATAAATGCCACCAACTCTCCTCCGACATTCCCACTGAGCCACTTAATCCATTCAGAAAGACGGAGCTTTCTGTCGCAATCTTCATGGCAATGTCTCTCTTCCTCTACGGCCACATCAAACTCATCTCCTTCTAAAATCTTTTATTGCTCTTTTTCTCGTTCGACGGCCTTCTACGGGTTTTGCGAGGGAAGGGTTGTGAGACCACATCTCTCAAAGAAGTTATACTCAATATTTCTCAATACATTAAATAAAAATCTCCACATAAACCCCAAATACATATAAACTCTCAGACAAGTGACTGCGAAAAGATGAGAATTTTCCTCTCAGTGCAATTCTCTGAGCTAATTCAGTTTGCAAATAGTTCTAATTGCTTCAAATATTTGTTTTGCACTCCCAAATGAGATTCTCTTGCATTCTTGAGCTCTAAATTTGCCACACATACAGTTATTTTCATCATAAGAATCCACAAAACATATTGCCAGAGAGAACCAACTTACAGGTTAGAAAAGCCATGCAAAAATTTATTCATAGGAAAAACTTGCAGTTTGTTTACCAAGGACAAACAAGCGCACACAACAAAGCACGGAAGAGAATAATATATAAAGTTTCTCGTCTCGAAATTAAATCATTTTCATACCCAGGGTGTTTTCACTTCGCCCCGCATTTATGGATAGACGCTCATTGTACAAATTCATTTTCAAATCCACCATTGCAGATACATGCCAATTTCCGCCTGAGACAGTGAGATATGTTATTATTTAACTCGGGAGTGAGCTCAAATTAAATTTTCACAGGAAATGAAAGCTCGGGTGAGCGTGACAAATGAAAATCTCGTGTCTCTCACCCACTTTAATATTTAAAGAGGCCACAGTAATCAACTTTCACAATTAAGATGGAAAAGTAAAGCAATTTGCAGTGAGGTAAGTCAGCAGAGGATTTTGAGGTGAACTTGAGGAATTAGTTTAAAGAACTAGAGCGGAGAATTATCTCTCCTGAGGGTGGTTTTTCCTCTGATATTTGTTAATTCCAAGTCAAATAGTTCTTGCTCATTTCCAGAGTCTTTCACATTTGCTCCAGGTTTCCCTAAGGGAACATCACTCGCTTTGGTCTATGAATTAGACATGCAAGGATTTCTCTCCATTTTCCTGCCTCCGGTGCTTTTAGAAAATGGCTGTGATCTACATGAAATATAATTTGTATTACTAAATTATTTTCATGAAACCTCCTATCGCTGTACGTAATTGCCGTGTGACTACACCATAGTTTTCGACATTGTTTGCATTACGTTGATCGGTTTTATTCAAAATCCCGTAACTTTAATGGAAATGTTCATGGAAATTTTTGAATCGCATAATACATAATAGAATTGTTGAAATGAATACAGACCACATAATAGAAAATTCGACTCTTTCAGCTTCCTAGTGTGAAATCCATATGAGCATGAATAAATTTCCCACTGCCACATTCAGAAAGCTTCTCCCATTTTCACCTGTGTGATGAATTCAATTCCATCCCAAGAACATCCCATGAAAACCACCAAGATTACTCAACGCGGAGCACATTGAGCTGTTGATGAGCCCCCACCAGGCGCCCCCATCTTTCACCCTTAGCACCCAATTTCATACTCATCGTGAATCCAGTGGAAATTTGGCACGGAGTATCGCTGATTGTATGGCTAAATTGTGTCTTGCAGCTCTGCGGTGAGCATCAATTTGGCGTGATTCTCCTCAACGGCGTGGCAACGAAGGATGAAATGTGACTTCCGGTGATTCTGCAGCCTCACCGTCTCCATCCCCGCGGCCAGAGATGCGCTTGAGTCTGGCGAATCTCACGTGAGACACACATGAACTCTGGGTGGCACCTGTCGCCGTCCTGAGGACATGATTCCCCTGCCAGGCACACCCGAGAGCCATGCATTTGTACGGAAAATATGGTGTGGCATTTGTGGTGAGTCTCGACTTCTTTCTTCCGCCAACCTCATAACTCTATTAATCATGATCTCCGTGACTGCGGAGCGGCATGCAAAACTGCATCCCAAAAACAGTCACTTCACCGACATGCTCGAAAGAGCCTGGCCAGTGATTTATTCGCAATTATATTAAACGCGCTGTCGCAAAAAATCCCTCTGAGAAATTTGTGATTTTTCCTTGGTTTTGATGAAAAATTTTCAACACTAATTGACCTATGGGTAGAAAACGCCCACCCTTCCATTATTTGAGAAAGCGTGAGAGAGAGTCAGAGGAAATTGAGCGCGATGCTGAAAAAACACACATTAAGTGAAGTCGTTTAATTTAATGAATTAATATAGGGGATGTTTCTGAGTGGATGAACCTACCAGGGTTTCAGTGAAGGGTGCAAGAAATTTCACGAATTTCCCAGCTTTGAGATGTTTTTTGCGCCGCACTTTTAAGGATTAAATGGGGAAAATGATGCCTAAAGGAGGGTGCACATTGATGGGGATTTCATCAAAATGGCCTTGTCAATGTTATTAAACTTCATGAGAGATCATTTCACTTTCCATGAATAAAAAAAGTGAAATACATAATTAAAATATACCATTTTGTTTCAAGTTTATGAACTTATACAGTGCTTTTAAATTGGACATTTCTGTGTAAAAATTATTAAGTACACGCCAAATAAATGGAGAGCTATGTGCTGTTTCATATTTTTTACCATTATAATATTTGCAAAAACCCGTGGTTTCGGTCTGTTCAATTTTCTCAATTAACAACAAATGAAGTAAAATTATCATGCATTTGGTTATCATTTGTTTTCCGGAATATTCATTGCAGTATTTAAAATAAAATGAAACTCAATACTGCATAGTAAATAACTCCATAATTGAGGTCATTGATCAGAGATTTTGCAGAACAAAGAGGAAACAATCCCTTCCTCTCAACTGACAGAGTGTCTGGCCGACGGGAAAACTCGTCGATTGTGAATTGTAATTAAAACAAAAGCCGTAAGAGAGGTACTTTTGATGATTTTCCTGAGTACTTCTCAGCATCATTTTTTCTTTTTATGAATTTTTTATTACTCCCGCCCAACCCCTAACAATATGGCCTTTCTTATCTTCCACCGAACCTCGCAACATCACTGCACAGCGTACAAAAAAGGAAAATTATGAAGATGAGCAAAGAATTCACGTGAGGATTGAATTGCACGAGGATTTAAGCAATAAAAACAGGAATGAAAATGCAACGAAAAGAGGAATTGCGTCCAATAACATCTGTGAAGATGAAACATATTGCAAGCCCTGCAGCACGAGTGGGAGAGAGCCTTGTTATTTGTTACTAATTGTATGGATCATTTGCTGTATCGTTAGGAGTAGATATTTTCTATTGAATTTGATATCGACAGCCAATTGTGTGAACACCGTTGGAGGCATTAATCACGACGCCAAGGAGAATCACAGGTACGCTCATTTATAACAACTATATATATATTGTGCTGTGCTACATTCATTGGGGCAAATTGAGTGGGTCTCGTGCCAAGTTTTCCAGTTGAAAGTGTTTTTATGTTGCAATGATGAGGAGAACTTGTATAGCGTTGTGGTGAATAGCACTCATTTTTTAGATGCCATGATTTTTGAAAGAGCTCGAAATTGTGCTCTAAATTTTTATACACACAAAATTGTTCGGTATTTTATAAACCGGAAGTAATTGCACCAGTATTTATCATAGTTTTTTTTCTTTGTTCTAGAAGTCGTCCTGAATTCATTGTTCATTTTCCTCATTCATGCAAAATTTCCAACAATTATACAATTGCATACTTTTCTTGCCAATCACAAAACTTTTTGTATGATTGCTTAAAAGGAATTTATGTACATACAATAAGATATAGCGCTCTTAGTATTCCAACTTACAATGCGAAAACGATGAAACAATTTGCTTTTCACAAAAGATCAAATATAGGCAATAGTGGTCAAGAAAAAGAAATGTTTGTTTGTGAATACAATGCCAAAATGTGCCCGAATGTCACCCCAGCACATTGGAATGTCTTGTAACTCAGCCATAACCACCCCAAAAGCCACAGATTAACTTTGCTGTGTAATCTTTAACGGAATGGTGGGCATTTGTGACGCAATCCTGATGGATATCTTCTTTAATCGCAGGCGAATTCGACGATGGATTCACATGGTGGGCACAATCAATTTGTCCTCGGGACTGTGCTCGATATCATCAGTGCGGGGCGAGTGTGAGCTTGGGGTGGAGCGTGGCCGATTGTGGCGAAGCGTGTGGGCATTTTGTGCCTCGTCACTGCCCCACACCGCCCCCCTGGGTCACGTGAGATGGGCCCGAGCCGTCACGTGTCGGTCAATTAAGCAGGAGTACAACGGCGGAGTCTGTCGAGTGCACTGGACGGACTCTCGGCCGGGCAGACTGGTGCTGACCAAGAGACTGAGCCGCCTGGTCAGCACCCCATCGCTGGTCCTCCTCATCGTGCTGCTCTCCGTCGCCTCGGCATCCTCGCACACCATCAAGTACAGTACAAATGTGGTGAAGACCAAATACGGACCACTGCGTGGCATCATCGTGAGGACCAACCCGCCCGTGGAGCTCTACGCCGGCGTCCCGTACGCCAGCCCGCCCGTTGGCAGCTTAAGGTAAAATTTACGCACCTCCAGGGCTCTCGATAAGAGGCTTAAGCCCCACAGCCGCCCACCACCGCCCGTGGTATCACAGCCTCCCGCACTCCTTTCTCTTCATTATGCCTGTGCATGGCGGTGATTGTAGTCAAACAAATTGCCGAGCGATATTTGCCTTTGATATTAAGATATTCAATTACGCCCCGTCGTCGTAAATTTCACGAAATATATACTGTATATTGAGTAGAAACTCTGCCGGCAGCATTCTTGGGGTAACTTTTGAGTCTTCACATGCGAAAGATATAGGAAAACTTAAATCATACCATAAACTACACATAGTCTATTGACATATTGATATTGGATGGTAATTGATTTATCTCCGTTTATATTCCTTATCAGTGCGGAGGAATTTTAAACAAATTGTGGGAATTGGCTTACAATATCGATTGAGAGAATAGAGGAACTTGGCACAAATATAAGCTAAGCTGTGGGAAATTTATCAAGTTTTACGTTATGTACCAAAGAAATATTGCGAAATTCTGCCGTCTTCGACTTAAAGTTTCTTTTTCATACATATGAACATATGTATAATCTTTTCTATTGTTTAAGTTCAATAGTCGTTCGTTCTTTCTTGCTTGATTTATATAGAGAGTATTTTCATAATAACACATCACGAATTTTTTCAACTCGAATTGATCAGTCTTCCACTCAATTGAAAATCTGCTTAGACATTTATTCATTAGGCCCCCATATTATCCCCACCCGAAATACCTGATCCACGTTGAGACGAGACTGGCATCATTATTTTCCCTGACACGTGCTTTAGGCGGATAAAAAGGCTTAAATTGACGCGATTACCTGCGAGCTAAAGGTGGGAAATCTTTCTCTGATATAAATATTCGATAGAGGTGTTTGGATTTCTTCCTCACTTGCTGGAAAATCAATTTCCTCCCCCAGCGGTGCACGACTGCGAAGACGTCGGCACACTTTGTCGTTGGGAAAGAAGCCATTAGGAATACAATTAGGTGGGTATTTAATTAAAAATTTTACCCCAGGGAAGGACGCTATCAATCTTCGAATGAGCCCTTGAAGGAGAATCACAGAAGTGCACTGGGATTTCTCATTAAATCCTCCATGCACTATTAATCACTGGATCGGTGATGAATTTAATAAGCTCGCCGCAGCAGGTGAATATTGAAAATAGCAGGTAGTTATTGGGGAAATTCCTCGAGAGAACCCTCAAGGGCCCTCGTGATCTCTGGAGACAATCATTTTTATTCATCCCAGCACACACCCATACCATTTTACCCCCGCAGGCGGAAATTAAAGCATGAATTTTCCACAATTTTTGTCCTCCACTTCCGTCTGCCGGGGACACTCTTGTACGATAAATTCATTGTGTGCGCCATCGAGATTGTTCGATGGTTTTAAAGTGAATTGGAAAGAGCTTTGTCATGGCTTTTCCTCGCCCCTTTCCCACCTCCCTTTGAATTTCTGCTAACGTGGAATCTACCCTTGAAATTTTCAGGAGGAATTTCAATCTCTCCACTCTAAAAGAGTTCCACCGCAGATTTGAGGCTTCAACAAGTTTTGCCCACTAAAAATTTCCCACGAAAGCAAAACTATACCGAAAGCTTTTACCGACAGAAAAAAACCTCACCCTCAGCCATAGCTTTGAGGTCTCTGAGATGGCTGCTGTACTTTCAAAAGATAATTCCTCCCGATCATTCCGTATTCATCAGCAAATGAGCTTCTCTATCACCATTGGGAATCTCCGTGCCGGAGCGAAAGCTTTCGCAAGCGGAAAATTAAAGTTCGATCAAAATGACCACTTCCCATGACAGCACATGAACTTTTTTTCCCACTGTTCAACCCACAGTGAATTACACGAAACACCCGCATCGGAATCTGCATCAGTCAATCTGTTAGATGGAAACTTTTGGCAACTTCCAGCAGAAGCTCAAGTTGCATATTTGAGACATGTTCTTCTGGCAAAACTTCCCAATCAATAATTCGTTAGCAGTTGTGCAATAATTTTATGAAGTAGTGGCAGCTCAAGTTGCTCTCGACATTCTTGCTTCGTTACTGTGTTGCAGAGTCAATTAAACTGGGAATACTGGATGGAAATCGGAGATTAAATTTCTCAACTCAAATATCATTTACAGTGAAGATGTGCACATTAACGGAATGAAAGTTTGATGAAATATTTTGGAGACGACAAAGATTATGAGTTGATAATACAATCTTAATGATCAGGTGTAGCTGCAAAGTATTTTATAAAGTGATATTGCGTATTTAATTTGGTATTAAAGTACTTAATCTGCATTGCTATTTTTGTAACTATTTTACAGAGTTTTGTTTTTATGATATGAATCTTCAATTACTGCGCTATGGAGAAAAATAGAATTATAGTCAATGTATTTCTTTCCAAACAATTAGATAAGGATGACTGATTATGTGTAGCAGTGCCAAAATGCAAATAATATAATAATTGCTGATTCAAGAAAACATCAAGTGAGACTTTATCCAAAAATAGCGTGCAAGTGTTGTCAATTTGGGACTTTTGGGTTTCTTCTGCAAAACCTCCGTTCATGGAAAACGATTCTAGCGTGATGAAGCGATGGGATATGTGAAATTCCGTGTGATGCCTCGAGAAGCACAATTATCCACCTGCCCAGTAAATTTCCCAGTATAATGATCTGTGGAGTGACTTTGACTCTTATGACCTTGTCACGACAGACAGTGAGCCTGAGAATCCCTTTCAGAGCTCGCGTGCCCAAGGCGAAATTTTCCGGCTGTGTGAATCTGACGAAATGATGGAGGAAAGCTCATAAATCCAGGCCCAGTGACAGTGAGAAATATTTCACTTAATTTCACCACAAATTGCCCTGACTTATTAACCCGCGCGGAGCCTATAGAAAAAGATCTACACTTCCTTCCACATCCGTTTTTCAGTGGTCGGGACGTTTGCCGCGGATGTTGGTGGGCTTTTTCGAGAAAAAAGAAATGAAATCACTTGTAAATCTAGAGCGGATATTAAATTCAATGGTGTGTAAATCTATTTGTTCGTTCTGGTTGCGATAGAGGGAGAAATACACTAAGAAGTCGAGCCTTTTCCACTTCCACCTTCACCACTTGCGACTATGAGGCGGCTCAAAAAGAGATGGGGTGGATAGATGGGATTTGTGATTTCTGGAAACGAAGAGAATGGATGCATTCGGACAAAAGTGTGCCGAATCTATCCAATTTCTCAACTCTGTTCTCACTTTTTCCTCTCATGGATATTTTAGGTGAGTTTTTGCACTGATACATGCTTCCTCTTTTTTTTTTAAATAAAGGTACATGCCACCGGTCACGCCCTCAACGTGGAAGAACATAAAATTGGCAGATCGCTTCCCACCGGTTTGCCCCCAGAAGGTGCCGATGCCGCCAAATGGTGCCCTCGCCCTCCTCGACGAGCCCCGCGAGCGTCTGGCTCAGCTCCGTCGATTTCATCCCTTGTTGGCCAATCAATCCGAAGACTGTCTATACCTCAACCTCTATGTGCCGAAAAACGGTGAGTACTTTGCCCGGGAATTAACCTCTGCCCCTCAGCCGCCCACTTTCCGCCCCTGTAGTTTTTCTATTGCCCAAATTATAATAATTTAAATATGTCTCTCGTCACCCCTCGATCGGCCCCGCCGACAAATTGCAAACGAATTGAATTTTCATGCGTCACGAGAAATCCAAACAAACTCTGTCCGTCAGGAGGAAATTATTAATTTTTCCCTCATCAAATTACAACAACCCCTTCGCCCACTGGGGTGGACAGAGAAAGATGGGGATGCCACACGCCAACCTCGGTCGGGGGTGAATCGCATGACTGGGAGGTCGTTCGATAGCATCCCAGCAACAGATTGCTGTTTGGAGGAGTATTTTAAAATTTCACGACGAGACTTTCAGCTGCAATTTTGAGTGGAAAGTTGCAGAAATAGCTCGAGAGGGTGGACCATAAATTTTTGATAGGATCCTCTGTTTGAGCATTAAGGGTTGAGCTCTAAACAAGATTATATTGTGAGCTAATTCACATATAGAATATAAAAGAGTTTGCATTCACAAGCTCGTTATTATGTTAGTAAGCATGAGAAAGCAAAGGGTTCGTTATTTTCTGAGAAGTATGGCTTCAGAGGCTACAGCAAAGGCTTTAGGGCGATTTTATCACTATAAATTACTTTCCTACCAATGCAGGAGAATTTACCAAAGCTTTGAAACAACAAGGACAATATTTATCATTATGACCGGCCCCTTATGAAGCATCATTTTTGGGAGAAAGAAAGAGCACAAAAAGTTTATTGGTGCTAATATTGATTGCATAAGAACAAGAAGATGGCATAAACTATACCGCGAAATAAAGGGAAGAGAGCGCGCGTTTCCATTTTCATAAAACAACCATCATTTCGCGTGAGTTTATGCCGAAGAGTGACTGTTACGATGATTATCCTTGGCTTTATTGACCAAAGCCCTGGAGCAGGATTATTGATTCCCAAATAATGAGCCGCGGAGAAAGTAACGCGAGTGGATTTCATCAGTTTCTGTGTTGCAGAGCTCAATTTAAATTTTCAATTCGCATCTGGTGAGCTTCTTTTTTGCAGGACTTGCAAGAAATTTCATATTTCGCTAAATCCTCTCTCACTGCCAGGCACTTCTTGCCAGGGACTAAATGAAAATTTCTTCGAGCAGACGCGATTCACATGGGTAATGTTATGAGGATAAATTTCCTTGAGAGAATAACAATGCGCCTGCAGTGAAAAATGGCCAGCCATTTGAATTTGTCATTGGCCGGGGAGATTCTTCGCACGTCATTTGTTCGGGGTTTTAATTGATCAATTAGTTAGTGTAGCGGAAAAAGCATCAAGCCGAGGGTGGGCGAATCGATGTGGGAGTTGACAAAATATCACATTTAAGAGCTTTTCCGGCGAGAAAGCATCTCTATTGACTTCCTCTCTGGAGCAGGGGAAATTGAGTTGATCCACATGATAAGGCATAAATTTTGTATCTAAGTTGCTCGGAAAATATCACTCGGACTTGGATAAACAGAAACTCGATATGCAGCTCTTAATTATTTACCCAAAACTCTCTCTCTCTCTCTGATTTCTTAACACAGCGCTTTTCTCGCCAGTTTGAAGCTAATAAAGCTCATCAATTGAATTATCACAGAGTCTGTGCGACAAAAACAGTCACGCTAATTTTCACTTTAATACCCATAAATCATGCAACTGAGCGTAAGTATCGCGATGCTCGTAAATAATGAACAAATTTTCATTCTCAACCATGAATCATCATGCAATTGGGGGTGTGCAAAAAAGGCGGCAAAGTGCTGTGCTTATGGTAATTGAGGGCGGGGGAGAAGCATCAAATGAGCTTCACACCACTTTGTCTAATGATTCAATAAATTGAGGAGATTTTTGCCCTCGAGTGGAGGCAAAGAAAACAAATCAACGGGGTTCCACTAAGCTCAGCAATCTCATTCCTTTTTTTCTCCTTGCATCTTGACGCTGAACATGACGTCAAGGGGCTGACAAGTGGGAAAACACCTGCCTCGTAATGTCCTTTGCAATTGTCTGCTTTCTATTGCAATTTAAAAAACAGCAGTAATAAACGTAATTTATCCGCCCTTTCTTTCATTTGGAAGTGTTGAAAGAATGTGATTTTTAACCTGTGCGGTAAAAAATGTTCCCGAAATGTTATCGTGCAATCACGTAATTAAATGGAACAGATAGAAATTAATTAAATTGGCAATTAATTTCAAATTAAAATATTCACGCATTGATGGGGTTTTTCGTGTGACGTTCAGTTTTTCCATTGACACTCCGCGCCTTGTCTCATCGCTCCCAATCAATATTAATTGATTGGGTGTCTGTGGAATTTTTAATGAAATTTTAATGGAATTTTTAATGAAACGCGTCGTGAAATTAAGATTTAACAGTAAAAAAGCCACCACGCGACCACATCTCATATTTTCTGCATTAAATACAATATTTACAAGACAATTTTGAACCCATCAACACACCATTTGCCATTCGGGCCCATCGCGTGGGGACATTTTCTTCTGAAGAGGGCGACTGAAAATAATTTTGCCATCATTTCGGGTGGGAAACATAATTTTACCCATCGTCAAATTACCAAGTGGCGAAATCAATTCTCAATAATTCACACAATCTATCTCGATCGTCGGCAAATTGATTTGCGCGTCTGAAGTTTGGGTGGATGATTGAAAACTTTCTCTTTCTCCCTCTCTCGTGTTCCTTTTGTAAAATAGCTGTGGGGAAAAAAGATTTCCATTAGCAATTTAAAGAGTGGTATGGAAAGAGACATTCGTCGTTCAATTAGTTCTTGAAATCGACCTCAATTCCGTAGTGCATTGCAGTGTGCTAAATTGATCAATTGCAAGCACTGCGGGAGTGAAGTTGATGGTGAGAAAGGCAACATTTTTCTCCACTGCTAATTACAATCCATCGCAATGGCAGGGATTCAATTACTCATCCTATATTTTGGGCTAAGTTTCAATAGTTACCAGAAAATTTTTATATGCCCATTTGTTACTGATAGGGTGGAAAAATTTGAATATTTGTGAATTCTCCGGCGAGGAAAATTTATGACGACCCAGTCTGTGGTATTAAAACGCTTTTTTAGGCATCACCTACACAATTCCCCGCCCGCTCACCTAACCGGCGATGACAAGATAGAAATGAAAGAAAATTCTATAAAATTTGCATATATAAAATTTTCTCCCGCCCTTGCGAAAAGCGGCATTTTTCAATGAGATCCTCTCACCACAATTTATTATTTTATCTCCTGTGCACGGGCGCGGGAAGAAAAATGAGGTGCACAGTGACGGAGCTGAGAATTGTCTCCTCCGGGGAGATTCTCCAATCCTGGAGAGGATGTATTGATTTTCGCCACGCTGGTGAGCATTTTCAATTGAGGAGAAAATTTCATCAGCGCGACTTTTCATGCAAAACACGAGGAGTTTCTTCACTGAATACTTAGTCACGGTGCGAAGCTTCTTATGTTGCTCAAATATTTGATTTAAAGTTTTATAAGCGGAGCAAAATATTATCATTACATGATTACTTTTCCGAGCGTGCAAATTTGTAAATATCTACATAATTATGCATTTGAGCATAAAGTATTGACTTCAAATTTTCATATGAAATTTTCCTCCTCACAAACACCCTAAGCAGCTTCCATTCCTTCAGGGAAAAGGGTTTAGCTTCTCAACGGATTTTCTTGGGCGCCCCTTTGTGACTTCAGCACATAAAAGGAGATCTCATGAACACGTTCAATTTCACTCTCTCATTGACATCCTCACACACGACCTTCTCTTCCACGATAAACTCTCTGACTTTATTGAATTCAATGGAGCTCTAAATGCTTTTCTTTCCACTTCACCCGACTATTCAGAGTGTCTCTCTCACCAGGGTTAAAAAATTAAAAGCAATGAACAAAAAGTTTTCCACAAAATGCATTTGGGATGCTTTAAAATGAAACCAGAAAAGGATTCACCGTAATTCTCTTGGGTGGGTGTGTTTGACCAGTTTATAGGGACTCTTCGGGCGTCTATTCATTACATTCGACGTCGAATGGGATTTTCTCCGTTATGCATAAACTCCACAATCTTGTGCTAAATTCAACTCGTTGCCACATGCTGGGATTTTTCTCCTCCCCAACAAGAATCTGCACATTTCATTTAAATTGGGAAATGCACTCGGGAAAAGTGCGCTGCTTGAAGAGAAAATCCATACTTAACAATGTTGATTTGAGAAGATATTCTAATAGAATTGAGTTGAGGTGAAACAAATATCCTTAGCAGAACAACTTTCAAAAAATCATTTTCTCTCCCTCTTATTCACTCTCATACTCAAGGCGCCTGCAGTGTTCAGAACAAAGCCCACGCTTTCCTTACAAAATTCAATCAACTGGAGTCTTAGATCTCAGTGATCTGCTCCATGAGTTCTTGTACCCATAAATCTCGGCAGTGCCTTTGTTATTTGTCTGGGTGTTCTTCTGTGTTCAATTAACCAGTAAGCTGTCTGAGGAAATCCTCTGAGAATTCGCGAATGGAATGTGAATGGCATTCAATGCTTATATTGACGTCTCCCGACGAAAATCCATGCGACAATGGAATAGTGTCTGGGACATTGAATTCACGTCGAAATCTCACATCATTCCTCACGACGAGAGACAGTGCAAAATAGCAAAATCCATACCCAAGAGTGTTTATTGACTCTGAGCGTTTTATTGAAAAGCCATGTCTCCCCATGCCTCTGACCACAAAAACCACCATCTGGTGCATGTCAATAAAAATCAAATAATTTTCATTCCACCCTCATTTTGGGGGTGACATAAAATCATTTCATTGCTCATCATCAATTTTGCCACAAGTTGAGGCGCGCTCGTAAAAATCACCGCTGACTTTTGGCGGGAAGTTGAGGTGAATTTCCACTGAAAATTAATGAGTGCTTCCCGCCTGAGATTTTCAGAGCGTGTCCCACGAACATAAAACGCCCTTCCAGGTGTATACTGAGAGGGTCCATACGGACAATTTATGCTCACTTTGCAGCATCGCTTTTTAGTGCCTTCCGCCCAGAGATACGCTTTTTAAGTGAGCACACGCGATGATACCCATTGTTTCTATTCTTTTCCGCACGCTGTCGGCTGGGGAGCTTCTCCCCCGCCCGTCAGTGGCTTAACTACATATTTTGTCCGCCAATGACTTTCCCACCATCTTTCCGGAGGGATAAATCCCCAATATGGCGAGCAAGAGATGTTTGTTGGGGAGTAAAGAAGTCAGCGCCGAGGGGCGGAAAACTCCATGTCTACATAGTCTCAAAGTTTCGCCACTTCTCGCCCCCTGAAATCCGTTAACGATCCAATGCCGTCCCCATATCGTGTGGGGTGGCTGAAGATGTTGACTGTCTGCGTGAATTAAACATGCGGAGGGTGTGGAAATGGTGGAAATGCAATAAAAGTCTATGTGAACACTTCGAAAATGGGGATGATCTGGTACGCCGAGGCTCAACTCGAGCGTGGCTGGCTCATTTTTTTTCTCTTTGTCTTGTACGAAAAACTAATGAATTTATTTCTCTCCTTCTCATTTCATGGACACGAGTGTAGTTAATAGTGAAAATGGGGATCAGAATCGCTCATTGGCAACAATTGTTTACATCCATGGTGAATCGTACGAGTGGAATTCGGGAAATTTGTACGATGGCTCTGTCCTGGCGGCTCATGGGAACATAATCGTCGTCACGATTAATTTTAGATTAGGTGTTCTGGGTGAGTAGAGGCTCTTTGTCTTTTTTCCATGCTGTATCTATCTTATCTCGGTGTGCCCCTTTGCCTGTAACCCGGAACACGAGATAATTGCCTCGTTGTGGGGGTGTTGTATTTTATGTGTTGGATCTCGCCGAAGGTTTTCTCAAAACGGGTACAAAGGAAAGCGCTCAGGGGAATTTCGGCCTGATGGACCTCGTGGCTGGCCTCCATTGGCTTCGTGAGAATCTGCCCGCATTCAACGGTGACGCCAACAGGGTCACGCTGATGGGTCACAGCACAGGAGCAGCTCTAGCCAACATTCTCGTCGTGTCGCCCGTGGCAAGAGGTAAGCGACTGTCCGCAATACACTTTTCAATTCACATTCCAAAGAATTAAATTAGCTATCCTCCATACAATCCTGCCGCAACGAGATTAAAAAGCAATTTAGCAATGTCTCAGTGCTTTTGCGCCAATAAAAAGGAATTAATATGCAAAAGAGCAGGATAGAAGAATATCTCTATAGCTCATGAGATGAAGCGGTAAATTGCGAAAGGATTTTTAATTGAATTGATTTGCAGAGGGAAAAGACATTTTTCATAAATTTCAGCTTTTTAAATTGACAATTAAGTGCATTTAAGTGGATTATACTCTCGAAGAAATCACTATTAGCATTTATCTCAGTAGTTGCACTCTTTAAGAACTCGCAATCCTTCTTTAAACGAGAATGCTTCATTTCCCTCAGTCTAGAAAGTCAATGGATACTTTCTATAGTACTCATCACCGTTGAGAAGAGTTCTAATAAGGGATTAAGTAACCTCATGAAGACGTGGTCAATCGCTCTTCATGTCATCACTGCTTTCCCTTCGTACTTTCACCACTCGAAGCACTTCTAAAGCTGCCGATTGCCTTTCAGATTTGGCTGCACGGGCCATTCTGCTGAGTGGCTCAGCACTTTCGCCATGGGCTATCCAGAGAGATCCACTGTATGTGAAGAGGCGCGTCGCTGAGCACACAGGCTGCCATGGAGATCTCCTAGAGGACGACCTGGCGCCCTGCCTTCGCACCAAATCCCTCAGTGACCTCCTTTCCGTGACCCTGGACTCACCAAGGTAACCGTCTCGCACTCTGTATGCATATCATTTTCTCAGTCCTTCCCTGTCAGCGCCAAGACTCTCTCTCCGACTTAATTTTGTGCGTTAGTTTGAGATTAATTTTCACTAATTGTTTATAAATAACGAGGCACGAGGCGACATTTTTCGCGTGAAGAGGATATAAATCAAGAGGGTTTCACAATTGAGACGGAAATTGGGGGATTTTTGCACCAAGGGTGCGATGTTGTAATGAAATTTCTCGTCAAAAGAAGGCTTTTGCGAGGGGGTGTGGAAATTTGGAAGCGGAAGAAATATCGCTGAAAATGTGCGGAGACACACTGGGAATTATTCAAGCAATTTTCTCAGTATTATTTGGAATTCCTCGAGTCAAAACTTAATTAAATCATTCATGGGGAGGATTTTTTTCCCAAGGCGAAAGGAACCAAAATCGCATTTCTTTCGCACTGTCTGTGTCAGATGAATTTATAGGCTTAAGGAGGAAACAATTTGTACTTGAGAAAAAATCATAATTCCACTTAAAGATTTCTTCCTGGATTTGCTCCATTTGTCGATGGCACGGTCATCGTAAATCCCACCTCATCTGTGACAAATGCCTTGATCCTACCCACCGGATCCGCTCTGGCAAGGTGAGTCCCCACTCAATTTATGACTTTCCACAATTTCCTGGATAATAAGCTCCATGGGGGCAATAAAATAGTGCGGAACTGTGGCTTATATCTCTTCTCCTTCCCCCAATCGCATATCCTCAAATTTTATTGCTGTCCTCTCGGCCTGATGGGAAAAACTAAAATCAGTACCACTGGACTGGAGTTGGCTGACTTCCCAAGTCGGGAGCTGCTCTTCGGTCTCACCTCGATAGAGTCATACCTGGACCTTAGCGCCCAAGACCTGGAGTTCGGGTTCAACGAGACAAGGAGGGACCGCATCCTGAGAACGTACGTGCGGAACATCTATCACTACCACTTAAATGAAATTTATTCAGCTTTAAAGGTAATGCCATCCCAATATTTGAAGTTGTTGAGAAAGTGACTCCGTCTCTTGGGCTTCCGCAGAACGAGTACACAGATTGGGAGAGACCGCCTCGGAATCCGACAGGAGCGAGAGATGCGACACTTGATATCTTAAGTGATGGCCACACCGCAGCGCCGCTCGTCCGGCTTGGGTACATGCACAGTCTTCGCGGAGGACGATCCTACTTCCTCCATTTCAGGCATCAGTCCGGCGAACGTGATTTTCCGCAAGTAAGAGTTGCCTAAGAGTTAGATAACTGATAATGCTGTTCATTATTACCAGAATTCTCCAATATGTCCCCGTGTCAGAATTTTAATATAGTTGTTCGCCATTTCATGTTTTTTGTACTGATTTTCCTAAATGGAAACTAACTTAGCCAATGATTATCTCCATGTATTCTACCGCGAAAATATGTTCGACTGCCAAATTAAATGAACATGCTTTCCCATTTATAAATAAATTTCCTCGTTCTGTATTAAATTTATCAATCGGCTCCATTTAAATACTTAATAGGAATGCTTCAACCTGTTGAATTACTCTCTTAGCAAGCTTAATTCACTTTATATCATTCGAAGGATATCCATTCAGAATTCCCGACTGCGGAAGGCATCCGAAAGCAATTGTATTAGTATTGAACATTGTTAATTTTAATAGGTTATCAAGTTCCGGCTTTCACCTATGAAAGTAGGCACATAAATTCTCACATTTCACCTCAATTCCGGGCAATTTCCCGAAGCCCAGAAAAATCCCATTACGATATTCGGTGTAATTGAAAATATAAGCATCATCTTTAGCACCTTTTCAGCTTTGATAAATCACTGAAGATAAGAGTGAGTCGTGGAGGAAGTAACTCGATAGAGTGCCTATAAACATCCTGAGATGCTTTCATTATTCATCAGCAAACCAATAAAATGCGTATCTCCGCCAAAATCGACCTTCCCTCGCCAATCCAGATTAGAGATATGAAGCTCGCGCCCTTTCTCGGAACGGGGAGATTAACAATTAGCTGGGTGAAAAGTTTTCCGCGCTTTTTCCGAACTCAATTGGGAAATTCTTCTTTGTGTGCATCAAAGTTGTGAATCCCTTTCTCAATTATGAACCCCTTTCCATAACTTTCAATCAATTTTCGACAAGCCCTTCTCGTTTCACTTTCATTTTATCGATTATCTCTCCACGGAAAACCGCTCTTCTTTCCTCTCTTGTATCACGAGTCCAGCAAAAAAGGATAAAAAATCCGCCCACGATATTTCCGCGGGAGGAATTTTTCCAGACACATCAAGTCGGAAGTATGGGAATGGTGTTCTTCCTCCAAGAGAAATGCACACTATTGGGAGGGAATTTTAAAGACGTACAAGGCGGAAGAGAATTTCCACGGCGGACAATTTATTGGGCAAATCCCGTGGTGAGAAAAATTTACGGTGGATTCGTGAAAGCTGAGAGTGTCACTCTTAAATTAGTGCACACAATCTTGCAATTTTCTGCACGATGGAGCATCCAAAAAGTAGAGGGAAAACCACACATTCTCCCTCTTCACCGCCTTTGAGGGTGAATATTTAATGAAAATTCTCCTATTTTACCGCGAGCGTTCACCTTTTTCGTCCTTTGGCGAAATTAATTATTGAAATTCTAGAGCGCCTCTTGTGAAAAGCATATCATTCAGCAGCGGGGAAAAAATTCAGTGAAAGCTTCTTAAGGAGTTCATTTCCCATCGCTAAAAGTACGCGAAAGAGTGAGAGAGAGCCCTTAAAGCCGTGAAAGAAACTCTGTACACCTTCTAAATTCGACGATTTATGGGGCGGTAGAGCTCTAAGAAAATAGTTTTGTTGTGTAAGTGGGTGGGATTTAAAGGCGTTCTCACTCACTCTCCGCAAACCGCTTAAGCCTCTCACTGAATAGTGAATGTGGCGCTTCCACACGAAAGTGGCAACAGCCAAGGAAAAACACAGTGGAGAAAATGCTGAGATTCCAACACTATTCTCCCTAGCATTCCCAATTAGGCTTCTGCTCGGCGAAATTCACCCATTTAATCAATATAAGATCCTTTTTCTACTCGCGTGGTTGCTCAACCAGATTGTTCACGCGCCTGGGCAAAAAACGGTGAAGAGACAGAGAAGATAAATGTTCCACGATGCCGAGAAAAGTGCATAAACGGCAGGGAAACGCAATCCACAAAGGGATTAGTACACCACACATTAGAGGAATAATGGGATATTTGTAGGATAAGAGAATATTCCTCGGTAATGAATTCCACAGAGAGCGTCAAACATAGGAAGAGCTTAGTTAAAGCACAGAGCAAAAAATTAATGAAATAATATTTCATCCGAAACCACGAGCTTTTAATCTTGACTCCGTTGTGATTTTATGAAAGTAAAATATAATTGCAGACAATGCATATGATTGATAATAGCGTACACCAAGGCGGCTAACTTGCCTTCCTTGAGATCAATGACAACGGGAGAAAAGGGACTATTCTCGGGGTGGATTTAAATTGTCCAGATAAGATAATAATTTTAATTAAAATTTCCTCATAGGCGTTTTTGCACTCCCCGGAGAGACTTTAAAGCCTCCAGAGGATGCTTTCTGAAATAATAATCCCAGAGACTCTCTGACCTTTGTCCGCCTTCACATCTCACTTTCTCTCTCGCAGCGCACTGGTTCGGTTCGAGGTGAAGATGTGCCTTTTTGTCTAGGACTTCCATTATCCCCGCTCTTTCCATACAACTACACCAAAGAGGACGTGCGAATCAGCAAGATGTTGGTGCACTATTTGACAAATTTCGCCTCTTTTGGGTGAGAATTTGGGGGATTTTCCCGGATGACTGACCACCCAAGTGGATGCAAATTGTTGTGTTTGTTTGTACAGGAATCCCAATGGCCCGCTGCCCATGGCGAACGCCGAAGAGATTCGGGAGCGCCTGAGAAGCAGCAAATTTAAGAGGAAAGTCAGAAGCTTCAGCACAGAAGACGATGGCAGTGACAACGTTGAAGAGCAGAGAGGCAGACGGGATCGCATGGACGAGCTGGTGGGTGAGGAGGCGCCTTTCTGGGACACATACGACGCAATCAATCAACTGTATCTCGAACTTGGTAAATTTTACAAATGATCCTGCTCGTGAAAACGCACGCCAGAGATAAATTTTCCACCTTTTTATCACCTCCCCACGAAAATGCCATGTTTTTCTCCCCATCTGACGACTCTTTTTTCCACAGGGAGCAAAGTGGAGGCTCGCAATCACTATCGGGGTCACAAATTATCCATGTGGCTCAGCCTAATACCGCAGCTCCACTCCGGCGATGCCACGGAATTATCAATGCGCCACCATCATTTTCTCGAGGAGAGTGCACAGTATTACGACGGTGAGTCCTAATTATCTTCAAGCCACTATCTAGCATCGCCCGAAAGTTCTTGTCGCAGAGGAAAAGCCAAGAACAATTGTGGTGACTCTCCATTCGCGGCACATTCCATTCATTTTCATAATTGCACAGCCGTCGCGACGCTTCCGGGATTAATTCGCGCGATGAGAGCTTTTTTCATTCTTCTCTGAGGAAGTTGCAAGGAGAATGAAAACTAAAAGTATTACTTGGATGAACACAAAGAAATGACCCAGAGAAAGAGCCTTGTAATTATTTTTAAAAGCGACACAATTTCACTGATTTCTCATTATATACACGAATATCTTTTGGTTGCATTTTTCAGCTTCCATGCACAGCATCAGAATCCAATTAAGAAGAAGCTAAGACTTATGAGAATATGTTTAATTTTTAGCACAATCAAGGGCATAATACTGGTCTACTTTTAAGAGTTTATTGAGACAATTTTCCCGTTTATTTTCTGCTAAGATATTGTCAGGATCTTACTAAGAAGGTTTGCCATTATGTTCCAAGGAAAAAAATTTCGATAAATTTAATAGAAATTCAGTTAGATGTATAATACATTATGGGAAAACTGGGCATTTTGTGTTTTTCTTCTGATAATATAAAAAGTTGATTGTAATTTCAAGCTTGCGCCGAGGCTTGCACAATAATTTTCCCTTATGATAAACAGGAAAAATAAACCAAATAATGTAATTTCGCACTGAAAAGTACATTGCAATTACGCTCAATTTGTCTAAACAAATTTATATTGTTGCCATTGTTGCACATTGGTTAGTCAATAATCCGTGGGGAAAAAGGACACGCGCATTAATTATTCAAATAAGGTATTTGTTCTCGGTGGAACTTTCATGTAAAATTAGCTTTAATTTACAATTATGGTGGTGATGTTGGGCTTTTTTGCCGCCGACGCCTGATTTGGCGGATTGGCGAGTGGATGAAAGGGAAATTGGACAATGATTGCAGAGGATAATTGTGTGGTTTTGCTTTTGGCAGGAATTGTTCGACCACAATCACTCCATAGACCGGCAACACCTGCAGTGAAAACGGAACTCAATGCAGCCACATCGAGTGTCGCCACAAAATCGAGTGTCTTGAAAGCGACAATGAGCACAGCATCGCCATCAAACGCTACGTCACTTCACACGACCACAGGTAATTCTTGTGCGCAACGTGAGAATTAATAATCAGGAACAGTGACGGCTCTGGGGCGGCCGGGCGCCCGCAGGGTGGTCCAAAGATAACAGAAAGTTTCACCCGTAATGAGAGGAGGATTTCAAGTGGAATTTAGGGTGGCTGTGGGTGGTTTATTTACCCAGGAATTCGACTTTCTGTCTCATTTGAGATGGAGGAGAGAAAAGAAGAGCACTTGGGGTACGGAATTGTTTACTGTGTCGCCCACAATGTGGTCTGCAATATTTTTCCTCTTCGGAAAATTTATTGGTAGATATAGAACTTGCAGGAATTTCCTCATTTGACCTCTAGACTGAATGCGATTAATTCGACTCCTGCTGAAGAAAAGAGTTGAACATCTTTCACATGACAAATGCAGAGGAAATAGAGTTATAATGAGTAAAGTTTACTGTAACAATAATAAAATTATATATCAGAGAGCTAATTAATTATGGCTTTCAGCACAAAACAATGTTATCAAATTGGAGACCAACTGTAGATCGAGCGGTTAAATGAATCAAATACAGTTCATGAAATCGCACTCATGAAGTTGATATTGCGTAATGAATGGAAATAATTCCACAGAACTGCACGTAAATAATAATAAATGGTGCGAAATGCAATTAATACCACCTCTTATTCATCCTACTGTCAGTTTTTGAAGGAATTCATATTCACTTCCGCTGTCAACTGCCAACAATTTATCATAATCTATGGCAATTTGCAGTCTGTGAGGCCCATATTTTCGTCATTTGCAACTTTTGGCTCTCATCTCATCTTCGCCGATGGGGATGGAAAATTCCTCGACGCGTTGGGAATTGTAATAATAAAGCTACCGGAAGTTTTAAACTCTCCCCCATGACATACCCAAATATCAGGAGAAATGTGGAAATTTTGCACTCCTTTTCATCTCTATTCGCACAGCCATGATACTTGCAAATTTTCACAGTGTGGGAATGGCCAGCTCGGTGTGGGTGATATGATAATTTTCAGCGCCATTTATCAGCATAACTTAGTTGATAAGGATGGAATTTATACACACTGCGTACTGAGGAGATATTGTACTGACAACTTTTCCAATCAATAAATCCTTCATACACCCACACTAATTAATTGATCACCTAACAATTCAGTGCAATTATCAATTATGTATTAAATTCCCAACAAATCATCGCAAAACAACAGATATTAAACGTATTTTATTTGATTTTTACTCCATGAAAAAATACCAACATGTCTTCTCAACAATAAAACCTGAGTTGTGCGTGTGCTGAACTTTATGCTCAATCCACACTCTCTAAATAGAAGCACCTTTCCTCTTCAAAACACCCATTCAATTACAACAATAGTTCATGCATGAATTAATGAGAGTTTCACGTAAATAGTGCTCAGAGAATGGAGAATTTGCAAGTGATTGAGATGCATATTTGGGAGAATTAATCATTTTCCACATGACACTCCTATTAGCCTGTGAACCAAAGCCTGCAATATGCATTAAGTGCGTATTTCCATATTAAGTGTGTATATGCGAATCGTAAAAATTATGTTACGCCTGTGAGAGCGATGACCATATAGTGATGTTCATAAACACTTCAATTTAGCCACTGATATTGAGCTGAATATGAAATCATATGCAGTTCACAAACAGTCAACGTTTTGTCATATTATTGGACATATTTTTTTAATCAGAAGCATCTCATTGTGATATTTTTTCAAAATTTTGAAAAAATGTCATCTTTTATGACGAGATTAGAATTTTCAAAACGATAAAATTCTTTGTGTAAACTGTGTTAAAGATATAGGTAATTTTGAATGAGACAGATGAATTCCGCTCAGTTTTATGAAAAGACTAAAAAAGAATTTAAAAGTACTTCACAATAAAGTGAATTTTAAGCATTTTTAATATGGAGTTTGTCATAAATATTGAAATAAAATACTATTAAATATCTTACGAGTCATCATAAATGTATAATATTCGGTGAAAATTTTAAAATGAAAACATGGAAATGAAATTATAAGCATTGCGATAATTAATAATCATTTTTGGGTAATTTTATTTGTTATTTATTAAATTTTGTATTGATTTTTTACTCTCAGTCACAGTCATTGAATAATTTTCTAGCGTATACATAAATCAACATGAATACTGAATTAATTTCCACACACTTTAGCCCACTTGAAAGCTTTAAAGCTCTCATTTCATCCCAATAGATTTATCACTGCGGCTCAAATTCAATTCAAAATCATTTCCCACTTTCACAAATGTGCACGATCTTTTGCCCTTCGCGCCGCAATTTCCCTAAAGTTTCTTTCCATTTGAAATGGCAATTGTGTCGCAAAAGAGCGCCCTTAATGGGTTAATTGATTCTTCCCAAGCTGACTTTCCACTCGCGAGCAAAATTGCCCCGTGAAGCTTCTTTTTAGTGCTTCTTCGCGTACTTTTCTCACCACGCGGAGGAAAAGTTCTTGTGCGCGAATCTTCCCTTAAACTGCCCGGCCAGAGTGGAGCAATAAATTTGCTGTATATGATATTATTTCGAGAGTTATTGCTGCAATATCCTTGACTTGGACCATTACATTTTTTATGCAATTCAACATTCGCCCGCTGGCTTAGAAGTGTGGGTTTTGGGGCTATTTTGCTGAAATTTCTGCTAGGGAAATTCGTGTTGATTGGAAAAATGTGTGCTGTGGAGTGGATAAATGAAAATCCTATAAATCCAGCATTGGGAATTTGCATTTGCCTGTGGAATATTTTTTGGCACACTTTCCGTGAAATTTTATACAATTGTGTGCTATCAAATTAAAGGTACAATTGTAATGATTCAATATGAAATATATGATTATAACGTATTTTGGAAAATTCCCCGAAGAAGTAATTAAAACACAAATATTTTCCGGTGACTTGAGGGTAGAAAATGGAACAATAGTGACGAATTGAGCCACATCAACAAGCATTTTGCAGTTAATTCCTTTTACAAGGTGACTAAAAGTGGTGAGGCTCAAGGGAGTCCTTTTAGGATTCACTGTTGAGTGTGATTTGCATGTGCAAAATCGAACCATGCTCAAATATTCAGGGCTTCTGCAGAGAATGTGCAAATATTTGCATCGGAATGTTTCGTGGGAGTGGAGACAGTTGGGGGAGTGAAATTTTTGCTGAGGAATTCTCTGCATGGCGAATTTTTCACCGGATATTTCCCGTTTCAAAATTTATTCATCGCCTTTTTGCGTATGAATAATTTAGTCTAAAAATACAAATAATGTGTGTTATACATGGCATTTGAACCTCCTCAATATTGACTCATTTTGCGTGTTTTCAATGGTTTAGAGATAATTTTTAGGAAATTGGAAAATTCAGTGCTGTTTGTGCTCGAAATTGGTAACAGACGGAATTTTACATTTGAAGTTGTTTTTTCCCTGAATAATTTCCTGGAAAATATTAAGCAGAGAGATTTATGTTCAACTCACATGTTTCCAATCTCAGATTGCCCACCAAACGCCACGGTAGTGCCAACAATCGCGGCTACACGGCCGCATCAGCAACAAGAGCCGGTAATTCAGGAGGGCAACAATCTGCTCCGCCGCTTAGCCAATAGTCAATTCCATAGTTACACTACCGCACTTACCATCACCATCGCCGTGGGTTGTTTCTTGCTGCTCCTCAACATTCTCATCTTCGCCGGCATTTACTATCAGCGCGAGAAGCGTGCAGGGGATGCAAAACGCAAGGAGGAGCTATTCGAAGCGGAGACGCCGCTTTCTCCTACCCTCAAAGGACACAGTCGCAAAGGCAGTCTGCAGAGCCTGCCACCGGGATTCCACTTCCATCACCATCACTTTCATCAGCAACCTCGCACCGGCAGCTTCGTGGAACTATCTTTTGACGGCTCAACGGGCGAGAAGAAGTTCTGCGATGTGGAGCTTCAGGTGAGCAAATTAGAATAAATTTTATCGTTTAACGTATAACTTTCTGAGAATGGTAAGAATTAACTTTGTTCTCTTATCTTCAGGACTACCAGTGCTCCCCGGCCAACAGTTCCACGTCCAGCAGCCTGCGCGTGCCAGAGTGCAAGCGGTCCTCGCCACATGAGCTGCCGACCCATGTGCCTCAGATTTTCTCCACGAGTCAGCAAACGGACTGTCCGCACACCAGCCAGGCCAGTCACTGCAACCAGGGCACCCAGAGCGACCGCCCGCCTTCGCAGGATGTTAGCACTGAGGTCACCGAGACGGACATCCAGCCGGACGGCAGCCTGGACATCCCAGATCCGCCGCCGCCGCCCAAGCTCTTCCACGGCGTCGGCATTCTGCGCCAACAGGGTGGCGCTAGCCAGGCTCCCGGCTCTAGTAAGAAGCGTGTTCAAATCCAGGAGATATCCGTGTGATTCCCTGAATTCTCCTGACAGCTATCAGAACGCTGTCGTCAAATCAAATTGATATGAAACTGTGTGTGTGATTTTAGCCAAGACAAGCATAATTAAATAATAATTGAAATACTTTTGCTTTAGTCAAACGGCGAAGAGAAATGTTGTTGATAAAAGAAGTCCCGCCCACACCAATGCCCCGCCTACTTATCTGAAGAGCGAACTTCTTTCTTCAAAAAACAATCAAGTTTGCTGCTTAACTAAAGCAAAGTTTAGCCTAATAATTGTCCTATTTCTCACGCTGAGTGCGGTGAAGAAGTGAGATTCGATGTGAAAAGATTAGACAATTTTCTCAATGTCGAGGAGGTTTTAATCCTAATGTGTGAGAGTGTTAATAGTGTTGTAACATTTGGAATTGATTGAGTACATAATTTTTCGAAAAAAGACACTGAACAAATATTCCTATATAGTGAGAAATATAGATGAGATCAATTCGTTTATATTTCTTCTGTTGACATAGAAAAGAAAAACTGAAATATTACTATGGAAATTCTATTGTGTGTTTTTTCCGTTTACAAGAGTCATTTAGTTGAGGAGATTCTATGGAGTGGTAAATCCATTTATCGAAATATTTAATGTGACGAAAGTGAAGAGCAAAGGCGAGAATATTTACGGAGGCGTTCTTAAAAAAAATACTCAATGTTAAATGGATTTTGCAATTAATAGTGTAGCAGATGGGAAACTGAATAGGAGAAAGAGGAAAAATTGAGAAAAGGACATGAGAAGAGAGTGAATTAATATAAAATAAACATAAATGTATTCCTTCTATTCAAATCACTGGAATCGTTCTTAATGCATACGCTGGACATTTTAGTTGAGCATTTTATTATACCATATTGTTAAACTAAGGCTAAAAGCCCTCAAAAAACTTCCAGATGAAAACTCATACAACTGTGCACGAATCTTCTTCTTTTGATCAAATAATCATTCCATTTATCTGCCTTCAATCACCATTTTCCGCAAGAGTAGCAGACAGACAGTGTACAAATTAATTTTCTCAATTTTCCCTTCACTTGATTCGCCCGAAATTAACTTGATTGGGAACCAGTGTGAGGCCCACATTAAATATTGAATAAAACTCATTGTCTGGCAAATAGTCAAATGATTTACAGGATAATAATAATGATGATGCATTGGGGGAAAATTTGGTAAGAGCTTTCAATAGCGCTTATTGACTTTATTCTGTTAATTACGCTGCACGAGGGCTTTCAAAACAATCTTGTGTGCCAGGTATGGGGAGAGAGCATTTGCAGTGGTGTGAATAGAATGGCAATTTTTAACCCTTCCAATTTATAAACGATGAAAGCCACACACTATGATAAAGGAACATGAAATTAAATCAATCAACTAACAATAACAGTGAATTATAATCGATTTTTGAGGGTAGAGAGGGAATTTTATCCATGGGGAGACTCTGGTAAAATTTATATTGTTGTTCATACACATAATGATACTGTTCCAAGAAGAAGAGAGAAAAAACACCCAATGTAACAATTTATAAAAGAGTATGTGAGTGAAGTATTTCTCAAACTCTTGTGTAAATAGCTCAAGTATTGTGACTAAGAGAATGAAAATCAATATATATTGTATATATAAAAAACTAGGTGAAATATAAGGAAAAATCCAAGGAAATTCAATTTACATTCATTGGCAGCTGGAGTTCATTTGGTCTGTTTGTTGTTTTGGGCAAATCTTCAGCACTTTGTTGCTCTCAAAGCCATTAAAATTAATTAGCTCTCGTGTTTTGCATCACAATTTTTTCCACCCATGTGACGAGGAGATGTTCTCGATAGGGCACAGCCACATGGCACCCGGAGGAGCCCAAGAGTGGCACAGGGAGATTATCATGATCTTGTCTATCGTTAAAAGTTAGTGGAGTTATTACAAAGTAGACTTTTGATCATACATTTTCTAGTTGGCTCTCAGAAAACCTTCTTAAAATGTAAGGAATGCGCAGCACAGAGACCTCAGTTTCGATTTATATGAGAAATATTCGCAATCAATAACAATATAAAATATTCCGATTCTCGCACAGATTGACCCCGAGTTTGAAGCCCGCAGCATAAAATATCGAGAAGCAGAATGATACTTCTGGCATGATCATCCGGAGCCCAAAAAAATCATTAATTAATGCCGACTAATTAATGTCAATATTTGTGTATTTCTTTTATAACGCTGCCAGTTGCAGAAGACAACGCAATCAAGAGTATCTTTCCCGCCTTCCAAGCGCCTCATCCAAGCAGAAGCAATTTTAATAACGAGTATTTATTCTACTTATTATTGCAGAGAGACATACTCGATCACGAGGTTTTGTGTACATGCGACATTGTTATGTGTCGCAGTGTCTAAAATGTACATAATGCCGAGTGTGTATTCGGGAGTTTATTGACGGATCCAATTAAAAAAGCCAAAGTTAAGTAACTTGACATTGAGGAGAGGAAAAGTGCTCGGACAGATAGAGAGGGAAAATCACTCGATTGCAATCAGTGGCCATCCGATTGAAGAGAGAGAGGAAAATTTAATTACACCTGCTGTTGAGTCTGATAAGCCACTCCAACGGCTTCTATCGCAACTCCGATAACCCTTGCATGGCACACTCAAGGAATGTTCCTCAATCTTTCGATAATACCATGAGATAATGCCATTCCTCTGTCGTTTTATTTGGCAATTCCAACATCAAAAGATCCCAAGTCATTTTACGGGCAATTTTCCTCCGGTGAATTTTTCATTAAGGAAACAGAAAGGCTGATAAGTTCCCCTCTTCTGCTATACACTTTAAGCCATAAACTAAACAAAAGCATGACGTGAAATTGCGCTGAAATTAATGAAATTGCACACCTCCGCTTTGCCATCGTTGCCAAAAGCGACAAATGGAGGAAAATGAGAGATTAGGAATGATTAACATTCAGAAGCATGTCACAAACTTGTGCATTATTAATTAGTATTCAAAACGTGCGCTTTTCTTGGCATCATTGTCAGGGCTGAAGTTGTTCCCACCCAAAACGCGTCTCTGACCTCTGGTGTACCAAATCGGCTTTCTGCGAGCCAAGAGTTCATACACATGGACTCAGTTTTTCGTCTGCTGAAAAGCCATATGGATTAGAGACTTTTCCTGCCAACTGAGCAGTGCCTGGCCGCAGGATTAGATGCAATTCGGGCCGGAAATTCGAAAATCGATTCTTAAAACCGGCAAAGGTAGTATATGCCCTGCAGAGAAGAGATTTTACCCCACCAAAATACTGCACTTAAGATGAGACTCTTCTGAATTTATGCTATAGATTGCCTCAAGGAGATGGATTTTCTGGAGCTTTCTGTCAGGCGGAAAATAACCATCACACAGCTGAGAAAATATCAGTCCCTTATTTCCATTCGACGGCAAAAAGCGAAATTGATATAAAAGGGTATTTTTCTTTGTCGCGACATGATTCTACATTCAAAAGAAATGTGATTGAAAAGCAAAGAGTTTTTCCCGTTAACTTGCTAGAATATTTCTGCAGGAATTCCACTGTAAAATGTGGAATGAGATTACAGAATGCAGCATGGCAAATTTATGCCATCACGATTGACTTTCCATGGGAAAGTTCAACCACTTGAGAAGAAGAAAAATATGATAATGGAGGTTTAAGCAGAGGAAATTGCAGGATAAAAGTAAGTGAACATAATAACTCAGTATCTACTTCATATTCAAGAGGTAAATCGTGAAAGTTTCTCTATCACACTGAAAGCTTTATAATGAGTTTCATGGAGGCCGACTTTTCCAAGAACCCCTGCAATTCTATATCAATTTAATCAATTACCTGATAACAAGTGCAAAACGCACGTGTTTGCCCCCAATTTATTCTGCAATTAACAGCGGCATTCAGCGAAACATCATCGTCAATTGACTTTTTTTATGATTCATTATCACTTGCGCACACCTCTAACAAAATGCTCATGCTCGCCATTTCGGCAGAAATTCTGAACTCCGAAGATCGTAAAGTTTGGCATTCGATGGACAGGAAGTGTTTTTGGATAAATCAACGGCGCCAAAACTGCTGTCTTCAATTAATTCACTTTAATTGAGGATTATTTGGGTTTATGTTTAATTTAATGACAGCAAAGGGATGTCCCTATCAGGATAATGGAGTATGTGTAACATACCACGAATTTAATTGACTGTGGAAACACAGGATTCACATATTATAACTATGCTCATAAATACAAATCAATAAATCACATTTTACTTGACAATTTACTCCTCATGAAGAATTGAACCAAAAATGAGAAAACATCGATAATTTTTGTTTAAAATTTTGACAAAAGAGACACCTTCTGTTAAAGTGAGTGCGAAGTAATTCGTAGACAATAATTTGGTATCTTGTCGCAGACGATTCAACCAAACTAAACAGGTTTCAACTGGATTAGGCGCCTGGCGATCGTGTGACTCAAATGGCAAATTGATCACGCTGGTAAGGGCAAAAATCAGGGGATATTTTCCATCTGAAGTACTGGAGAGAGTGTGGCTACTCTTTCATTTGTTCAGTCAGTCACACTTAAGGATGATTTGTTGGCCAATCTTCGCTATCAAAGTGTAGTGTAGAATATAGATAAGATGAAGCTGAAGAGGGTGAGAGGTGTTTGTGGACCTTACGGATGGTCTGGAGAATCTCCAGAGTGACAAAAAGTGGAAAGTCGCGATATGAGCCTACAAGAGAAACAATACATCGTAATATTCATTCACACTAGAGTGTGTCAATCAGATATATCGAAGCTCGAATTGGTTGTACAACATTATCAGTGGCTCGACTATAAAAAGAAGCCTCATATGCGAGAATCACTTTATTTTGCTTCAGTCACTTCCCGTGGAATCACTGTTCACAGACGCCTCAGTGTTTCGTAGGGCTTCAGTGAGATTGTCATTAGTCTTTTCACCCCTAAAATTGCCGTCTTTTGAGATATTCTCCTGAGAAGTGGTGGAAAAGTGTAGTTTTCCTGAATTTTGCTGAACTTTATGGACTACAGAAGCGAATTTGACCAGTGAAGAGTGATTCTCCTGCGAACAACATATGACAACCAAGGTGAGTTCTAGTGATAAAAAGACATACATGTGATAAACAGTGCAGTTTTTTACCAACGCCTGACCATGTGATTCGCGTAATTGTGAAATGAGGTCTCTTAAATGCAAATCACCGCACAATTTCCACCCACTTTTGTTCACGACAAAATCCCGGAAATTCCCACCGAAGAGCCAGAGCACTGAGGGAATACTTCTGAAACCCACAGAGGCAAGCGCAAACCCGATAATGACAACAGTGAATCGCACAATTTACAAATGAATTTAAGTGAAACGATAAGTGAAGATGCTAAATTGTCGCGAAAAACCATATCCCATATAAATGAGCGATCAAACTCGCGCCAAATTGCCACGTGATCGACAAAGAGGCCAGACCAGTCGTCACGTGAATGAATTGGCCGCTTGTGAGGAAAGTGTCTCTGACATATGAAATTGATATGAAGACTAATTGGTCCATTGAGCTCGCGGAATCGCGATGGCTCATCAATTAGCAAATGAAATCAATCATCGGGACTAAATTGATTTGCCATTACTGTCGTGATGCTAATAGCTTCAAATTCGATTGTTACACATTTCAGGGTGTATCTCAATCGCGGGAGGGACTTTTCGAAGAGATACGCGCATTTTGATCTTCGGCGTGGTAATTGAATTATCACCTTCACGACACTCTGACGCTGGAAATGGCCAGGAGAAGCGACACTTGGTCAATTTGTGACTGACACATACATCATAATTGGAAATTTCTCAACCGACAGGGCTGATCTCAAAGCTGATATTGGTTTGCCAGATCACTTGCCACATTCCAGTTCAGATCGGATCTGAGCCGACAAAGTGTTAGATAAAGTGAGAAGAACTTCAAGCACTTTAATTCCGATTGTTGAAAAATATTTGCAAAGTACAAAATTGTATACACAGTGTGTCGCAAAAATTGATTAACATCTGATATTTGAGCAAGAAGTTTATTGAAAAGTGATCAGCCATCGGCTGCTTCACGTGATAATATCATCATCGTAGCTGATAATGTTATATTTTTCTCTAAAAATCTTCCTCGTTACGCTTAAAAAAATGCTTCTGACTCTTGCGTGTTTGTTTATTTTATAAATACACAATTTCCATATAATGGAGACTCGTTGCGAAATGTTAATCAAAGCTGTGCTCGAGTTGATAAGAGAAGCACACTTCAATCAAAAGTTTTTGCATTAGTTTTGTAGAGAGTGCTTATGAGGAAATCTTACGCAAAGTTTTCCTGCAAACTGATCAAAAACTACCTGATACTACACACTTCTGCCAGCCCTGCACTAAAATCAGCACTGTGTACACAAATCGTGTCTTTTTCCTAACAAAATGCCACATGAGTAATTTTCTTGTTTTCCAAAAATTCCTCACCCAATTATCTTCTTGCGACGGTTGCGATGTAACCGCAGTTTTCATGTGAAATTCAGAGAGAAACACTTCGATGAGGGCACTTGAAAATCTTTGTCAATTCAGCAATTGCTCAATGATTGATGGAAATGAGTTTAGAGTGGGAAAACTATTGTAATGTTGACATACATGGACACTTTTGACCACCACACATTTCCCCCCGTCGTCTGATAAGTGATAATAGCTTCAACCTCAACGATTGTGGCGCAAAAGCTACTGTTTGATAATCTCGAGGATGTGATTGAAAGTTGCTCAAGAGGCTTTTACAACTAAGGATTACGGCTATCTTTAGCAGGTGAGACAGACAAGGATTTATTGCTGAGCCTTGATCACGATGGCGCACAACGAGAGCACGACAGATCAGGTGATCACGGTACAACCGCCCTCACCAGCCCACACGGACGCCAAGAGGAAGGTGAGCATCGTGACGGACCCTGTGGAACGCCATGGCTTCGACAACCTCGCCTTTGAGCAAAACCCTAAGCGGAAAATATCTCAGGTTTGTTTTCACATTTAATTATCAGAGTTGAGCACTAACAATGAGAAATGCACTAGATTTAGGAATAGGATTAACACATTTTCCGCTCTCACAATTACTTATTCCTTGTCTTTCTTTATCTCCACCTTTTTTGCTGCTATTTTATATTGGTAATCACTCAATTGCACTGAATAGTAGATTAATCATGAATTAAAGCCGTAATAACGGCATGGAAAGATCATCACATTTACAAACAAAAAATCAAATCATTGGGTATTGAATGCAATACTATTGTTTCTAAAGATCTCTTATCTAAAGTATTATTAACTCTAACATAGAAATCAAATTGCATTTTCGGAATGTTTCTTGGTAACTCAAAAAAAGAGATGTTCCCTTTACATCCCTGAGAACTTTACCAGAAATTCTTTGTGGGTTGAAAATTCCTCAAGTTTCCCTATCGTGAATTATTAAATTTCCGTATCAAGCCAAGAGAAAGTTTCCACACAAAACTTGCATCCTTTTGTTGATTCATCTTGCATTTTGACTTTCTCCATCCGGCAAATTTGCTGATGCGTGCCTTCCGCACAAGTTGTGATATTTCATACAATGCGGCATTTTTAATCTCGTTGGGTGACGATAAAAACACTCCTTTAGTTTGGTCACTGAGCGTGAAAAAGTCAATCAAAATGCAAATACAAAAAACCATATTGTTTATGCCTTGGACTGGCCTGATAAATGACACACAGTGTTTCAAGTGAAAAGTAGCTCTTTGGATGTTTTTTTTTTCAAGTTCAAATGTGTAGTTTTGTCTAGGTTTTAGTGATTTTCACAAGAACAGACATCGTAGGCTTTAGATACGCTGTCGGCATTGAACTTTAGCGCTAACATTGAAAACAGACCCGCGTTCATTTGCAGACTTCAGACCACTCTGAAATCGGACCAGTGCACCGAAAGAGTATCCTGCACAATACCAATGTGGACAATGATTCCCTGCAAAGCCATCACTCTCATGATGCCAAAACCAACAATGGCGACGCTCGCATGAAGAAGCACTCAACTACAGAGAGCTATCATTCACGAGCCAACGCTAAGGACGATAATCAACTCGAGCAATCCTGGATCTTTGCGCTTTGCATGCGATGCCGCGTGCCTTACAATACTCCCTCGTGGGAGCCAAAGCATTGGCAGAAGGTCTGCCCTTATCCGCTGTGTCCTTCCTACAGGCAGTTTGCAAACTTGCTAGCTCTGGTGCTAATCGGAGTTCTGATCTGGGTGACGGCCTATGCCATCATAGGAGACTCTGCGGCTCCTGGAGGACAACTGTTCGGTCTCGTTGTTCTCACTGTGGCTGCCAATTTTGGCGGTTGGATAATATCACTCACAACACTGCCTCGTCTCATTGGGATGCTTCTCGTGGGCATCTTGTTCCAAAACGTCGGGTAAGTTTAGTATCTCAGCGTCCGAAATGTACGATTTTTCTCAATGAACGTGAATTGAATACATTTATCACTTATTTCCTTCCAGATGGGTTAATCTCGATGGAGACTTCTCTCACGTCACTGCAGAACTTCGCAAGGTCGCCTTGGTGATTATCCTTACCCGGGCAGGCCTTGAAATGGACCCAGATGCCTTCAAGAGAGTCTACATCACGATTCTGAAACTAGGTCTTGTGCCCTGGACCGTTGAAGCTGTCATTATCGGTGTGATGACTCACTTCCTCTTGGGCATGCCCTGGATTTGGGGCTTTATGCTAGGTTCCATTATCGCAGCCGTTTCCCCAGCTGTCGTGGTGCCCTGTCTCTTCAGATTGCGAACCAAGGGCTATGGCGTGGCTAAGGGCATCCCAACCCTCATTGTGGCCGTGGCAGGCATTGACGATGCCGCTTCTGTTGCGGTCTTTGGCATTATCAGCAGTATTATGTTCTCCAGCGAAAGTCTCGGCTTCCAGATCGCTCAAGCTCCAGTTTGCATCATTGGAGGACTAGGGTTTGGCGTTCTCTGGGGTTTGCTGTCCAAATATGTGCCGGAAAAGGGTGACGCCTATGCGGTGCCAATACGGTAAAGTGATCATTAGTCGTCTCATTAACAGTTTGCCAAATACGTAATGACCTTAAAATTAAGATCTATTATCACTTTGAATTGAGTATTTTTCCTCCAAGAACGTAACAACTTATTTACATCTGTTTCAGAACTCTGATGCTCTTCGGTGGGGGTCTGTTGGCCGTGTTCGGTAGTGAACTGATCAAGTTCGAGGGCGCCGGACCTTTGGCGGTCGTTTTCGCAGCCTTCGTCAGCAATTACTTTTGGTGCCAACAGGGCTATGATATTGAGGACAATCCCGTGGCTACGGCCTTCGAGATCTTCTGGATGATCTTCGAGCCCATCCTCTTTGGTATTACAGGAGCCGCTGTGAAGATAAACGAACTGGAGCCTGACCTCGTCTACTTAGGATTGGGCTGTCTGGTCACGAGTGGAGTCGTGCGAATTATCAGCACTATTTTCATTGCCTTCGGGGATGGACTTAATTGGAAGGAGAAGGTCTTCGTGGCGCTGTCTTGGTCAGCCAAGGCGACAGTCCAGGCTGCCTTAGGTCCTGTAGCTATGAAACATCTCACAGCCCAATCTAGTGATGAAGAGAGAACCTGGGCCGATCAGGTTCTGACGATATGCGTCCTTAGCATTGTCCTAACAGCACCTCTTGGTGCCATTATGATATCCATCACTGGTCCAAAGCTGCTAACGAAGACGAAACAACCACACAACACGGATGGTACGTTCATTTACTATTATAAGTACACAAGTTTCTCTGCTACACTTCTCGAGCGACTTCGAGTTTGGACGAACTCTTAATGATTTGCAATTGAAATTTCAGGTTGGCGAAGAAGTCACCGACCATCTCTCAGGGACATTAGCATTATCGACGAAGAGGAGGAGCGCGAGGATCCCGAGGATGTGCCCGACAAGTCCACCATTAACAACACCAAGACCAACACTCATGTCACGCCAAATGAGCCCGTCTACACCGTCACAAAGTAAATATCATCCACCCTCAGCTTCTCCTATCCAACGCTAATTCCATTTGAAGTGAGAGGGAGAAAATGACTTCAAACACATAAATAAACTCGCTGTAACGCAAAAATACTGAAAAGGAAAATTTTCTTGTGATAATAATGACGAGAATTTAGATAAGAATTACATCTTTATAGGTTCTAAATTCCTCATCATTTTGCTGTGTTTTTTCCCTCCTGGACACACATCATAGATAAAAGCACACGACTTTTATTGATGCCACGCGTACAATTCGCTGTATGTTTCCAACAGCCCGAAAGGCGTGCAAGTCCTACAAAAGCAGCCACAATCTTAAGGGTTATCGCAGGGTCCATAAAGATTGGGATGCAATTGAGAGAGCGCAAATTACTTGACGACCCCATCAGAGGTGGTCCAAAGTGGGCCATTAGAATCGGGACACGTGGCCACTCGACTTGAGATGATCTCCATTGATTTCAGCCCCTCTCCAGACCATGTCAATTGGCCAAATTATCAGCTTCCTCGCGATATGGATCAGTTGTCATGTCATGCCGGAGACACAAGAAGCCCAACAGCCCCCAAAAAAAACCGTGATAAAATTCCTATGACTTACAATCAACAGTGAAGACACAATAAAGTTTTACAGTCTCTAGTCTGTGTTGTTTTGCCTCTTCCCACCCACTCGTGTTTACGAAATTCACATCACAAGAAAACATTTTTCGTCACCCACTATCAGTCGACAATCTTGTCATCAATCAGTAATCGCGAGACTTTCCCAAACATGGGAATCATTTTTGCTCACAAAAACGTATCACTCTGCAAGGCTTATCGGGCACCTCAAAATTAATTAGCCGCTATTCAACATCATTCGCAGATATCGCCATCTAACCACATTACACCCCCTCATTGATAATACACTGTCATGGGAGATTACAAGAAGAGTATCTGAAGCGCTCAATGAAAAATTTAGAGCTCAACTTGTCAATTAGTCTTCCGCGGAATTAAATGATAACCATATTTTAGCGTCATGTAATTAAGAGATTATATACATACAGTATTACTCCTCGCTACAAAATTCACCAGGTTGACAGGATTATTAAGGAAGTTTAAGGGTTTAAACAGCTCGGCGCACCTGTTATTGCCTTGTCTATGAGAAAATATACTGAGAAAAATATATGGCAATATTTTCATGTGAGCTCTTGAGCTCTTTAGAAGACCGACTCAACGACAAATATGATAAATATGTATTACTGCAATGAGAGATATGCTTTACAGTGTAAGTATAACGTCACAAAAATCATAAAGAAGCATCTTCCTTATTATTTTTTTTATAACGCTGTGGGAGTATTTTTGCGTGCAATCCTAGCAATCATCCTTAAAATAGACTTTGTTGCAATAAATGTGCCGCAGTTTACTAACGACATGACGTTCGAACTTGCGTTCGAAGTGCGTCCGGGATTATTAAAAGAAATTTTGTTTTCACCTCTTTTTTTAACTTCTGCCATAGTAAAGCTGTAGTGTTCTGAAGCGTCTTTTCCGAATAACCTTGATTAAATTAAAATTGCAAGTCATCCTTAAGAGCCCAATAAGTCAAAATGAATGGAAAACTCGTCACTGGGCAATATTTTATCAATGACGGCGCCCTAAATTTCTGCGATATGATAAGAGCAGCCGTCAACGAACTGTTGATGAGTTGTAAGCCAATCGGAAATAGACACTTCACGTCAGAATTTTGCACTCGTCAATCTCCAAAATCTCGAAGCCATCAGAATCAAGAAGAGAATTCAATAATTGAAAGCTCACAAAATTGTGAAATGGTGCGTGAGGGAAATGCAATGAATATGCCAAACCTTTGAATGATTCACTGAATTGTTTTATTCACTCGCATATTTGGAATTGCCTCTCATCAATTTTAAACGCTCTATTCCTCCATATATACACTCTCACACAGACGATCATCCTGGCCTCTTTATCTACACCCTCAAGCCATTGTACACACGATTATTGGACGCCTGATTGAGAATCCGGCGAATATCTATCAAAAAAAAAAACAGAGCGAAATTCAGTTGGTGGACAAGCCGAGTGTCGACTGCCAACTCACCTTCCTTCTCCTCCTCCGTGAAGTCCTGCTTCGGGAATTCCACATCGAAGGTGATGTACAGTGTGCCGTGAAGGTTGTTGTTGTCGTAGTTTGGCATGCCCTCACCCTTCTTCCGGATCCTCGCTCCCGGCCACGTCACTTTCTCCCGCTGCACAGCCACCTTGTGTCCGTCCAGGTGCTCAATCTCGAGCTCGAAGCCCGTCAGAGCATCCTGCAAAATACAATTAAAGTCTCGTCAAATTTCCTAATTGAGAGCCACTCTAAATCACTGATTGCCTCATCCCACGCAAAACTTGTCATTCTGAGTGAAACTCCACAAAAACTTCCCTCGGGCTCGCTATTGTGCCGAAGACCAGAGATGAATCACGAAAAGGAATGATTCCATTAATTATTTGTGCCTAATTGAGGACTTTTAATTACACTTCATGCCCCAATTTCACACTGAGAAAGCCAATGAGAGTCAATTTTATGGGGAACCGGCACTTGTTCAGTGGTAAAATTTTAATAAGCTCAAGTCCTTCTAGAAGACATTTATCAAAATTTTAAATAATATTTATGGACATAAGGATTAAGACTACGTCAATTCAAATATGGGCATGAAAACTTTATTACCGCCACGATTCCTTGTATATTAAAAAGAATTAAAAGAGTCTTCACATGTGATTTTTCTGTACGACTATTTTGTAGTAAAATTTAGTTATATAAAGATTCTATATCTTTAAAACGTTATATTCAAATGTGTTTACGAAGTTACACATGCGAATAAGATATGAAACGAGAGAGATAAGTGGAGAAAAACGTCAGTAAAGCAGGATTTTTATGTATAAATTGCGAGTATGTGTACATAAATCAAATAAATTGTATTATGTTGTATAATTCTGCTTTACCACATTCTTTTAGGAGAAAAGCTGAAACTGGACATGTAAAATAATTAATTTACATGAGAAATACATTGAGAATCTCTGAAAACTATTTGGAATCTCATAGAAAAGTTACTTTGCAAACAAACTATGTTCAGCAACTTCATTACAAGTGAACGGAAAGCAGTAAAATCTCAGACAAACTTCTTCTGTTGCATCTCAGACACATTTTCTGATTCAATGCAAGCTGAATAGAGCACGTGAAGCATGGAAGCCCGCAGGCCTCAAACTTGCTGACAAACTGAATTACACAATGAACAGATTTGGCCACTCACCTGAAGACTAATTGTGACATTCGTGTAGAGATCATCGCCTCGGCGCTCGAATTTCTCATGAGGCGCCGTCACCACGCGGATAATAAGGTCTCCCGGTTCGCCGTCCATGTGCGGCTCACCCTCGGCCACAAATCGCGTCTCTTGTCCATCCCGCATGCCCGCCTCTACTTCCACCTCGAGCGTGCGCTCCTCATTCACCAGCTTCACGTTGGGACACTCGTCGCACACCGTCTGCTGCATCATCTGGAAGCGTCCCGGCCCCAGACTGCGCGTCACCATCTCTTGCCTGCAATTGCACTTCCGAGTGCCGCTCGCGGGCTTCAGCACCGGCTTGTAGCGCGTAATCTCCACGAAGTTGCCCGTGTAGAGCTCCTCGAGCGTCACATGGAGATCGACAACGATGTTGGCGCCTCGCGGCACGTCCTGATGGCCGTGCCCTTCGTGGCCGCCAAAGTTGAAGCCAAAGTCCCCAAAGAAGCTGGAGAAGGGATCAGAGTTGTCCATCATGCCGTCCTTCTTCAGGCACTCCTCGCCACAACGATCATAAGTCTTCCGCTTGTCCGGATCGGATAACACCTCATAGGCAGCGCCCAAGTCCTGGAACTTCTCCGAAGCGTTGGGATCATCTTTGTTCTTGTCCGGATGCAGTTTTGCCGCGAGCCTTCTGTACGCCTTCTTGATTTCATTCTTCGAGGCGGATCTCTTGACCTCGAGAATTGAGTAGAAATCCCTTCCGGCCACGGCCAGAGCGATAAAGCATATCAGATTGATGGATAGAATAGCAAACGTGGAAGTCTTCATTTCTCTCAGCTCCTGTTCGGCAGTCACACGCAATAAATAAATTCTCGCTAGTCTACGTGGCGGAGTCTGAAAGAAGTCGTCAAATGATTAGCAACACTTTCGGGAGAGATTGAGCCCCTCTTTGGCCAGAGAGGCGGATTTTCCCTTACTTCAAGATACCTTTGTAGGTTAAGTCGTGAAATCAGCTGTTTTGTGACGATCTATCCAACATTTGGACAATATTGAGACACCAGTCGGCAGTTCACACCACTCTCGATACTTCCTGCATGGTTTCACTATTAGAATTGGCGAATTTCCGTGAAAATGCAGCCACAAAAGCACGATCAATTTTGTTCAGGAATTCCTCAGTTCAAATTGACACACCGAATGTGTTGGTTTGCTGCGATTGGTCAGCGGCAGAGTGTCATCAATGATGATTTTAATACGCCATTGTCTACCACTATACATTCTTTACGTCAACAATCTTCAATGCAAATGCAATTTTCAGGGAATATTTTTGAAATGGGTGGACTGAAATTTTGAACTTACTACATTGCAAGCTATCTAGGCGAGTTGAGGAATAAATTCATATTTTCAAAATTGAATTATATGAAAAACCTAAAATTTTGTGCGTAATTAATGACTCCGCTACACCTGTAACGCTACAGTAGACAATTTTAATCCCATCCGTCGCGTAGGAAAGGCACCACCCGCCATCGACTCGTGCGCCACTCGGGGGACGCTCGGCTGCCATCGGCTGTGGGTTATTGATTTTGGAAAATTGACATTGCTCGAAGAATTTTTCGCCATTCGACGGAGTTTCGTGTGTGAAAAAGTGAGTGTGTGAACTACTGAGGGCTGGAATCCGGGTCAAAAGCATGGCGTTGTGATCCTTCGGTCTGTGGCCAGGTGTTGTGTGTGGAAAAGCGCAGGAAAAGCCACGCTAGTCGCAGTACGCGAGTGCTTCTGTGTGTCCCCTATTCGCCTCAGCTTGTCTGGATTTTCACCGCTGTGGAAAGGTGGGGTGTTTCTGGTGTGTATCTGGAGTGATTTTGGTTGACGGACGGTGTTTGCTTGTGTTGTAGGAGGCGTTTTCTGAGGTGTGAAAAATGACCGATCCGTGGATAATGAATTTCCGGGAGAAGGTGCGCTTTCGCGACCAGTTTGCTTCTCTCAATCCCGTCAATGGCATCGTCACGGGCGCTCAGGCGAAAGGCTTCTTCCTCCAGTCACAGTTGCATCCAAGCGTGCTGATGCAGATCTGGTGAGACATTCCCAGACTCATTTCCGGTGCGTTGGCTAACCTCTATGATTCGCAGGTCTCTTGCGGACACAGACTCGGACGGGAAGATGAACGTTAATGAGTTCAGCATCGCCTGCAAGCTCATCAACATGAGACTACGCGGCTTTGATTTACCCACCACGCTACCGCCCATCCTTCTCACCAGCCTTCTGTCGGCGGGCGGAACGCCTACAATGACACCCACTGGAGCGGGAAGTCTCAGTCCTCTGGAGCCTGTGAAGCCCATCGTTCCAACGCAGCCTGTTGCTCCCGTGGTTCCGAATCTCGCGGCTGCCCAGCAGCCCATGATGTACACCCCACCAGTGGCTCCTGTAGCCCCCATGGCGCCCATGGCCAAGTTCAACTCAGTCTCCGAGACGCCCACGCCCATCGCCGCTGCAGCTCCGCTGCCCCAGAACGGCATGAAGCCCAGATCAATGTCCGTGAGCGACCGCGTGCCCTCCATTGATTCTCCGTGAGTACAATGAGCACCCTAATCCCCTCCCAGGTCGATAAAATGTGTGAATGAGTCATGAAACTTCCTGAGAAGCACCCGAAGTACTTCATAAAAGATTGATCAACACTGATTTTGCAGAATTGTGATTTTTCTCTTGAATTTTTCATTAATTCAATACAAAATAAGTATGTGATTGTTTCAAAGACTCTCCCAGATCTTTCAATACATTTCTTAACCCTCTTCCCCATCCCAAAACCGTCAAGAAAGTCCTTCAGGCGGCCTCTGTAGGCGTGACTGTGGAAAATCGATGCGTTTCTCACACGGTTTTTATTTCTCTTGCAGTCCCGGAGCCGCTGATTGGGCCATCAAGGATACTGTGAGACGCAACTTCACGCAGGTCTTCAACCAACACGATCGCACCCGCTGCGGCTATCTCACAGGCACTCAAGCACGCAATATCATGCTGCAGTCGAAGCTGTCGACCGAAATTCTAGCACAAGTGTGGACACTCTCGGACATGGATAAAGATGGGAAGCTGGGTTGCGAGGAATTCGTCCTGGCAATGCATCTATGTGACATGGCGCTGCACAAGCAGCCGATTCCGGATGAGCTGCCTCCTGAATTAGTGCCGCCTAGCTTCCGGAAGGTCGCTTCGCGTCCCGGCTCCACTGCTAGTTCCCGACACGGCAGTGTATCGTCACAAGGGCTTATTGGGGACGTGATCGACCCTATGGCGGGATTGCCACAGACGTCGTATGAGGATAAGCGCAAGGAAAATTTTGAGAGAGGTCAGGTGGAACTTGAGAGACGTCGCAAGGCGCTACTGGACACTCAGCGCAGAGAGCAGGAGGAGCGCGAGAGGAAAGAGCGCGAGGAAGCGGAAAAGCGAGAAAAGCAGCGGCTGGAGGCGGAGATGAGGCGCCAGCAGGAGATGGAGAGGCAGCTGCAGAGGCAAAAGGAAATCGAAATGGAAATGGAGGAGAATCGCAAGAGACAGCAAGAACAGAAGGAAGCAGCTAGAAAGTGCGTGTAACTTCTACTAACATATTCCTATGATTCTCAAGGAATTTTTCAATGATCCTTTGCGTGTTTTCGTTTAGGGAAATGGAAAGGCAGCGCCAACTTGAGTGGGAGAAGCAGAAAATTCAGGAGATGGAGCAACAGAGGCAGCGTGAGCAGGACAATTTGCTGAGATTGAAGGCGCAGAATCAGAATTCCAGCATTGAACTCAGCACACTCAATGAGAAGGTGCGTATAAGTTGTGTGTATTTAGTCTTCAAGAGTCATAATGTTGATTTTTTTTGCAGATTAAGGAGCTCTCTCAGAAGATTTGCGAAACACGCGCTAGCGTGACTAACGTGAAAGCCGTGATTGATCGCATGAGGACCACTAGAGACACGTCGAATAGCGAGATGACTCATCTGAAGAACAAAATCAAGGAGCAAAATGCAAAGTTGGTGCAATTGAGTCAGGAGAAAGCAAAACTCGATGCGAAGAACAAGGCAAATCCCGCCGATCAAGAGCAAATATTCAACAATAAGCAAGTGAGTGTTGGATATTGAATTTCCTCAAATGAAGATGAATCATCAACTTTCGTGTCTTGGTAGATCCAATTACAGCAGATGCGCGACAAAGTGGCGGACACGAAGGAAAAGATCACCGGCAAGCGTAGTGACATTGAGGCGAACGGTGAACAACTGAGTGAGATTAAGCAGCAGCTCACTGAATTGATTGACAACTGCGAGACGCTCTACGGGGAGTATGATGTGCAGCGCAGTCAAGTGATAGAGCTGAAGAACAACAGACGCAATGAGGCGGCCACGGCGTCCTGGGGCGATGAGGATGCTGGCTGGGGAGCCGCTCCGGCCGTCGAGAGCACACCTAAGGCCGCTGTGCCTTCAATTCCCGGCTACACCCAGTATCGCGCACTCTATGGCTTTGTGGGTCGCAACGCCGATGAGATATCCTTTGAACCGGGAGAAATTATCATGGTGAGAACTTTGACAAATCCCTACCTTTTCTGTATCGCTTATATATGTGGTATTTCAGGTGCCATTCGACCAGAATGCGGAGCCTGGATGGCTTGCGGGCGAGATTAACGGCAAGACAGGTTGGTTCCCTGAGTCTTACGTGGAGAAATTGGAGGAGACGGCAGCGGAAGTGGCGCCGGTGGCCGCGGAGGCGACGTACATCGAAGCGACAAACAACGGCGAAGCACCTGCTGAGACCAGTGACTCAGGTTACTACATTGCATCGTATCCGTACGACTCAGCGGAGCCGGATGATCTCACCTTTGCCGCGGGCGATCTGATACTAGTGACGAAGAAGGACGGCGAATGGTGGACGGGAACACTGAATGGGAGAACGGGCATATTTCCGTGCAACTACGTGGATAAGGCTCCGGCTGGAGTTGTTCCAGAGAACAATGGAGTGAGCAAAAATGGAGGATATCACGAGGAAACTGTGAGTGTTTTGCTGGGCACGGAATTCCAATGCAGTTTTTCATGATGAATCTATCGTAGAGTGACTCAGTGGCCGTGGTGCGGCAGGATAATGCTGAAAGTGAGGCTAAACTGCAGGCTGATGTGGATTCTGAGGTATCTCAGATCAACACGAGACCCAAGAGTGAGTCTGTGGATTACTCAATCCCAGCATCAGCGTCAGCAACTCCCGTGAGTATTCATCTCAGACAGGATTCTTCCTTGGAGAACTTGACATATTTATCTGCTCTTCGATAGAGTTTCCGTGGTAAGAAGCCCGAAATTGCCCAAGTGATCGCACCGTATGAGTCGACGACAAAGGAGCAGCTCTCACTGCAGCGCGGGCAACTGATAATGATCCGGAAGAAGACTGACACGGGCTGGTGGGAAGGTGAGTTGCAAGCCAAAGGACGCGTGCGGCAGATTGGCTGGTTCCCGGCGACGTATGTGAAGATCCTGCAGGGTGGACGCAACAGTGGTCGCAATACTCCAGTTTCCGCCAGCAAAATCGAACTGCAGGAGACGATTCTGGGTGAGAATTCGCCTGTGGGTGATTGAATTTGGAATGTGAAGATGATGGAAATTGATCTCTTGCAGACAAAGTCATCGCTCTGTATCCATACAAGGCGCAGAACGACGACGAGCTGTCGTTCGAGAAGGACGATATCATCAGTGTTGTTGGCAGAGATGAGCCTGAATGGTGGCGAGGAGAGTTGAATGGGATTCAAGGACTCTTTCCCAGCAATTACGTTGGAGCATTCGTGACGTCAGGTGAGTGTAGAGAAGCTATGCGAAGTTGAGGCGATTACTGAATGAATTCTATGTATTTGCAGGAAATGTATAAATTGCGCTTAATAATCTTATATCAACGGGGGACAAAGAATGGACCCACAAATAATAATAATATATTTACAGACAAGAATAGTATATACAAAATTGAGAATTAGTGAAAATTGCAAGAATTGACATTGTAAACATGAATTCCTGTTGAATTTAGTTTAGTGGACACACAATAATATCGAAGTATTATCTGAAAAATGGTAAATGAGAATCACACTCTCAGAGGACGTTCTGTTATATTCTCTTCTGTCCTTATTTTCTGGGACCGGGAAAAGGCGTCCCATCGTCATTATGAATAATGTATAAAAGAAGAAGAAATGACTATCGAGTCTCCAAGTTAGTCCAGTTGAAGTATAACTTATGTTTGTTGACTATTATTTAGTGAGATTGCGGGGCCGAGAAGGAAAAATATGCAAAATAAACATAATTTTAAATGTTTAATCATAAAAATAAAAGAATAACAAATTGTGAAATGATCTAACATTTTTTCCTTTTCGCTTTTGTGTAAAGTTGTATTTGAAACTGAATACATTGAATAATGGATAATGTTTGGCTGTTAAAGAGAAAACTGCTTTTATTACTATAATTTAAATGACATCGCCACTTACTTAAGAGGGGGTGAAGAGACAAAGAGATGAAAAAGCTACAATTTAAGATGATATAAATATTAGTCAGTTATTTCTGTAATAAGTTTCGCTGCGGAGGAGCCACAATTTGATTTAGGGATCCCCTGTGTTTATCATTCCTGTTCCATGTTATGAAACCCTTTCAATAAGATGCTATTTGAGAGACATTCTTTAAGTATTCAATCAAGGCGAACACAATAAAAGTATACAAACGATATGTATATTTTCCCACTTTTCATCGATAAATTTTACCCTCAGCGGAGACACACTTTTTCATCGTTTATTTGGGGATGAATTTCACCACAGCTGTCGGCGAGAAATCCACCACAGTCCGTGTCAAAGTGTTGTCACCACCGCCAGTGGTGACTCAAGTGCTCCCCGGAAAATTGCTTTTTCCTCGCTCGTAAGCCCAAAATCTCAGTGAAAATGCTTGGAAACAGTGATGTGAAGGTGTGGTGGATGCTGTGATATGAAGAAAAGGGCGTCGCACCTTGAATATCAGCGAGAAAAGTTGCTCGGAAGGGAGTGTGAGTTCCCCACACGCAAATTTATTTTCAGCCCTGCCCGACTGTCCAAGTCGCTCTCTCAAACACCTCTTCGTCAGCTCGCTGTTGGGGAGAACTTTTCCAATCATTCGTAGAATAAGAACAAAAATTGTTAGTTTACTCGCTAGATATCTTTTGGTTGGATTCCACCCAATTCAACCTGACATTGTGGCGAAATTATTCCTTAAAACATTCTTATTTGCGTGCAGTTGATGGACTTTGTCAGCCGGGTGCTTCTTTTTCCCATGAATATTTTGGCTGTGATGGTTTGTTTATTTTTATCAAAATTCTAATAATAATTAGCTGCTGTGAGCAAAGCGGCGACACTTTATTGCATATTTGAGGAAAATTCAGGAGCAAAAGTGCGCAAGAATAAGAATTCTCGTGTCACCCCTGATTAGAATTTCCTGGGCTTTGTGCACAGTGTTTATGGCTCTTTGTCCCTTTTCCCTCAGTGCCAGAAAACTCCACAGCTTTACCTGCAAAGTCAATTTTCTCGCTACGACAGGAAATGCCCGCGGAGATGCTAAAAATATATTCCTCTGCTGACTAATAAAAGAGGTTTCCCGCTCAAAAAAGAGTCCTTTAACACTCTGGCTCGTATTCATCAAGATTACAGCTAAATATAGCCAATTTGGTCCAGTATCTTTCCTCGTGAGAGTGCCTTTCGGTGTCTCGCTTCGCTACATTTGAATCTGAAGCATCAATTGTTAAACAAATCTGTAACACAATCCGGCATTCATCTGCTGCCTTCTCTTCTAAATACATTTGCTCGGAAACATTTTGTGTCGATAGGAAATTTTGCAAGAATTTTCTCGAACGGATGCCTGAGAAACAATCGAAGATTGCCAAAATTGAATTGATTCAAAACTTTCCCTTCAGACTTAAAACTTGACTTTGTAGGAATTGTTGAAATGCACTTTGAAATATAATTTCACCACTTTGGTCCGTAAGATTTTACAATCTTGCCTGAGTAGAACGTAAAATTTCCAAGCTTCCACGTCACTTTGAACTCCCGCTAGAATATGGACCGTGGGTGACGAGAGATATTGGCCAATAAAGTTGAATAGCCTCGAGTGAATTTTGTAATTTGTTCTGTTTGCTTGCAATTTCACACTCAAATGCCCATCCTACAAGTGCACGTGGGTGGCAAATTCAATTGGGCTTCCACTGAAGGTCTGCTCTCAGCCTTTAGTTGACTCATCTCTCAATAGCTTCGCACTGTCTCCAGCGGTTTTTCATTCTCTCCTCCTTCCATGTGTCGTCAATGACGATAAAAACCAGACGGCAAAGTGGGAAAATGGGGGAAAGTTGGTGGGAATAAAGTGGCTGCACGACACGAAAATATGCCAAATTTATAATTGGCATCGAGCCAAGAGACGCATGCGAAAGAAGGTGTCAGATAAATTGTGTTTCATTAAATTTTTGCATTTAAATGCACCTAATTTGTGCTCTTGTATTGATGACGATAACGAGAAAATTCATTTCACACATTTTGTGGTGTATGTTTTGTAGAATCTGTTTACAATTTGCAGATTTGCAAACACAGAATAATTGCTGTTCTTGACAACGCAATCGCCGTACAATGTAGAAAATTTTTGGCCACTCTCGTGCCATTGTGCAAGTTCTATTGTATTGCTCATTTATTGTAACCCAAATTGTATTTTTGGAATGAATATTGATTAAAATGTTTAAATTAATACAATAATTTCACAATTTCAAACTATTAATATAATTAATATTAATGATAAGTTGCACGAAATACAATCAAATTCTGCTCTCGGAAAACTACAAAACATCTTATGAAATAACTTTTAAAAGCTCTTGACACATTTCATGCTTTAATTTATCATTCTGGATGAGACTTTAGAAAATGAAGACATTTTCCAAAATAGTTGAATTCTATTAAACTTTGATAAAAGTACAAATTTGATTCAATTCGAAAGTTATATTCTTGACTGGAAAGTTCTTTTAATTGGAAAAGTTTCTGTAATATTGGCAAAGAGCAAGTCGGTGTAGTTCCATGGCACTTGTTAATTTTATACTCTCTGCAAAAGTGAGAATTTAACTAATCGATACTGAATAAATTAAGATGAAATCCTAGTTTTGTGGCGAAAAGTGCATTGAAAGAAAGGCACTTTAAATTTGTTGCTTGACTCAAAAAAAAATTTTCCTTTACTTTCATCTCTTTATAAGTTGATAATTGAGCCGTTTTACAAAATATTTCACTCAATTTGTGGAGAATTGTTGATGGGTGGAAAATGCTATTTTGTTATTTATGTCTTCGAGTGACGATGTCACCAATGGGAAAAGGATTTGCAAAATATGTCTAAAATGTTGAATTTATTGCCAGTAAAATTTGAGTATAAAATGCTCAATTATCCCACATGTCCAGACTTACATAATGCCACCTCTCAGAAACCATCACAACTCTGTTCAAAATATTCGTGACAGGAGTATTCAGAAAAATTGTACGTCAAGAATTTTATTTCCAATGTGAAAAAAAATATTCTTAGAAATCATACCTGAATTTGTCGAGAACATAATGTAAGTGTTGTAGTCTGATTGGTCCTGATATAAGATTAACATGCTAATGGAGTGGAAATGTCGCACCCTGTGGACTGAGTGAGAAAATAATCCAATAAGATACATATTTTTCGAGGAGAAATAATACGAAGAGACGAGAGTGAGAGCATTCTAACAGAATGCTTATGCTATTGTGCGGAAAAATCAATGCCAGACTTTCCTAATGCCATCATCTCAGAGACTTGTGGCTGGGTTTGTCTCGTCTCGCCACGATGATGGTTGAGAAAGTACAAATAAACAGTGTGTGTTCCACCTATAAATTCTGTTCAGTGACTTTTTCATCGGGTGAAATGATAGTTTGTTTAAACACTGCTTCTATTCTTGCAGTCGCGTGGTGATCATCCAGTGAGAAAGCAACTGGCGAGTGCATTATAGGGGAAGAACAGCGATGGAGACTCCGTACACAGTGCAAGCGGAGTATTCCTTCAAGGGGTCCAATAATGACGAGTTGTGCTTCAAAAAGGGCGACATTATTACTGTGACTCAGCGCGAGGAGGGCGGCTGGTGGGAGGGAACGCTCGGCGACAAGACGGGATGGTTTCCCAGCAACTATGTGAAGGAGTACAAGACACCTCTGCCGGTGGCGGAAACTATTCGGCCGCCGGAAGAGATTCAGGCTAGTCGTTCGCTGGTTCTCAATGATCTACTGGAGAGTGAAAAGGCGCATGTGGCGGAGATCCGTGGGCTCTTGGAGAACTTCCTGGAGCCCCTGTCCAACAGTCAAATGTGAGTGGCACTCGCCATGTCGTGACTGTAGGCAATTTCTCATGCTCGTCCCCTTCCCTTGCAGACTATCATCCGACGAATACGCTCAACTAATGTGTAATTTTGTAGAAATAGTAGAAATCCATGAGGATCTTTTGTTAAACATTGAAGACTGCAACGATCGTGTTGGCAAATTATTTCTATCGAAGGCATCAGTGATCAAGAATAGTCATCAGGCCTATTGTGCGGCTCATCCACGTGCCATAGTTATCCTGGATAAATACAAGTAAGTTGTTTTATCAGTGCTCTTTGGAATGATTGCTAACGAAGCGCTTGCATACGACAGAGATGAACTTGAGACGTTTATGGAGCGTCAGGGAGCAGCTTCGCCGGGTCTTTTAGTGTTGACAACAGGTCTGTCGAAACCCTTTCGGCGTCTGGAAAAGTACTCAGCCATGTTGCAAGAACTGGAGAGACACATGGAGTGTGGCCACCCAGATCGAGGGGATACACAGAGAAGTGTGGCGGTTTACAAAGATATTGCTGTGAGTCTCCAATATCTATCTACATGTCAGATGGCGGATTAATTGATTTCCTTTCAGTCCACTTGCGCTGCCACGAGACGACAAAAGGAATTGGAGCTTCAAGTTCTCACTGGTCCTGTTCGTGGCTGGCAAGGGCAAGAATTGAGCACTCTTGGGGAAATAATACATATGGGAAGTGTGGCTGTTGGGCCCGATCATCGAGATCGATACTTTGTGCTCTTCCCTCAAACCCTGCTCATTCTGAGCGTCAGCCAGAGAATGAGTGCATTTATTTACGAGGTATGTCTGTAGTTTATTTATTCAATTCGTAGATTAGAAGGACTTATTTGATCCTTAAAATAAGGTTAACTAGATATAATCATGCATTTTTTTTAACATGTAAAAGAGATAAGAGGCTTTATAGACATATTCATCTTTAGCAACAAAAAATACATATTATTGTTCTCTGGCTTTTATATAAGTCAAACTTATAAGAAGGAAAGAAGCAACTCATGCTTGAATTCAAGTACGAAACTATTCTCTGTCATGCGAATTTCATCAACACTTTGTAATTTGCAAGTAGATGAATAGAGTTTTCATGTTAGTCATTCTAAAAACACAGTATAGTTTAATAGGAAAAATTCAATAGAAATGATTTAATTAGCAAAGACATGCAATTTACAGGGGAAATTGCCACTGACTAACATCTTGGTGAAACGCCTTGAGGACTCGGCCACGATGAAGAACGCATTTGAATTGAGTGCACCACTGATCGAGCGAATTGTGGCTGTGTGTCAAGGTCCAACGGAGGCCAATAAGTGGGTTGATCTTCTGTCTTCATTCTCAAACTCCCTGCGACGACCGGGTGTGGATCTCAAGAGGACTGTCGGAAGCAATGCTTCGATGAATGTTCCTCATCCTCCACCACATGTGAGTATGATGTAATAGTGGGATGTGTAGTGTAGCAATTAATTGTTGAATAATGTACAGAGTGTCACGCCTCTCGACATACGTGGCTATTGTACAAGAAACTCGGTAATTTCTTACAATCTGGCAAGGGTGGAATATCAGCCCGTTTTTCCGCCAAAATCATATCCATCAACAGCACCATATGCTAGACTGAATGATCATTTTGCGCAGCACGTAAAGAAGGGCAGATTGACGAGATTTATCGTAAAGGCACTGCTCTATCCGGAATTCCTTAGGGAATATGACACATCTCAAGTAGTAATGCGAAGGAGACACAGAACGACAATAAGGATGTTGAGAAAGAAATCCACTGGAAGCAGTGCAGAGAAGACAAATCTTTCGCGACAGGACGCTTTTGAGTGTCTCTCATCGGATAGCAGTAGCTGCAGTACTGGATCTACGGCAAGCAATCCTTTTGGGTTGATAAAATACTTCACGGGCAAGAGATTGACGGATGAGAGTCGAGAAAGGACACACTATGAGACGTTTATTGACCACGGAGTTGAGGCGGATTGCACAAAAGAGATCTTTGAGACGCTGGATAAGCGTCCGGAAGAGAGAAAAATTAGTGGAATGGAGATAAAGCGCAGTGATGACGGGACTGTTTACTTTCGGAACTTCTCCCATTTGGAGGAGATTGATAAGGCGCTGAGGGATTCACTGGTGGTGTGCTCAAAGCCTGTGAAAATGGCAGAGTTGAGATCATCTTCGGGTGAAAGTGTGGTGCATCTCTCGACGGCTCGTCTCAATTTGGCGGCGATCAAGCAACACTCAGAGGCGTCAGAGGTTTCCAGTTTTGAAATAGCACTCCCCAATGGACGGATGGCGTGTGAGAATCTGCTGAAATTAGATGATTCCATGCCGTTGTGCAATAATTTGAAGCCCAAAATCCCAATTGATGAGAGACACAGCATGCCAACTCTATTCGTGGGGAATCGCTTTAACAATTCCTCCTCCACGGAGATCTACATTCCCTCGTGGCGTGACACGGGGGAGAAGAAGACTACGGTAACACATTCCACGTCCATTGAATTACCACAAGTATCGCAGGCACTCGTGCCACTGCCCGATCACGTCGCCGCGGCGATCATGTATGATCGCAGCAGTGACGATATTGTAAAGCCACCCAGTATGTTTGCTAGTGGTGCGACTGATCGTGCAGTTCTTCTGCATCGCGAGGTGTCGCCTTTCGCGAAGCACTCCATTAATTCGGATCTGAAGATGAGGGGCAGTCCGAGACCGAGGCGATCGGTGCGTCGTTGTGTGAGTTCGCATTTCGTGAGACTAACCAATGACACGTCCCAGACTCCTGATGTGCACCCGCATGAGTGTGGCTGCAAGAATTCAACTCACAGCCCGCGCTCGAGTGATTCAGGCATGGCGGGTAGTTATACGATCGCACGATCTCCTGAGCCGCCAAAAACCAGCAATGAATCTCACAGACTGAGGCATTCGAGATCGAGTCACAATTTCGGACAATTCCCAGCAATCACCGTGCTGTCGCAGGAAGAGGCGGACTTTACGGATAGTGGACAGTATGGGGAGAGTAGCCTAATCAAGGATGATGAGATGCTTAACTTCCTAGAGCTGTCTACTAGTCGGGAAACTTTTGAAACACAAGTGAGACGATCACCGACATTGCCAAGATCGCGATCGGTGGATGACATCCCAGTGGAAGTGCCACTGGAATTCTCAGATACCAACACGAGTAGTGTAATTGTGGTGCAGGTGCCCGAGGAAGGAAGGGACAAGGAGAAGCAGGTGTTCAGAGCCGGCCTTTATGCGCACTGGTGGAAAAAGGAGAAATTGCCGAGTGACTTGCTGCGTGGGATCATGTTCCGGCAACCTGAACACACTCTTGGTGATTGCAATCGCGATGGTGGTCATGTTGGTTTTGGTGGTGGCTCACATGGAGGGGCTTCAGGCAAGGCATTTTTCGAAGTTTTCTTGTTGATTTTCCTTTTTTACTCTTCTTATAATACCTTTTATTTTGATGAAATAATGAGTGAAGATCATCCACAAAAGTACACAACATGAGCGTCATTAACTCGCCAAACGCGGAATGGCTAAAAGAGGATCATAAAATAATTGTGTTTGAAATATGACGCTTTTCTGCCATGTTTTTCAATTTCATCTTCATTCTATCTGTGGCTTGTTCTCTTGCGAGATCAGTTGTTTATATCCAGCTTCTTAGCTGTCTCTATTTATCATATTGCATCTCTTTTGTGTTATAATATCACATCGTAATACTGCCTGAGCCCCTCTAGTCATTTTGTGGCATATGTTGACTCCTGTACTAATCCCACCATGATCATCAAAAGCATAATTCCTCGAAATTGACAGTATATGCAAAAGAGCGCAAGACATCGATATATATATACACACAAAGACACAATCAACAGCAGAGAATAAACATTTTTGTGCGTGCTGACGGTGCTGACTAACGAAAACAACGTTGTTTCTTTGATTGTTTTATCTGTCAACTTGCTATTCTTGCGTTGGATGATGAATTAACCCAAGAAAAGTGGACATACAAAATGAACTAATGTGTTTGGGTATTCATTTTAGATGTCTCCGCCGCCGTCACTTGGAGGAAATCATCAAAGTCGCGTCACAACGCCCATTCACATGTCTCAACACAAACGCAGTCACTCCTTCAATCACCATCTCACGTTCAATCAACTGCAGAAGCAGCAGCAGGCACAGCCTCAGCATCCACATCCAGCACCACCTCTTCCGCCCAGTCATCACCCCATTCAGCCAAAGGACCTCAGCCAAGCGCTCGTGGTGTCAAACGAAAAGAGCGTCAACCCAAAAGGTATGCCAATCTCTGATGTATGACAATGTATGTACTTTGAGGGGCATTATCTTACGCAAAGAAGTTGCAGTGATCACAAAAGCAACAGTACAAATCTTTAACACAGTATCTGTTGAAAACATAGATGATATTGTACAATTGAAACATTTTTCTGGAAAAAGCACTCGTCAATTTGTAATCAGATGCAGTGGCAATTTCAGAAAGCAAATATTAAAAGAAATTCAATCATTTACTGATTAATTGAGTTGACTGTTTTAATTTCCTGCACAGCTAATTGGAGCATCACCAATTTACGTCCAGCCCCTCCGTCACGAATGTCTGTGCAGGGTGGAATTGTGGCCCCCAGGAAAGATCCGCCAACGTATGAGGAGGACGCCCTCGTGTTGAGGGTGATTGAGAGCTACTGTGCCGCATATCAGAGCACCTCGCGCAACACAACGCATTCAGGTGAGTGCCAATTCCCTGCCATTGGCTTCAATTTCTCTCCACCACCCTTTTTTACATTCTGTTTTTTATTTGTTTTTCATTTAATTTCTGATCAATGAACAAGAACTGTTGAGTTTTATCGTTAATTTAATCACACGACAGAAACACACAGCGAGAAAAACTCTCTCGACTTGGGCTGTGATTATTAATGACATTACACACACTTATTGGACATTTCTGTTTTGCACTTTACTAATTCACTCGCCATGCCGAAGGTTACGTTCATTCACCCCTTTATTTACTTTTTGGTTTGTGAAACGTACCGTTGGTCTTATTTAATTCCTGTACATAGCTTTTATGTTAATATTAATTCTATACCATGTTATGTTTATTTAATTTTGTTTTACTCTTAATTTACTGAAAAGAAACCACTCGTTTTAATTCTGATATACATTGTTTGTGTGAGAGAGCGAGAGAGAGAGAGAGAGAGAAAAAGAGGAGAACTACTATTTCTTTAGTTGATAAGGTATTATTTATTTACCACTCACTTTCTCACTGACATAAGAGATGTGACAATATAATAAATTGGTGATTAGATACAGTGGAAGTGGAGATGAGGTGTATAAATTGACACATGGAAGGCAAGGAGAGAAATAATGTCGCTAAAACAAATGAATAAGGAAATAATCTATATGGCTTTACACACACACACACACAAACAAAATTAAAATTACTAAAAATTGAGACTATATGATAAAAAAAATACTGATATTGGCATGAAGAAAATGAGAATTATGGGAAAATAAACAGAGGTTAAATTTTATGAGTGCGTAGAGTTAAGAGACAAAAAAGAGTGATAAGAACTTCGAAAGGCTATTGTTTTGTATACACTGAAATTCTTTATACACTTATTACAATATTTTGCATTGTTATGTTTATTTGAAATAGCTTATTTGCTTTATTCTTTGGCTACCTTTCAATTTTTATATTGATTCGTTAAATTTTATTCTATGTTTATCTTGTTTACTGTCAAATTTACTTGAAAGGCTTGCAGATAAATATTGATGTGTATGAGAAGTATTGGCACTGATTAGAGATCTTAAACCTGAGATTGAATTTTACATTTATATATCAAATTTTATCATAACACTTTATATGACGATGCTAAAGAATTCACTACTAATATTATCAGACATCTGTAAAGTTCAATCAAGGTGTATTTGAATTTGTAGCTTAAAGTACAAAATTGACCGTAATAAGTGTTAAATACTGCACAAGAGACAATTGCTAGTCATTTTTTCTCAATAGAAGTTTACACATACAGTCAAATTACAATGATAGGAATGAAGAAAAGTTCGAAGAATGTGTGATAAGTTTGCTGCTTAATATGACAATATTTCTTTCTTTCCCTTCCTTTCTCTTTTTTCTTTTGCGTGCATTCACACCGAACATAAATCAGCACTTCAACCATGGACACCGTGTCTTCCAATCCGTGGTGGCAAATTGAAATCATCGAAACATTTCTCAACGTCAAATCCACAGCTACCCTTCATATGTGGCTCACCGTCTAATATGATGAACAATACTAACTCCACCAATAGTCTCAATTCATCGTATATTTGGCGTGAGGCGAGTCCTAACAATTTCAATATGTACTCCACGTCGGTGTCGTCGCTCAACTCATCGTATCGCTATTCTCTGGGCACCGCGGCGGCCGCCACAACGGTGACCAGTAGCGTGGCGGCGCCCCCACTGTCGTACGAGTGGCGATCGGTGTCGGAAGACAAATCGCCGAGGCACAAGACGCCGCCGATCAAGTACAAAACGGCCTCGAACTATGACAATTTGCAAAACACGCCTCTGTTGAGCAGGAAAGTGTGTCCGCTGCCGCGTCAGCCCAGCTTCAAGGGTGGCGGAAGTCCGTCGCCCAGAAGCACACCGCAGCAAGCTTACCGGGAGCACCAGCTGCTCTACGACAGGCGCGTGAATCGGTCATTTGACGCGCCTGGCGTGGGTCCAGAGGCAATGAAGCTGCCCAAGGGACACCCTTTGCGCCGGTCCACGCCACATTTGTCCGGAATGGAGGGGGATCCGGCGATGCCGGGCAGCAATAGGGACTCCATGAACGCCACATGGTGCTGTGGAAGTTTCGTACTGAAGCAGTGGCGAAAGTATCATCAGTACGACTGAAAGTAGTGACATGGAAGTTCCACACAGATTCCGTATTATTGAAACTTCCATGATGATTCTCTTGATTTACTTAGTGGATTGATTTATTTTTTAAACATTGTAATAAGGATGTCTGTATTTTTCCCTCCGCCAAGGAAAGATGAGATTGTGCATTTTCACAGGGTTCCACCGACAATTGGTTGGTGGCAAGAATGCCAGAGAATTTATTGATAACAAAGTAAAAAAAAAATGAAAATGGGTCTAAAATGTTTTATTCGTGAAAAAAGTAACCATTCAATGGATCAAATGTTGACAATATTTCACTTTATATAACTTAAAGAAAAGGGAAAGGGAGGAAATTGATGAAGAAACTTGTGGGTTTTGTTGACAAATCGAAAGGGTTTCTTTCTTGGAGCAGCAAGAAGAATGTTTAAATGTTTCGTGTAGAATTTTTCAATCTACTTACTCCAAAATTATATTTAAAGAAAAAAGAGTATTTAAAGATATTTGAGAGCAGCACAAGTAAGGAAAGCGAGAAACACTTTCGTGCCAATATTCGGAATGGGCGTGAGAGAAAAAGAGAATTATTCGAGAGATATGGAATACACTTTAGCGAAAGAAAATATGTAAATGTGTGAAATTTTTGCCGCACAAAGTGCTAAAGAATTTTAGTGCCATATTTTTCAAAAAAAAAAGTTTGCAAAATGCTATTTTATAATATGAGAATTTATTTGAACTTCTCTTTTTATGCTTTGTTTACAGGGTTTTTTTTAATATTAAAATATGATTTTTTTTACTTGACGTTATATAGAGACTTTATTGTGTCATGTTTCCCACTTGGAAGATCAATGTTGCGTGTCACGCAAGAATGCAGGCTTCCTGATCATGCAAAGTGGCGACAAAACGTTCTCCCGCTAAAGTGTATTACAGTCTCGATTTGTGTATTAAATTCTTATGTAGTGTTAAGTGTCAGTTTAACTTATCATTTAGAGATATTTAGATGGTGATGAGAAGGGACGTTGGCATCACTCATAGAGTCCTCAATATAAACTAATCTAGTCCGTTACAATGTTGAGATTTATACCATATTATATACACAATTTGTCCTATTTATTACTTATTATTCATATTAATTGTACAATATATTAGTTAAGGACGATCATGAGCGTATATAAAATATCTTAGACACCATAATAAAATTTTTAATGAGAAGCAGAGATGAGACAACAAATAAAACAATATGTATTTCCGCAAAAATCACAATGGCACTAAGTGAGGAAAATCTTTTATGAAATTGTCGATGTAATGGTATACAGTTTATCGTAATTTTGCAGTCGAAGCAGATTGTATAGTCACAATCCTACAGAAGCAGAAATGAATCAATAGTGAAAAAAGGGATAAGAAGAAAGCAGTGAATTGTATACCTTACGGTGCTAAGAACACTTTGTTGTACTACAATGGTAAAAAAAATTGAGAGATGAGATGATGAAGGAAAACACCTGTGTATATTTTGTCTAATACATGTTTCATACTCGAAATTTAATACTATTAATGATGGTCAGAGCGTCGTTTTGCGGCTTTGTTCACCGCGATTTCTGGGCGGCCGTGTGAGACTTGATCGTGGATCAGAAATTGTGAATATCATGTGGCTAAAAATGGGTGGATGGAAATGCTATAATAATGTACAAACGAAGGATATTAACAAGTCATCGACAAATTAGTTTGTATCCCTTTTGCAGGCATTGAGAAGGAGGATAGGACGCCGACGTTGAGGCAAATTTGGGGCACAGTGCGTCAAATGCAGCTGGACATAAAGCAGATCAAGGAGCAAATAAGTGAGGAGAGAGCGCTGAGGAGTCACTTGCAGCAGCTGCTCATGGGACACTTGGAGACCCTCGGTGGACAAAGGGATGTTTGCTGAGCCCGCACAAATGCCAGAAGATAGTTTGTAGACATCTATATTTTATATACCCTATATTTTACTATTGAGAGTATTACAGAACAAATCTAAAGAAACTTGCTCGTAAACTTAGAAATCTTGCAATAATCATAATCCAGGAATAATTAGAGAGATGAAGAGCGTAAGGCATGAGCAATAAAGTAACTTGAGTATTATGCAATAAGAATACGATTTCTAAAAAATATGTGGAAGGATAAGTGCCGCCAAGAAAGAGATCTATTTAAGGCGATGGCTGCGCCACAACAGAAATAGATGTGTAGAAATGCGCGAGGAGCGAGAATGCTAATGCAGAACGACGAGCAAAATACGGTACAAATCTCACACTAGAGTGCTAATAACCTATTGAGTGAGAGAGACTCTTCTGCGGTAGGAGGCCCCCGAACAACTGTTTTGATTTTTTTATCCACAATGTCGTCGCTTTCGCGATATCGCATTATGCAAATGACCTTTCACAGCGACGAACGGCGTGCGTGCTCGATTGAGAGGAAGAGCCGAACGAGAGGTTGATGATTGATAGTTTCCAACTCCATAGATAAGATTATACTATCACGTTACGCTGCATTGTGGCGGCATTTCTGCTGCGTGAGCATTCTACTCAGTGATAAAGGGGGTCTGCCATTTAGGAGGTCAGTGGACAAAATAAACAAAATATCATTTATTTCAGGGAATGATCTTTATTGCTTCTCATAATATCAGATTTTTTGTATCAGTGTATCAACTGAATAAATAACACTGTGTGTGTATATCATATAAAAATGTCCTCAAGCGGAATGTACATCTAAAGTAGTCTGTATAAAAAAAATGTTTCGAACTTTCCTTCAAAAGAAACAACTCACTCGCAAATGTTATATCTCGTAAGTATTTTCCTTACACCACCCGCAAACCCGTTGAGTAGGGGAAAATTGTTAGTATTGGGGATTAGAGTTTGTGCCATTTGTACGATCCGTAGTACTTGAAGTTGCTGTCTTTGCACTTGAGATCCGCCTCTCTTGGTCCACGTGAGCCGTAAACGTAGGGAATAGGATCGCACTTGTCCGCCTCAATTTGGTGCAGAAGCGGCGTGAAGATTCGCCAGGCTTCGCGAAGTTCATCAGAGCGTACAAAGTGCATCTGAGAGCCGCAGAACACATCCAGAATGAGTCGTTCGTACGCGTCTGGAAGGGTGACCTCCTGGGAAAAGTGAGTTTGCATTGAATATTTATTAGCATTTCTATTTCTCATGTATTGTAATTCCCATTTTGCAGATTTACGCCTTGATTTTACATTAAAATAAGAAGTTCTGAGGGCTAGTTGCCTTATCGCGAAAACTCTATGACTAGTTTCGTCAAGCGTGGAAATTGGATAATAAAAATATTGATAAATCAACGCAAAACAATTTGTTCTTAATCAATTTTCTTTCAATTTCTCATAAAGCCTGACTCAAGAATTGTTTGAACACAAAAAAATTCTCAATGACGCACCCCTGATAATTATATTTGGCAAGCAATATCCTACTTTTTGCCCCGGAACCCGTTGTTTTCCATTTTAGGAAGTATTTAATGACGCTTTAGGATCCATTAAATTCTCAAAACGGTGTCTTGCGTCTCAAGAACCCGACTTTCTCGAGATTCAATGACGTCAACCTCATATTTGATCTTTTTTCTTTGAGTGTAAAACATGTTTTCTCACCTTGTAGCGATGCGTGTACGTGAGATCCAGCTCCGTCTCTTCCAGATCAAAGGTAATCCCTGGCGACTTGGTCATCATCTTCACATAGAGTGCCTCACCAGGCTGCACACGAATGACCAACTCATTGCGCTTCGGTTTGCCCTCGAAAATGTCACCGGGAACGTCGTGATACTGAATCCTGACCTCAGCTTTGCGCTCATTCAGCGCCTTGCCGCAGCGAAGGATGAAGGGAACGCCATCCCATCGCTCGTTGTTGATGCGGAGCACTGCCAGGGCGTATGTGGGTGTTTTGGAGCCTGCCGGAACAGTGGGATCATCCAGATAGCCCTTGCTGGCGTCATCATGGGCAGGCGCTTCGGGATTGCCCACATACTGACCCAGGACGACGTCATCGAGCGTGAGAGCTGGAATCGACTTCAGGACCTTCACTTTCTCATCACGAATATCATCCGGATGGCAAGAAACGGGTTTCTCCATAGCCACCAGCGAGAGGATCTGCAGCAGATGATTCTGCATGACGTCCCTGATGATGCCGAACTCGTCGAAGTAGCCGCCGCGTCCCTGAGTGCCGAAGGGCTCCTTGAAAGTGATGAGCACAGAGGCAACATTTCCATTGTTCCAAGTGGGACTGAAGATGCGATTCCCGAAGCGGATGGTCATGAGATTCTGCACCATCTCCTTGCCGAGGTAGTGATCAATGCGATAGATTTGCTCCTCGCGGAAGAGCTGCGCCAGGTGATTGCTCAGCTCCTCCGAAGAGGCGGCATCGCGGCCGAAGGGCTTCTCAATTATCACCCGATCCCAGCCCTCGCCGTGCCGGTCGAAGCAAGTGTTCTTCACGTGCACAGTAACGGTATTGAAGACACTCGGGGGCAGAGCGAGGTAGTAGAGGCGATTAGAGCACTGTCCGTGTTCCGCCCTCACCATGGCCGCGTTGAGACGCCGGAAATCTTCGGCATTGTCGTACCCTCCGGCCACATACTCGTTGAGACGCCAGAATTCTTCCAGCAGCTTCTCCTCATCCGGTCGGGCTTTCATGAAGGGTGCGCACTTGGCCTTCAGCTCGGCCACCGTGAGTTTACTCCTTGAGTAGCCAAAGAAATGCGTTCTCTCGGGCAGCAACCCATCCCTGTAGAGCCACCACAGCGTGGGGTAGATCTTCTTCCTGGCCAGATCTCCCGAGCTGCCGAACACCACGAACACATGCCCGCGTCCGCCGTCAAAGAGGGTGCCCTCGCTGTGCTCCATCCGATTGGTTCGCAGCGACTGTCGTATGATCGCCAGAGCTTCCTCCTCACCTGCACTGCGCCTGCGAGTGTCACCTGGAACGACGTCAAGTACAAGAAATCACAGCACACCGCGATAAGTAGTTTGCGTCCTGGAATTTTTCCAGTCTCTGTAATTCTCTCCCAAGTCAATTGGCGCAAATTATACGCGACCCGCGCACGACGGTGGCGAAAAATAGAATTGCAAAACTCATCCACAAGTACTTGACTTTCCACCGTGACCGCGCCGCTGCCCACCGGCCCCCCGGCCCACAAGCCCACTCCGCGCGATCAACGGCTTCGGCAGCTCTCGCGCCGTCCCGCTCGCACCCACCTGAAAGCCAGACTAGGGGATTATCAATCCAGCACCGCGCAGAAATTATCGCGTTCTTGATCTTGTGACTCACACGCGGCCGCGTCGGCTGCAGATTCGCTGCCCCTCCACCGAATCCGCGAACGGCCGGACCAGCAGCTGTCTCGCTCGCCGAGACTGCGCAGCTTCGAGATCGAAAGTACACGAGAAATGGGAGCAGGGACAGACTTGGGAATCAACGCAAAGGGAGATCTGCGCATGATGAGCAAGGTGAGTGAATTGCGAGATTATTTTTAGGGATCTCTGCTTAGGAAATCCAAAGCGGTCACGTGAATTGGAGTGGGCAAAAGAATAAATATTTTGGGATAAGGAAAATTCATATTTTTAAAATAACTTTTGATCCATGAGAATTTCAATTCACCTCCAAAATTTATAGTCTATTGGATAAGTTGGGGAATTATTTACTTGACTATAACTATGAAGTGGACAAAAGCCTCTTAATACCGCTCATTGAAGTGCTCTTTCTCTGATATTTAAGCTCATTTTGTAATTACGAAAAAATGATCTCTTCACTTGGCTATGTGAGCTGCGTTACATTTTTGTGTTGCTGAAAATGTATATTATTACTACTTACAGTTGCTTTTTGTGGGTTTCATCCGAAAAGGTTGAAATGAAGTTATGAAATGCTTCATAATTGCAATTCCATTAGGAGTGTAATATATAGAGCTTGTTTTCTCAAGCACGTACTCTCTCGTCAATGATAATGATAGCAAATTGCCTCTCGAGACCTCAAGAGATCACACAAACCGATACAACCCGATATAATTCTTTAATTCACTGTGAGTCAATCTCTGCGATTAGCTGTGCCGATTCCTTTCTCCATTGTGTGCGCTCAATGTTCTGTAATTTGCGGACGCATTAATCGATTAACGTGTGGACTTTCATTCAATAGTGATTTGACCTCCAGATAATGCTAATTCAGCGGATTGATTCGCTCGTAAATTGCCGCGCTCCGTTTTGCTGCGAGGGGCGTAATTTTGTCATGATTATTCGGTTGTCGAGCATCCGAATAATTGAATCTCGAGAGCCCTGATAACGCGCCTTCCCAGTGTGCCACCCACTCTGGCCGGAGAGTTTATCAACAGTGATTGCGCGCCTTTATCGCCTCAATGACGATTGAAAGTCGCTGGTGCGATGATGTAGTGCGGCTGGGGAGCCTCCAGCTCATGCGAGAGTGTCAGCAAGGTGTCTTACCTACAAAATTCGAGGTCATCTTGCTCAATGTTGGCTGGCACTTGCGATGACGACACAGCAATTCACACTCTGCCCGTGCTGAAGACAAAAGGGAAATGGTCTCTGGACTGAATTGAAGTTCCTGGGCGCGTGAGGAGACTTTCCATGCGGCAGTGGGTCACAGGCTCGCGGGGGACGCAACACGCAACACACGCGGAGGACTGCCGTTCACTATGGCCCGGCGCAATTAATGCTAATGCTGTGGGATTTTTGAGACTTTTCCCAGCCATATGACAGCGATTGTGGTGCGACTTACACATGAGAGGAGGAGTGGCGTTAGAAGTGGGGAGGACGTGGAATCAGCTGAGTGACGCTTTGCTGGGTGGGGAGTCAGTTTTCGGGCACTTTTCATGCCCGATGGTCGATAAAAGCGCACTGAAAAGCTTATTTGCGCACCGAGGGACAAAGGATGCAGAGCCAGCAAAAGAGATTTGCACACATTTAAGAATACGCTTTACTCGACATTCAAAGCTCTTTTCTACAATGTTACAAATCTTGAAAATGTGCTCTTTCCATTCATTTGTTTACCCTTTCTGCGGAAAAATATTTTTTCAGGCTTATCACACATTTTCCGCGGTTGTGTGAAGTCCGGAGAGTTCTTATCTATTCACCACTGACAAACTTCCCCTTAATTCATCAAATCTCAAGATTGGCGAACGAGAATTCCCGCTAGGATTGTATTCGTTCTGAGAAATATTCACTATAGTTTTCCTTTATATACTGGGATTTTCATCAAGGATTTTAAAGTGATACTAATATCCCTTATAACAAGTTCTTCATGCATTTCTGGAATTAATGCTGGCAAGAATTTTATGTCTCGCATCGTTATTTCAAATTTCCGGAATTTGTGAATCTCCGCTAAATTCTCTGACGAATTTTCGCTCGAGTGAGAAACCCCTCGGCTCGCCGCCGGACGTTTCCGAACTTGCATGTGAAGAAGAAGAAGATATCGCAAAGGAGTGAGCATCTGAGATCGCGTTTTCTTCTTGTGCTGCTTTTTGAGGAAAATACACTCCAAAATCTCAGTTAGAGTCGTGTTTCCGATACTGGAGTGCATTATCAAGTGAAATTGCTTAAAGAGGTGATAAAGATGTTGATGAATCTATGGGAAAATCAGTGCAAAGAGTAGACTTGAAATTGAAGCTCGTGGGAACAAAAGAAGTCATTTTTCACGGCGGATTTTTTTGGTATTTCCCAAAATTATAGATATTCCACAGAGTAATTGAATGGGAGGATTAGTTGGGAAGAGAATGAAGTGAGAAAATCGGAGCTTGGTGGGCGGAAAAGGTGGATTTTCCGCAGAAGATTTGGGATGAAAAAGTGCCGAGTCAAAATGGCCGCTTGTCTTCCCTTTTTTAATTGATGGGTCCAACTTTGGCGTTCGATAGTTAGCCTTTTGGGTGGTCTTTGTCGAGTGTGGCTGCAGTGGAGGGGCTGTTGTGGGATTCTAGGGCGTCAAGCTGCAAGCGCAGGCGGCACGTGTTGAGGGCTTTGGTGGCAGAGCGCGAGGAAAATGGGGAGCAAAATCTGAGTCAGACACTCGCTAACATGAGTGATGATGGCCACCAAAATGTAAATTCTCCATGGACAACAAAGAAACCGAAATTCAGGGAACATTCACCCTTGGGAGGGGCTTTTGGGGTGCATTAGTGCGAGCACTCATCACTTTATCCTCTTGGGGTTTCAGGTGCTTGGACTCTTTCGGACTTCACGGTAAATTGATCAGTATGTCGACGACTGCCGGATCGAGCAGTGGCGGAGGCGCCGGCGGAGGACGAGGCCGGAGTGGAGCTGCAAACAGCAACGGAACCGCTCCCACGCCTGATCCCAGGAATGAGACGAAGGAGTCGAAGCCCAATCCGAAGATCTCGAAGGCGCTGGGCACTTCTGCGAAGCGCATCCAGAAAGAACTGGCCGAGATCACGCTGGATCCGCCGCCCAACTGCAGCGCCGGCCCCAAAGGGGACAACCTGTACGAGTGGGTGTCCACAATCCTAGGGCCGCCGGGCTCAGTGTACGAGGGCGGTGTCTTTTTCCTGGACATCCACTTCTCGCCAGAATATCCCTTCAAGCCACCCAAGGTGACCTTCCGCACTAGGATATATCACTGCAACATCAACAGCCAAGGCGTCATCTGCCTGGACATCCTCAAAGATAACTGGTCACCAGCACTGACCATATCAAAAGTCCTCTTATCCATTTGCTCCCTTCTGACAGACTGCAATCCGGGTAAGAGCTCTCTTCGTATCTGTGCGAATCTGAATGACACTCTGATTATCTCTCCATAGCTGATCCACTTGTGGGAAGCATTGCAACGCAATATCTGCAAAACAGAGAAGAGCACGACCGAATTGCTCGCCTGTGGACTAAGCGGTCAGTTAGCCTCCTATCTTAAAACCAATAGTAATGATAGATTTAAAGGATATTCAAAGATATGCGTGCCATTTATATGTTCAGCGATTTTTCTCATTGAATTTCTCTGGAACCAACTGGCCAACTTGAAGGAATATAATTCCAGTTTTGTCAAGTCACTAGTCAGCTATTCTTTGAGTTTTTCAGTGCGAATTTGGCAATTGTGTTGCATATCTTACAAATACAAAAATGGAATCTGTGTCCTAATTAATTAATATTCAGAAAATTCGTGAATATTCCTGTCTTTCATTTCGGTAGGAAATTTGGCTTTTTTCCATTCGCAATTCTCTCTTCCTTTTGATGTTTAGATTTATTATGGCTCATTTCAGAGACGACGTGAAACTACAAGAATTCATATATCTTAAAACCACAATTCTTAAAGTAAATATTTGTGCGGTATAAAGACAAGATTGAAAATATTGCGACACATTTGTTCCATTGGATTTTTTAGTTCTTGGTTTGCAATTGGCTTAAAAGCTATTTCAGCTTGATGAAATGCTCAGAATTTGGTTACGAGCCTTACGGGAGTCTTTAAATTGTATCGCAAGTCTTTGAATAACTTTTAAATTGCACTTATGTCTGTTTTAAGGAAAGGTTTTTGAAATCATTCATCAATTGATATGTGAATGTCTTTTTCAGATATGCTACGTGATTTTCTTGTCTTCAAAATGTGTATTTTATATTTTTATTTACAAAATCGTACTAATCATAGCAAAACTTCTAATTAAATATAAATGCGTCTTGAAAGGATTACGGCGAAAACATGAGTATGAAGAGTCCCATTGAGATAAGATGACTGGATGTGTGGCTGTGTATTTGGAAGGAAAAAAAAGAAATCCTTTTCTCTGCACGAACACACATAAAATTTAAGATGAATCAATATTTTGATTGTAAAATTGAATAATCCAATATGCATATAATATTCGTCTGTTAAGCGAAGGGAGAACTTGAAGGATGTGACATTTTATGATTTGATTGTCGTGTGACCAACGCATAGATTGTGAGAAACAAAATTTCTGTACTGATTGACTGCCAAATTCCTTCGGTATTGATATAATTTTAGTATATACTAGACTTGTACTGACCCTGCAATGGCCGAGCATGTTGACATGTTTGCATAATGCAACTTTCTTTTGTCCCCAATGTCCATTTTAGGCTACTTTTCAGTCACACTTGAAATATGCAATTAATTTGCACATTCGATTATTTATCGAGAGAGAAAATAATGAAAGTCACAAGGATCAGACAGATTTGAATACAGTTTGCACACCTTGTGGGGTTAATTAAGGTTTGATAATGCTAAAGGAGAGTCTCTACATAGAAGCACGTCAGCGAAGTCTATGATGAGCCAAGCTGCAGTTTATTACTGTATTTTTCAGTTTAAATAAGTAAGAGCATGCAAGAAGAAATGTAATAAGATGTGATAGATAATTTTTACTATATTTTTAACTTTAGACAAGAAAACAAGGAGAAATGAAGGATAGAAAATGTGTGTGACTTGAGTTTTCATTCGTCAAATTTGGCAGATTTGTATTTAAACAAAAAAATCGTAGTTTTATTTGTATTCACTGATTAGGTTTTAAGGAATAGGAAAAGAAAACTGATATTTGACTTAATGTATTCCAAAATTTCTTTTTAGACATAAAATTTTTCGTCATTTTAGGTGAATTTTTTTTTAAATTTATCATTCGAAAAACAGTGGAGAAAGAAATTAGGACTTTACGTTTACGAATATGTAGAATTGATTGTATACATTTGACATTTCATGACATTTGGACTTTCTTCGCCAATGAGAAGCTGTAAAATGAAAGCTCATTGTGAAGATGCTGGCTTATGTGTTTTCTTGATTTAATGAGAAAATGCCAGCTCTTGAAACTGACGATATTAGCTTTATTGCTGACAACGGCGAGGAATAAGAATAAATGGCCACAAAATGCACTTGCAACGTATTGTGAATAAAAGGAGGTGAAGAAAAACGAATTTGTCTAATGTGGATTTTAAAACATGGCTGATGATGAGAATAAACATAGAAAGATATCCCTGAAACATCTTTGGCATGTCTGTCTCTGATTGTGAGACAGAGATAAGGAAAACTGATTGGATTGCATAACGCATGAATATGAATATGAACTACCTTTATAAGAATTACATATAAAAGATATAAAAAAATAACAAAACACGAACAGCAAAGGTGAAAAAATGTGAATTTACCAATTGAAATCAATTAAAACTACATACATATTTTGTCTCAGCTCGGAAATGAATGAGGAAAATATAATTGAGGAACTATACATGTAGTAATTAGCTACTTTTAAATTTGTAGAGAGATTATATTTCAGGATGATGAAACATTTTTAGTTGTACAATATGGATAAAATAAATTTCCTCTTCTTTTTTAAATGGAGAAAAAGTACTATATAAAATTATGGAGAACAAGAGGAGAGATAATAAATAAATTACAATAAATGTGTACTATCAAAACAGGATAAAAGTTAGATTTTCTTCGGGTATTTTAATTAACTTATGCCGAGCCAAGATTTTAGTGTTTAAATGGAAATTTAGACTCAATTTGGATCTCAACTTACAGGACACAGGTAACTTTTTTTCTAACGATTTCTTAACAATTGAGAAAATGTGTTTTAAAGTTAGAAAAAAAATACTAAGAAATATTACTTAAAGTGTGTCAGATCGAATCATTTTCATTATTTACATGACACAATTTGCGATCCCTTGTCTTGATTTCTCGATTTTGCTATTTGCCTTGTTAACTTGGTTACATAGCAGAACAGAAAAGTGCGAAATCCGAGTCAAAACATTCCTTCGGATGGAGTGATGTAACTTGAGTCAATGAAAGGTGGAGGTAGCGTGGCCGAGCGGTCTAAGGCGCTGGTTTAAGGCACCAGTCTCTTCGGGGGCGTGGGTTCGAATCCCACCGCTGCCACACTTTTTTTCCTTCCTCGCGTTAAATCTCATAGTACTTTTGGAAAATAGTAAAAATAATCTAGTTTCTTCATATATACATATACCAATGATATGAACTCATTAATAATTATGAAGGCTGAACGCACTTGGAAAACATCCGAAAAGCGGTTTGTGTCCCAGTTAGAACAGAAAATTTAAATACAACGGTCATATCAATTAGCCGAGGCACCAATCGTCAGTCGGATGTCTTTTCGCATGCGTCCAAGAGAGATTTCTCACCATATGACTAATAATGTGAAGTGCAATGTATTCTTCTCTAATTCCTCAAACTGATTAAAATTACATTTTTGTAGAATGAAGGAAAAAAGTGTGGCAGCGGTGGGATTCGAACCCACGCCCCCGAAGAGACTGGTGCCTTAAACCAGCGCCTTAGACCGCTCGGCCACGCTACCTTGCGGCCGATCCGGGCAAAAAACTGTCGCCTTTCCCTACGGGCCTTATTTTTATCAATCGTGTGTCTTCGCTAATGATCGCATCGCTCTTCGCGCGCTGTTGCAAAAAGGTTCGCCAACTCTGAAAGTCAAAAATGGCCATCAAAAACATTCTTTGCCATCGGCAGTGAGACAGAAAAACGCGTGAAAAGTGTGAATTTTTGGCCAATGAGTGCACGTGAAAATGCAGTGAAGGACACTGCAAAGTGAGAGGTCGTGGAATATCTACTGGTGTCCGGGTGGAAATTGAGACTGCGTCTCTGTGTGTGGTCAGGAAACCGCGACTGGGGTGATTAATGTGATAAGAACAGCATTGTTGGCTCTGCTAGTGGAAAATCCCGAGTATTTCGTCAGTCGTCAGCATGATGGGTTGCTCCTGGCAAGGCCAATTAGCCTTCGCTCTGCTCCTTCTGCTCGCCCAGAATGGCTTCTGCTTGACTCTGAACGATGACAATTGCCCACAGATCTTCAACTACGTCTTCAAAGGCTACACGCCAATCGGTGAGTCACTTTCCCAGGTCTTTTTTTTTGCAGTTCAATGCAAACTGACGTGGTACTCTTGCAGGCATCAAAGCGGGGAACTTCTCTGAACATCCGAACGTCAGAACGCTAGAGGAATGCGTTCAGGAGTGCTGCGACCACGGATCGGGCTGCAACAGCGCATTCATGTTCAACGGGACTTGTTACCATGTAAAGTGCGCGAGTGATCAACTCTGCCTCCCGGTCAGGCGATATCCCAACAATACCAAGCTTCACATGGTCCTGGTAAATCCTGTGGGCGACCAGCCGTGGCTGGAGCTGCTGAAACAGACCTATCCACAGGAGTTCCAATTCCCAGCGGACACGATTGATGACGCCAAGGTGCATCCGTACGTGCCGGACAAGTACGAACTGGTGGATAGTATTTTCAATCCTCAGTACAATGACGAGGCTGCTGCTGGCTATGGACTTGAGCGGTTCGTGGGCGAGGAATCACAGATGGACAAGGTGAAAGTGACAATCTGCGAGGTTGGCGTGGACTCTCTGTGCCCAAAGAATGAGCGCTGTCGATTGGTATCAGCTAAATCCCGGCAGGGATTCTGTGATTGCCTTGAGAATTTCCTCAGGAATGAGGAGGGCGACTGTATCGCAATGAGAACGACCACTGATAGGCAGTACTATGATAAATTCTGGGGTGTATTGAACAGCGAAGCAGGGAAGATCGTTCCGAATGTTCCCAATGTTCCCAATGCCAAACCAGTGACTGATGGCTCTACGAAGCAGATCACAGTGTCTGTTGTGTCTAAAGATGTGAGACTGCCTGAGAAGGAAGTCACCCTGTCCGCCTTCACCATTCCAGACGAACAGTCCAGTGGTGATAAGTATAAGTACCTCTGGACGCTGGTCTCCCGGCCGAGTGGTGACAACGGAACAATTTCTGACCAGTCAAAGGATAAGGTGAAGCTCTCAAATCTCTCAGAGGGACTCTACCAGTTTAAAGTGACAGTCACCGGGAGCGGATCCTACGGGGAAGCCAATGCCAATGTCACTGTTCTGCCCGCCAAGAGAATCAATCGCCCTCCGGTGGTGGTCATCACGCCCATCCAGCAAACTGTGAAACTCCCCAACAGTGAAGCCATTCTGGACGGCAGCACGAGCAAGGATGACGACGCAATAGTGTCCTGGCACTGGGACTTGGTCGAGGGCCCCATTGGATATCAGCCCAAGCTACCAGATACAGCAACTCTCCAGCTGTCTGACCTCACAGCGCCGGGGAACTACACGTTCAAGCTGACGGTCAGTGACTCTGATGGTGTGCAGAACTTCACCACCGCCAACATAACAGTTCTCAAGGGAATTGATTACCCTCCCGAAGCGAATGCGGGTCCCGATGTCATTCTCTACCTGCCGCACAACAACATCACTCTCAACGGCTCCCTCAGCACTGACGACAGAGAGATTGTCGCCTGGGAGTGGACGAAGGACTCCACAGATGAGTCCAAGGCGGTGGACATGCAGAACACCAGGACACCTTATCTACAGCTGTCGAACCTCGAGGAGGGAATCTACAAGTTTGTCCTGAAAGTCACTGATGCCAGTGGCCAGACCAGCTCTGCCACTGTGCATGTCTTTGTGAAGCCACCCACAAATCTGCCACCGATTGCTAATGCCGGAAAAAATATTGTAAGATAAGCAAATTCGTGTGCCTTATCACACTTTTAACCCTTACCCCACTTTCAGACCATCAATTTGCCACAAAACTGGGCATCGCTGAATGCCTCAGAGTCCAGGGATGATGTGAAAATCTCCTCCTATCACTGGAGGCAGATTTCGGGGCCATCGACAGCTTCTATCGTCAATGCTAATGCAACGGTGAGTTATTCATAAATTGGAATAATATCTGCTCTTTATTTAGTGAAAGCTCATGTGGCGCAATTGTCGAAGGTCAAAAGGCTTTTTTGGGACATTCAAGACAGACAGATCGATATGAACGATATGAAATACTAAATTTTCTTACTATATTGATACAGTCTTAAGGGTGCTTAAGTTTGAAACATTTCTAGTGACACTAATTTATTTATTTAATGGCTTTAGCATGAAATCGGTTGAAATGCATGGAAAATGAGGCACGAATTTCATGTTCTTTCTCTTCACAGCTGGCCAATGCGACAGTCCTCACTCTTGGTTCTTATGTGTTTGAAGTGACTGTGGTGGACGAGAATGGGAATAATGCAACGGACCAGGTGACCGTGAAGGTGATCCAGGAGAAGAACAGTCCGCCGGTCGCGAATGGGGGTGGAGATCAGAATATGGTGTTGCCGCAAACTGTGATGATCCTGAATGGGAGCAAATCCAGCGACGATCTTGGCATTGTCAATTTCACCTGGACTCGCGAAGGCTCTAGTGTGGCTGTGGGCACAATCATCGGCAACACGGACCACGAAGCTGTCTTGATGGTGACTGATCTCGTGGCTGGACGATACGTGTTCCGCTTGACAGTGACTGACGAACAGGGACTATCCTCCAGTGACACCGTAAGTGTTATCGTGCGGCCTGATCCGCTGCTGTTGAACCTCGTGGAAGTGACTCTCGTGACGGAAGCCACAGTGCTGACGGAGAATGAATTGACGACGATCTGTCAGAAGCTGGAGTTGCTGCTGGGTGACAACCGGAGGCTGCATGTGCGTGAGCTGAAGATGGAACAGAAGACAGGACAGGCGATTATGGTGTTCTTCGTGGAGAACACGGAGAATCGCGAGGGCAAATTGAGTCTTGTGCCCGGGCTGGACGTGGAGAAGATTCTCAAGGAGAAATTCTGGCGCGATGCAAGCATCTTGGGATCATCCTTGTCTGACATTCGTACATCCGTGTGCCAAAATCCCTGCTCTGATCATGGCATCTGCAATACAGAGACGCGCTCGTGCTCGTGCGAAACCTTCTGGATGCCGGATGTTTTCTACTTCTGGGGCATCAGCGACGCCAATTGTGGTGAGTATTCTTGCACTCCAGTTTGCATTTGAATGCACTGATGGAATATCCTTGCAGATTGGTCAATCTTGTACGTGATCATCGGCATCTTTGTCCTCTTCTTGGTGCTCTCGGGAATTTGTTGGGGCATCACTTGCATGTGTCGACGAACAAGAAGTCACTCGCGATCGAGAAGCAAGCCCACAAAGTATTCCTTGCTAGGTTCACACGATGACGAACTGCCGCCGTGTTAGTATTAGCTGAATGGCATGTATTTTGTTGATTCGCATGACTAAATTGTTCTCATTCTCTCAACAGCCCGTCGAGGAACTGTTCTCTCAGAGACAGACACAGACTCTGACGTCCTCTTCTCCAAACAGAATGGCTCCACGCGTCTCAATGGCGATGCTCGCAATTCGGCAAACAAATATTCCGTGACCCGATTGGGCAGGAGAGTGAAGACATAAATAACACAGCAAGACAGAGAGCAGAAATCTATACCCAAAAAAAAAACATATTGGCCCAGAAGCGCTTAAAGTTCGCTCGATTACAATTCAATGTCGTGTGTAAAAGAAGTGAACGTCTCACTTTAAATTGGCCTTAAGACCGAAAAGTGGCAACATTAAAGTCTTCTGTTGCTTCCTTTCCTATCTTACATTCCCCGAGAAAAGATTGGTTGGATAAGACAAAACGTTGGCTGTAGAATGAAACGAAAAAAAATAGTGGAAAAATCTCGTTCAGTTGGGAGAGTAATAGATTTTAAAAGCGCTTTCCCTGTCTCGGCACGAGGCCGATATTCAGATACTATACATAGTATTTTGTGATTTTATAATTTAAGCCATTATTCTGTGTTTTACTGAACTTACTATTTACTTTTTTTTTTTTTGAAGAGTATCACCGAACAGCAGAAAGAGGCACATCAAATGTGTGTTGTTTGTATTAATTACAGAATCGAAATGAAGCAAAATAATGCAAATAGTTGGTAGAAACAATATCGTACTGTAACATTCCCAGTCTCTCAGTTCTTGAACAAATACCTAAAGGTGGTGCTTTACTTCAGCAGATTAAGCACGCTAAAGTAAAGCATGGCCGAAATAAGTGTCATTGTATTCTAGTCGTATTTGTCCATAAGGAAGGTTTTGTGGTGAGGTTTGTATTTTATAGTTTTTCCACAAAATTCCCTCTAAAATGGCCACTTCTATTTTATATAAATAAACATACAAGAAATAATGTATTTATTAAAAAAAAATCTACCAACAAATATAAGCGCAAATTATGAAATAAATGACACAAAGTAACAAACAAGTTCGTGTAAGTGCTACTGATAGAAATTTATTGTAATGATTCAACAAACATTCACGAGGTGATTAATCAACATTTAAATGTCTTATTTTGTTTAATGAAATAAAAGAAAATGCGAAATTAAAATATTTCTTGTTGTCTGTTCTTTACCCTTCTAAGAAAGTCAATGATTTTACCGTCATGAAACACTGAAAATTGAAACCAACCTGACAAGACGACACAGCACAAAATTGGATTGGAAATCCGAGAAGGAAAATCAATAATTTAGCGGCAGATCATCACAGAAAGGTTTTTATTTTTATCTCATCAATTTTTAAACTATATAGTGTCAAATTCTCTTTTCATCGACCAAAAAAAATATACATATCTCTGCACAATTTCCATATCATTGCATTTTGTGTGATAACATTAAAAATGTTTTGTTTTATGAGACATAGAATGTTACGCGTGTGTTGAAGCATTTATTATTTCTCTTTTTAGAGAGTTTTCAAGCCATTAAAAAGTTATCGAACTGTTGTTCAACGTTACATAAATTTTCTCTGAATCGTTCTGAAATAGTCATGTGTGTCGTTTAGGCACTACGCATAGTGTTTTTAGTGAATTCGTTTAAATTACTCCAAAAGTGTGACGTTGAAATGAAGATTGCTCTATGTCCTAAATTTCCTGTTTTTCTTTTCTTTCTTTATCTATTAATACTTGGTTTAGATACGCAGCACTTGCACATGAAAAATGTCTGTGAACGTGGAAATACATATAACGTGCAATAGAATTGTTATCCTTGACTTTTTTCTTATTTGTGTACTGTAATTATCGCACAAAAGACATGATTGAAAAAATAATTATTTTTTTTATACTTTAACAACGTGTTTAAATGATTAACATATTCTTATTTGCTTTCTTTGTCAAGTGTGTGATTATTCGAAATATAATCTCAACCTTTTCATTACAAATAACATTGAATATTGTGTGTATTTCACTCATTTCCTTGTTAGATCAATTCAGAGGAACTCAATAAAATTGTATTATCTTGCATTTTTACAAATAATCATCATTAATCTTTGAACATTTCTCTTGCATTTTTTGAAATATCTCCCTTCCATCAATATATAATACATATTTTACTCTCTTTTCTTTATTAATTATTAAAATACTTTTTTCTTTTGTTTTGTTTTCAAGGTAGAGACGCTCTCTTTAAATACTATATTCTCTTCACTGTTATTTTCTCTTTAATAGGTTTAAATTGTTTTTCTTCTTTTTATACATCTCTAATATTTTCTAATATATTTTTTTTTTTCAAATTCTCTAGCAAGAAACAGCTAAAAATGTATCAGCATTGAAGGAGTAAAGTTTCTAGTAAAATCTTCAATTATCTTCCTTACATTTTATATTGAGAATGAGCACAAAAGTGGTACACTAGATATAATTTAATAAACATCTATTCTGCATAAACTAAATTTATTAACAATTTTATTGGAATTTTCCTCACATAAAATTCTGCATTAGGAGTTTCAAACATTATTTACTATATTTTCCTTCTTTTCAAATTGGAACAATCAAACATAAAATACGGAAAAGAACAAGACAGGAAATCACATTCGAGTACAATTCACTTAACAAATTGTCTTTAAAGCTTATTCATTTCACACTTCATTGATTTTATATTATGCTCTATTAATTTCTTGTAATGTTCCTCCCTTCAACCTCGAACTATAGCACTTTAATTGGACTTTGCATCTTCTTGAGATCGTAAACATGTTTTCTGCCATTGTCAATCAATGTGTACTTTTTGTATTCTAGACTTTACAATTTAACGTAATCTTGTTGAGTTCATTTAAAATGAAATGCAAGACGTTTTTAAAATCCATCCATATCCTTTGTTATATTCTAATAAGAAACTGTATTTGTTGTATTCTCAATATATCATAATATTTGAGTAATCTTTTATCCCATCTTTCGACTACTAAATAATTGAACTGCTCTCTTTTACTGGGTGTATAATTAAATAGATAATCATTGCTGTTCATTTGGAACTCAAGTCAACGATCTGGTGGTATTCGTATTGAACGCAACACTTTACTGGCCTGTAAGAAGAACCAAAGTCATGAGAACTAATGTGAATCTTGGAAGAAAGAGATATGCACTCACCTGGTACTGCTCTTTGGTTTCAATCAGGCCCATCACAGCAACTATTTGGTATCGTTGAGCCCTCATGGCGGTCGGACCCCGGCGAATCAGTCTGAGAGAGTCCTGGGAGGAGCCCAGAGCGGCCACTTCTCGAGGACCGTGACTCGGATCCAGCACAAGCAGCGTGAGACCCGAGGCTCTCTGTTCAATTCCGATGATCGTTCGTGAGTGTCCTGTAGAGAAATGCACAGAATTACCACACTTTTCTACCTTTGAGGACAATATACAATAAAATCCTGCCATGTATACCTTGGTGTTGCAGATAGAGCGGAGGCGTGTGAATGCGTGGCTCCTCGAAGTACTTGAGAACCCAGTTGAACAGTTCTGGATGTCGCCCATCTGACGATGTTGGCCGATGGAAGTCCACAATGAGGCAATTTATGCGAAGCCACGAGAGCACGGTGAAGACCTCAGTGGCGCCAATCCATTTTCTCGTATTCTGCAATTTACATCCCAAGGATTCAGAGCCTTGCACATCAAATCCCTGATTCCAGGCCGCCTCCACCATCACTTGCAACCTCGAGATGCTCGGCATTGCCGTCCGTGACGGTCCCTGATTACCCCAAGCAGAGTATAAAGCTTCATTGAACGTTGTATTCTGCAAGGGAAGAGATCAGCGTTATGATTTTGGTAGTTTGTTGGTTTAGCTATAGTAAAAAGTAACCTGAAGAAGAGACGATAGCAGCATCTGGAGATTCCTGTAGCCACATCCCCATCCCTTATCGCCATAAGACGATGCATAGTGGTCAACGGCTGAGCACACGAGTGACTTGATCACCCCGGGAGACGAGGAGGAGAGCGACAGCACTCTTGGCGCCACAGATTTTGTGCACGAAGTCCCATCGTCTATCCCATGAGACTCTGCCGCGCGCAGTCCCACTTGTCTCTCGTAGTAGTCCGCCACACTCATCTCCCCAGCGTACACTGCCCTCTGCATGGCCGCAGCTGACTGCTCACGGAAGTTCCCCTGATCATCCATGCCATACTGAGCTCGAAGCATTTCAAATTCTCGTTGCTCCCTCAACTTCTGAGCCTGCTTCTCCAGATCCGACTCAAACGACGGAGCCAGGGGTGTCTTCACAAAGTGACTATCAATGTGAACCTCCATCTCTTGTGTCTTCATGTTCTCCAGACTGATGTTGCAGATGGGACAGAGATTCTCACTGTGTCCATTCGTCACGCCTTCCGTCGAGCAAGTGCCATTGGAATCGATTTTTCCGGGCGAGAGAATGTCTCTGTGCTCAATGTTCACGTGGAGTTCGAGATCTGACACTGATTGGAAGCCACGGACACAAATTGGACATTGCAGAGAATTCTGGGTGGCTGTTTCTGAGCCACCAGACGCTAATGCGACTCCACTGTTAACCGAAGGACTCAACGGGTCGAAATGGGAGCGATTGATATGCTCCTCGAGCACTGTTGAATTTTCCGACGTGTAGGGACAGAGCGGACACTGAAGTGGGCTGACTTTCACTGTAGCCGGCGTGTGACTCTTGAGCTTGAGGCCCAGTTGGGAACGCAAAGGAGAACCCTGGCCACCGCCATTAGCCACATCCAGTCCGTTCAGTCCGCAAGCTCCATCCTCACTATCACAGTTTTTATTCTTCACGCCAGTCCCCTTCGGCATGGCTCCATTGCGATTGTTATTCGTGCCGTTCTGCTGGAGTGGCGGTTTCGTGACCACAGGCCCATTTGACCAGCGAATGCTACCTCCTGATGACGTCCCAGTGCCTCCATTCGTCTGCAGCTCCGCTGTTATTGACGGCGAGAGCCCACGACACTCAGACATGGAGTCGGAATCACCGTCAACACTGAAAAATGAACTGTAGCAGCAATTTCTGGTCATTCTCAGAAAGCTTCAGTGAATTCTATCACCCTCACCTGGGACTCTGGTCATCGATGAAGCTCATGAGCTCATTCTCGGGCGTCAGGTAGTCCAAATGCGCCTGATTCACGTGCAAGAGAAGCTCTGCGGCTGCAACACCGGTCAGTCCACAGAATGGACATTGTGCACTGCCCTCCACATGACACGTCCTCGTGTGCTCTCGCATCACATCGTCTGAAAGTCCGGACATGCCGCAGATCTCGCACGAGTGCTCCTGCATCGGATACGCTCCACGAGCACCTTCTTTGTCGGTCATTCTGGCCGCCTTTCGCTCCGGAGTATCCTTGATCTGTATGCGGAAGAAGGGAAAAGCATACAGTCAGCAGAAAGTGAATCGTCAGAAGAAAATCATGGCAGGAATTGAGAAGATCTGCGGAAAAGGGACGTCAAGGACCTGATTTCACACTCACCCACAAACCACTCTGAGTCCTTCTTCTCCACACAAGCTCGCAACCTCCAGCTTCATCAATTCCTTCTATCCGTTTTCCATGTTACAACGTTGCACCCACACGACTTAATATGTAGGGATTTTGCGGATTCAATCACTTTCCTTGATAATCGATAAACTTCCTTTTCCACCAATGCTTTTTTCCCTTGGAAATCCCACCAACTAAATACACTCTTTACTCATTTCATCTGCACACTGCGCCGAGGAGACACTACAAACTCTGCAATTTCCCACTGTTCTACTGTGACAAAACCCAGAAAAAGTTGAGTTTTGTGGAGATTTTCACTTTTCATTCAAGCACACACATTTTTTCTCTCCTCTTCTTCCTTTTCTTCTGCTCCAGCTGGCCAAGAGTGACAGCGCGCCGTGAAGTTGGCAGCACTTGCATTTTCTCGCAGTTTGTGTGTGCTCTGCAAGCCAGCTGCAAGGGTTTTCCGACTACCTTCTTTTTATCGTGTTTTCTCCCGCTATTATTCCTTAATCTCCTCTGTTTCTGCATTTTCTCAACACATTCAGTCATGGTCTTCCTCAGAAGTATCAGTTCAGTGGTTTCCCGAAATTTCCTCAGAGGTAATTTTCCACTTAAACATTCTGCCTCCCAATGTTGATATATTTCCTATTTCCATGTGGATTTTCCGGTCAAAAAGGCTTCTCATCAACTGGAAGTGCTGGATGCAAAGGTAGATGACTCCCATTACTTAATATTTACATGTGAAAAACTATAATTTGCATGGTATGTTGTACGTCGTATTTTCTCGCAAAGTGTGGCGTACTGATAAGATAAGAGTGAGAGGTGTGGGGAGGCGCTCAATGATCACTTGAATTACTGTTGCTATTCAAGGAGATCACGCTGATTTAGAGACCATCAAGTCACAGATTTAAAATGCTTAATTCTTTCAGCCGCCTTCTCTTGGGAAGATCCGCTGAATCTTGAGTCCCAGCTCACTGAGGATGAGATTGCGGTGCGAGATTCCTTCAGGACATATTGCCAGGAGAGCCTGATGCCGAGAATAGTGGAAGCGAACCGCCATGAGGTGTTCCACAGGGAAATAATGGAGGAGATTGGGAAGCTAGGCGCTTTGGGCTGTACCATTAAGGGCTACGGATGCGCCGGAGTGTCCAATGTGGCCTACGGTCTGCTGGCCAGAGAGATTGAGCGTGTGGACTCTGCCTACAGGTCTGCCCTCAGTGTCCAGAGCTCGCTAGTGATGGGGGCTATTTATGATTACGGAACAGATCTGCAGAAAGAGAAGTACCTGCCACGGCTGTCTCGCGGAGAAATCATTGGCGCTTTTGGCCTCACTGAACCCAACCATGGCAGCGATCCTGGGAGTTTGGAGACCCGGGCAAAGTTCGACAGCGCTTCGAAGACCTTCACACTCTCCGGGAGCAAAACGTGGATAACAAACTCCCCAATCTCTGATGTGTTCATTGTATGGGCAAAGTGTGATGATGGGAAGATTCGAGGGTTCATCGTTGATCGTGAACAGAGTGCCAAAGGTCTGGATACGCCAAAGATTGAGGGGAAATTCTCACTGCGTGCCTCCACAACTGGCATGATCCTCATGGATGACGTGCGCGTGCCTGAGGAGAATCTCCTGCCCAAAGTGGAAGGATTGAAGGGGCCTTTTGGGTGTCTGAACAACGCCAGATATGGCATCGCTTGGGGCGCTCTTGGGGCTGCTGAGGCGTGCTTCCACATCGCCAGACAATATACTCTCGATCGCAAGCAATTTAGTCGTCCGCTGGCCGCCAATCAGATCATCCAACTCAAGTTAGCCAATATGATGACGGACATCACTCTGGGACTGCACGCTTGTCTGCAAGTGGGTCGCCTCAAGGATGAGAAGAAGCACACTCCTGAAATGATCTCGCTCATCAAGAGGAACAACGCTGGAAAGGCACTGGAAATCGCACGAGTGGCCAGAGATTGTCTCGGTGGGAATGGCATTGCTGATGAATACCATGTCATCAGGCACGCAATGAATCTTGAGGCGGTCAACACGTACGAGGGAACTCATGATATTCACGCCCTGATCCTGGGAAGAGTCATCACAGGCATTCCTGCATTCTCATAGAAGCGCCCCGATTTCCTGACGAGGGAGAAAATTCCCCAACATAGGCATTTGTAGAGAGATTTTTTTGATAAAGTTGCGCCATTCTGCTATTTTCTGTTACTCCGATTGCATTTCAATTTGTCCGTCGCGCAATTCGCTCGCGATGTTGCGTGAAACATGATGACGTTGAATGGCTTTGTGTGATTGTCAGTGCATATGTGAAAATCTCAGGGAAAATCGTGAAAATGGATTTGGCAGCTATACGGGAGGCTCGCCGAAAGAAAATTCTGGAAAATAGTGCAAACAGACTGGGAAAGATCACCGGAAGACCACCACAAGGTAGGGAATCGCTGATTAGCAGCACTTCCTCTGTTTTCATATGTTGTTTTGTTCTGCAGAAAACAGTCCTCCGCAACGTGCGGTTCCACAAGTCAATGGAGAAATTTACCCAGATCCCGAACTTGAGCCCACTGAGGAGTTCATGCCCAGATTTTTCGGTGCCAATGCACAGAATGAGGATATTTTGCACCTGCTCAACTCCACACGACCGGGCGCAAATGCAAATCCGCCAGGAAAGAGGTGGTCTGAGCCTCCGCAGAATTTCTTGAGTCGAATCCTCGGTACAAAAGTTCACATCGCATTTATCGGAATATTTGTGTACATGTTGTTTTCCACTGGCAATGAACACATCGTGGCCGGAAACGTCTTCCTGCCACTCATACTGTGGGAACTTGCAGACTTCCTGGTTATGAAGAACTACCAAAGTCGCAGCAGTGTTTCCTCTATAGTCTTCATCATCAGTTGCATACCAACGCTGACCAGCACTGTGTGGATTTTCGAGAAGGTGTACAAAGTCCTCCAGGATGTGTCGATCTTCACCAGCTTCTTTGTGATGAGCCACTTATTCTGGCATAAATTCATCCTCGGGTCGGATCTGGTGAGCCTCCTGGACTATCCGCCACCATTCGAGCGACTATGACGAGGACTATGACACTTTATGTATTTAATCGCTTTTTAATTCAAACTGTTTCGTCTTAAACATACTAAAGAATTAGAGGGATGTCGGGAAGTGGTTGCAAAATAGAGGCACTCAATGATTTCCTCCTGACTTGCCCAATTTAAAGATGGACCTGAGCGAGCTGATTAGTTTCCCCTTCCTCTCAACATTGGTATCTTCTATTCCTGGCTTATGGCGATTGTGGTCTTGTCCAGTGTTACTATCCTGTTCACTCGTGCCCCCAAGCAAATCTCTTTTGTCCTCTGATCTCGTGTTAACCAACTGCTCTTGATTTGATTGAGGACACCAAAATTCCTATGGCTTGGCGGTACGTTTCCGGGAAGACTTTGGCGGAGGAATATCCAGCAGGGCCTCCTGGCGCACCACATCCACGTGACCCAGCTTCACCATATTCTTCTCCCACTTGATTAATTCTTCGCGATACTTTTGCATCTCATCGTGACTGCTCTGAATATAAGTGTCTCTTTGCTTCTCAGATAAGGCAATCCACTTGGCGGAATTGCTCGACAGCCACTCCTGGTAAGATCCAGGCGTATGTGGATTCTTCGCCTTTTGCTCATTTAGGAACTTCAGGAACGGTGACTGAGGCTTCTTAGGTTTTCCGAGATCTTTAATTTTCTTCCTGTATGCCCTTTTCTCCTTTGCTTCCGCCATTGTTTCCTTCATCAACTGGATGTTTTCTCTCTGCTCTTCCGTCAATTTGGACTCGTACTGAGCTCTCTTCTGCAAGTACAGCGCCTGATCTCGCTTATAATCCTCCTCGTACTTTTTCTTACTGGCCTCATCCACGGCTTTCCACTGCCGAGCGATGTTCTGTACAAGTTCGTTCACTGACCAATTCTTATTCTCTGCCAACATTTTTGGTCGTATCTCCATCATGTAACGAAAATACGGGGTCAGAGGCTTCTTTGGCTTCCGTGGCAGGCCCACTCGCTCCTCCACGGTTTTCGTGGTAATCGTATTCTGAGCCAGAGCCACAGTGCTGGAAAATGAAAAGACTTTTACATAACCTCTTCTTTATATAAATAATCTTTTCTCAAGAGATAACGAGGTTTCTCATTAACCTTTTAGTAGAGAGCAATCCCCGGAGAGGATTGATCACGCTGACCGCTCGTTGGAAGAACATCTGGTCGCTGTTGTGACAGATTTTACGCAAAATAATTTTAGTCAAACCAAGTCAAACAATAGCAAAACACCGACGCGTTCTTCTCCGCCTTAAGGTCACTAGGGTGGTCAGATAGGGTGAAATATGTGAAACATTGGATTAATGTTTCGTTAATGTTTCAAGCATTCTTCTCGGTTCTTTTATGAAAATTATTATTTGGCTGTTTGCAAAACTGAACTCAAATTACAAAATAGATTGCTAAAAAACGTTTGTAAGTGCAAATTTTATTATAAGAAAAGACACGCAAAATCTGTCTTTTGCAAAATATTCCATGCTTTTATCAATATTTCAGTGAGAATCATAAAATTTAAAATTTCATGAAACTATGATTGTCTTATTTCGCCATTCCTCGAGTTTCTTCTGGTGAGTTTGGGTGCAAAAGTGTGTAAGCTCTGACCATCGATGGAAAAATTGGATTAAATGGAGACATTTTGTGCACGAAATAGCTGTAATTAGCTTTCTTGGATCAACTAGGTGAAATTCACACCCAAACTACGTCTGGTGGACGGCAGAATTGCTTGGAAAAGAGCAAAATAAGCCAACACGAGGTCACAGGCAGTGCCGCCATTTTTGTCTCTCTGCGCTTGAAAGGCGTTCATTGCGAAAAGTAATAAAAAAAAACACCTTTTCCTCTACGTAGAACGCAAAAGGGATATGCTGAGAAGTCTCGCGGAATGTTGTTAGATTTTTCATCAAAATACATCCGGGCGGAAAGGTATGCTGAAAAGTGAAATATTGCTAATAGAACAAATTGTGAGTGCAATTCCACCCCTAAATACACCTCTGTTTGCCATCAATGCGCCAACAGCGCCTCTAGCGGAATTAAAGGGCACAAGAATTTTCACTTTTCAGTACGCCATTTGCCACGGAAGACAACACATCGAGAAATATTTATTCCCCTAATTTTACAAATGTTTTAATTCACTTTGAGCGATTCTCTGACTAGGAGAGGACAGTATTCACTAGCGGAAAGAGGCTAAAGGAGAGATTGTTGGAGAAAATATAATTTTACGCTGATTGGGGCGCTGAGACTCCGCTGACGAGAGAGAGAAAGCGTTACGTAATTCCACGAAGGCACATTTCTGGGCCCACGTTTCGGGGAATTTTCTGGTATATTTGATTAGATCCGGACTAGATAAAGAATAAGAAGGAAGTCTTGTGAGTCCTCGTTGAATTCTGTGATAAAGTAGAGAGACAAAGGAAAGCGTTTTCTGAACGTTTTAGAGACATTTGCGCGTTCAGGGCGCTGCGTTGTGACCATAGTTAGTGTAAAGTGAATTTCACCTACAAATTGAGGGCGAAAGAGCTAAATTCTAAGGCTACGCCCTAATTGCGTTTCACTTCCTCCGTCGCAGAAAAGCGGTGACGTAGGCATTCCATGGCAGCCATCTTGTGAGGCAGACACGCATTCAGGGTGGATTTCGCAGTGACGCATCGGGAGAGCATTATGGTGAGTTTTCAGTCTATCTCTCGCTTTGAAGCTTGATTTCATGGGATTTTCGGGATGTTTTCTAAGAAATTTGGGGATCTTTTGCAGCCTCGAATCGATCCACTGCAATTGCTGACGTGCTTGGGCGTCCTCTTGGCCCCAAATGGTGGAATTCGCAGCGCTCAAGAAGTGAGACGTCTAGCTGGGTGAGTACACAATATCTTCTCTCTCGCTCTCGCATGAAAATCCCCTCCACACATAGTTGGAAACGTTTTAAATGTCTAATAAACTTTCCGTTTCCCTCTGACAGTCTGATGGCGAAATTCAGCAATAGGCTTGTTTCCAAGTGCATCTACATTCAGATACTGAAGTGCACAGACACAGAGCTTCTGGGGCAGTTTATGGGCACCGGGGGCTGGACACTGACGCACATGTGGCTCCAGGATGGCATTTTGACGAAGAATTATCCACTGGTGCAGGAGATTCTGGAACTTTTGCTTCTCTGTCCTGTGGATGTGGACCGGCTGAAGAGCAACTCAGCACCGAAGCTGGTGAAGCAGCTCTCCAAGGAGTCTCATGAAGGTAAGAAGAAGAAACATTGCGTAACATAAAAGCCATTTTTCTTAATGTGTTTTTTTTCCTTTCGTTCTTTCCAGGTGTGAGAATTCTGGCTTCTAAACTCGTGGAGCAGTGGCTGAAGATTGTTAAAGGCGAAGCAGTTGGCAACACTCCGAGTGTTCCTCAAATGAACTTCACTGGAAATGACGCAGCTGATGTAACAGATGTTTCAAATGGGGTTATTAGTCAGAAGACGACGGAATTGTACAGGAACTCTGTGGATGAAATGAAGGGTCAGAATGTGTTTGAATCGCAGGAGGCGCAAGTTGAGGACGTATTGAGTGAAAAGGACATAATCGGGAGTGTTGATTTAAATGGAGAAAATGGGTCTCTCGACGGTGAGTCGCAGAGTAATGTTGATAGTGGCAAAAAGACAAAAGTGTACAGTCACAAGAATAATTCGCTCGTGTATAAAATCACTGTGAAGGATGGCAAGCAAGTGTTGGCGAAAGTGGAGACACCGGCGAGAGCAACATCGCCACCCAAAGAGAAGGATAAGGAGAATCAGCGTGTGCAGGACAAAGAGAAGGACAAGTTGAAGAGTAAGCGTGATGATCGTGATAAGAGTAAATCGAAGGACAAGAAGAGTGATAAAGAGAGGGAGAAGCAACGGGAGAAGGACAAGAAGTCAAGTCACAGATCATCTTCGTCTTCAGGGAAATCGTCATCGTCATCATCAAGTCATAAGAGTTCATCGAGTTCCAGTAGTGGAAAGAGTTCTAGTCGTGATAAGGATAGAGACCGGTCAAAATCATCGTCGTCATCGTCAAAATCGAGCAGCAGTCGAGAGAAGGACAAAGATCGCCATCGTGAGCGCTCTGACAAGGAGAAAGTCAGTCAAGCGGAGAAGGACAAGGACACACTGGCGAAAATCATGGGTACTGGACACCTGGAGAAGCTCGGGAAGATTCCCAAGAAGACCAAAAATGAGGGCGACAGCAGCTCATCAACCAAAGATGCGAGTAAAGAGTCCAAATCGACAGCTCCAGCGCCGCCGCCCGCGAAGAAGGCCAGCATATCGATTGAGCAGCGCAAAGATGGAGAGAATCGACCAAATACTGTTAAGAAATTCAATTCGCAGTTCCGCAGTCATGGGCTGGAGGAGGCCCCACCGCCGCCGGCATCGCGACGGAATCCAAAGAAGCCTGATTCGACAGCGAAGCCGCTGGGTAGTCAGGGCGCCAACCCGGCGATGAGCACCAAATCGACTAGTGAGTCTGGGCTAAGTGGGATTCCGGAGAAGAAACTGAAGCTCGATGTGGCAGTGGCGAGTGCGAATTCTTCATCTTCGTCTGCTACTGCTGTTGCGGGGGAGAAGGCGACTCCTGAGAAAACAGATAAGCCACAATCGCCAGAGAAGGTGTCAATAAAAGCACCTCCAGCGCCGAGACCTAAGCGTAAGTATAGAGAATTGTTAGGCTTTGCTAATGGTTTTTCTTGTTTGGAGGTGTATTTTCAGATGAATTTCACATTCCACATACAGTGACTCTGAATTCAATGAGGACAGATGAAGCTCTGAACCTTTCGCTGTGCTGACAAATTCCGCGTTGAGTTTGAGGTCTGATTTTTTTATTCATATACCTTAATAACCATTCAGAATTCAATGTCTAAAGTTGAGTTGTGAACTTCTGATGAAACCTAAGGGAGAACATTGCGAATTAATTCATAAAAAAAATTGACTTTTGATGCAGCAAAAACGTAAACATCCTGCATAGAGGCAGCTTAGTTTTCAGGTTTAGAAAATATATTTAACGTTTTTGTTATTCACGTATGTGAAATTATGGTTGAGACAATTTGATTGCCTTATGGCTTTGAGAGATTGTAAATTCACATGAATGACAATTTCAATGTGAAAAAATGAACCAGAGATGTTTTGAATCTCGTTTGTAAAGTTATGAAACTGAACGAGCTTAGTTAATCTTTCAGTTTGAATCAAAGTTTTAGGCTCGTTGAGAAATCAATGACTAAAGTTGAAGGTGTTTAACTTAGTATGGTAATTAGTGGTATAAAAAATCAACCAACGTGTCTTCGAGGCGCAGCGATATGTCTTCAAGTTTCACGTCTTCTCATTTACTTCCCAGTTACTGTATTTGATTAACATCAACAGCCAGTTCGGATGGATGGAGAGAGAGAGAGAGGGATTGAGAGACAACCAGCAAAAAAGTAAGAGAATACCAATTTTTCACTGTATGGCAATTTGCAAAGATAGGTCAGGTTCACACGTCAGGGAACTTCAATGGAGTTGTGGATGGATTCCTGAGAGGTTCTGGCCAGAAACATCCGATGTGTCGTCATGGGTTTCGTATGAATTTTATCTTATTTTCTCGCTTTCTTACCCACAATTCTGAAAAGAAGAAGTAATAATATAGACAATTTCTCTCTGATAAGCAAAAGAAAAAAACAGCAAGTCTGAAATATTTTTATGAGAGAATAAAAAAGATCAAATAAAGACGCTCTCCATTCCGCGAAATCCAACGTGGATTGGAGAGGAGGAAAAAAAGACACACTTGACTCTAATCAAGAGCCACAATATCACGAAGAGCGCACACACAATTCAAGAGCACTCTTAATAGTTTTTCCCGGATTTATTGGCAGAAAATCGAAGAAGAGGTGATAATTTGTGCGATGACAACGTGAGAGAATGCGTGAAAAGAGCTTGGACGGTGTGTTCTATGCTGTTGTGGCTCTTGAAAGTGTCTCTCTTTAATTGTATACTTTCTCTGCACATGGAAGGGATGTGATTCTTGGTCTCTGCTGATGGCCCACATTCAAGAAAATCGCCATTTGTTGTTTCCTTCTCTTGTGTTTATTTGTCTTTTGGGTTTCGATGGAAATATTCTGTGATATCTTAGATTATGATTTATAAAAAAATATATCGATGAGCTTTATTTATCAAAAATGACTTGAGCACTGATATCCGATCTTGATGATTAAAAAATGCAATCATGCAAATATACCTGAATGATAACAATTTCGTAGATTATTTGAGTGTGATCGATTCGATTTGATGTGTTATCATCGAGCTATTGAACTTGAACTGAGGAAGCGACTCGTCACATATTGACTTATAATTGATGTGTGTTCAAATCGATTTCCACCTGTTGAATGTCGTAATCGATATAATGAAGGTTTAGAGATTCTAATAATGACTATTTGATATTTAGCAGAATATTTCCACTCAACCATTATTGTAATGGGTTTTATGCGCACTGAGAGAAAAAGCGACTGTGTTGAATTGTCATCAGGCCCAAAATAAGATTTTTGTTGCTCACACAAATTAATTTTAATGTCAGAAATTACTACAATTTTGCATCTTGATTTAACATTTTCTGGATATTCTTTTTATTCACGTATTAATTTTCCCACGAAATTTATTTTGAAGGACTCTGAAATATGAGAATATACAAAAAAAAATTTACGAAATTATTAGTATTTCTGAAATTTGAAAATAGATCAAATATTTTCATTCCCTGATGATCATAGTAAAAACACAGCATACGTTTATTTTTATTATGAGGAAAGTTTTATTTGAATCCAAAGTAAAAAGTGAAATGATTGCTTTTGATTTTAATGTCTTTTGAGTCTAAATAAACTTTTACAAATTATTGTTTAAAACACTTTCTCTCAGTGCGACAAGAACTTTCGGGGAAATGCCTGTTTTTTCTGTTTTCGTTGTGGTATTTTTATACTTATTCTGTGAAAATATTTGATAAAATAATTTATCTTTTCATTTTCAAGTCATATTGAAAGGATTTTTAGAGGAGTCAATTAATCTTTCAATCCACTTTTCGACTGCAAAAGTAAAAGCGGGGAGAATGGTGATAAATATTGAGCAACAGTGTGTTTATCGCGTATTTTTATTGTCGTATCTTATAGATAGTTAAAAGTCTGCCATTAAAATGCTTTACGAGTCGCACGATTTGCTGTCGTCTCGTAATTTAAGGAATGCTAATTGCTGGAATGTGTTTTACCTGACGGTTCTGCCCTTTTCTTGGCGATCTGGCGTCATGAAAATCTCAAGGACTGACTAAAAATACGCTTTGTGGGCGTTTATCTGGGACTCATAGCGATACTTTTGTGTATTTTCAGGGATGAATTTCTCACTCTCTCTCTCTCTTTCTCTTCGTCGGCTGAGTGATGTGAATTTTATAACAGAAAAAATAGTCGGAATGATCACTCTAATGTATGTTTTTTTTATCTCTGCAGAATCGATGTTGGTTGAGACGGACGTCTTCATGGATGCTCTATGTTCAACGGCATCGACAAACAGGAAAGATTTGAAAAAGAGAAAGCGACGATCAAGCAGTTCAAAGGACGGCGCCTCGTCCAATTCATCTCCGCCTGAGAGTCCGACGGTGTCTTCGAATCCAAAGGTTGCCCCACTGAAATTCTACCAGGACACACTGGAGGTCAGTGAGGAGGCGGACAAGGAAGATGAGAAGAGTGAGAAGACTGAGGAGGAGAATGGTCGCTCTGCGGTCGATCCGGAGGCTGATGATGATGATGTGATAAAGAATAAAAGATTGAAAAGTGATAAAGCAAATTCCCTGGACCAAGACGACAGTGTCGAAGGGAAGAAGAAAGCATCCAGGAGTGATAAGGAGGAGAATGATGCCAAGGAAGCGACTAACGTCAGCGAGGAGGAGGTGAAGCCAAAGCCTCCCGGTCCGGGTTGCGGACCAGATGGACCGCCGGGTGTGCTGGTGATACATCGGCGCAAGGGCCCGAAGAAGTCTGTCAAGTGGAAGCCACAGGAGGAACTGGAGCAGATCCAGTACTTTGAGTTGGACGAGACGGAGCGCGTGAATGTGACCAAGACATTCACGGACATGAAGCAGATGGAGCGATATGGGGAGCGCGAGGCCTTCCTGATGGCGCGCAAGCTATCGGCGGATGATGTGATGATGGAGCAGACACCGTACAGACCACTGGTCATTGTTGACGACGTGCCACCGCATCCGATGGGGGCGCAGAGCAAGGAGAAGAAGATCCAGATGGAGAGGGAACAGACTGTGCTCAAAGCGCTGTACTTCAACCGCATGATGATTCCTGACTCCCCAGCTGAGCCTGACATGGAGCAGTACAAGATTACGGATCCGGCCATTATTCCGCTCGATGATGGCAATCCGGAGAATGAGAATGACTTCACCAACACACCGTGGCCAGATCCGAAGGACACTCCGCCACATGTAAGCGGAGGACTACAGGCTGACCAAGCGTTCAATCAGTTCAACATGATGACCGGAGGGCCGCAAGCGATGCCGCCGAACCCGTGGCAAATGGGGGCGCCACCGTTTGCCCAGTTCAACATGGCACAGTTTGCGCCGCAGTCAATGGACCAGGGTAATCCGATGGCCTTCCCGCCACCGGATGAGATGAACGTGCCTGCAATGAACATGGGACCGTTCCCCGGAGCGCCGAATCCCAATTTTATGCCCGGTCCGGGCGTGCCGTTTAACGGCTTTCCTGGCGACATGGGCGGTCAGATGATGGGCATGAACATGCCCAGGGGACCGCCGCCCAACATGCCACCAGGGGCACCGTGGTTCCGGCCCAACGCGCCGCCAAATTGGCGCCCACCGCCGCCGAACCGCAACAATTGGGTGCATGGCAACAGCAGGGGAATCTGCAAGCTGTACAAGAAGGGCTTCTGCAAGAAGGGCGACAAGTGCAATTTCCTCCACACAGGCGGAAATCGACGGTGAGACGACGAGTGGCCCAAAGCGGAAGAGTCAAGACAGGAAGAGCCCCAGGACCAATAATCCTTAGAGAGAGGTAAAAGACATCCTCTTCAATTGTAAAAATTCTTCTTTTAATTTTATTCTCAGTACAAAGGGAAAAAAGTCGTTTAGTGAATGCATAGAGAGATGACGGGGATTTATTAATGAATTTTAGTAATAAGTTTATTATGAAGAGACATGCTATACAACTGCTGAAATATACATTTTCTATGGACTAAAGGGAATTTTCTTTCTGATAATCACGATGCGCGATGCTCGCGGTGTGTGTCTTTGCTAAGGCGAGGGGATTTTTATGTTGAAGATTTCCCTCAAAATATGTAGCTTTTATATTAATTCACAGAGTATTTTTAAGCACTCGTAAAGCAGTGACAATGTTAATTTTATTTTATCATTACTGATGTATTAATTAGCCAAGAATGTTTATAAAGAAATAATAATTGGAATAAATATAGAATAACAGTATATCTAATCATTTTTTCCTTCAAAATCCTCTTCCTCGCGCTGAGATTCATTGAGCGTGCTCATTTTATGGGTAAAGTTGGATTTTACAATCACACCAGGAGCAAATCTCGAAACTGTAGAAAAGAGTTTGAGTTAGTGCCTTCTGGTGATTTTGAGAAAGAACACCTTATTTAAATTGAAGTGTTTGCAGAACCGAAAACGCTGTCATTTCTTTCATACTCTTTGCTTTTCATGTTATTCATCAGCAATTTCATTCTTGCAAGCAGAATTCACCCCTTAATTTTGTCTATATCATGATTTATTACCTGGCAATTGATTGAATTGATAGGTTGACTCCGTCGATTGATCAAATTGCTTCATCTGATGCACAATCAAATCCTGTTGCAGTTCCTGCGACTTAATAAGGTGTTCCCGCATTATATTTTTCGCCTTTGCCAGCTCCTCCTTCAGCACCTCATTCTTCCTCGTGAGTTTTCTGTTCTCCTCCTCCAAAATTGAGACCTTCCGTGATAGTTCATCCACCTGTTTCTTCCCGTATTTACTCATTTTGCCCGCAACTTCGAGACGAATTCCTCACGTATAAGTTTTACTTTCGTGCTTTCTTCACACACAAACACCGAAAATGAAGTCTATCGTTTTTTAGTTGTTTCTCATTGGACGTCAGATGAGACAAAACAAGTTTTTTGCCTGTCCAATAGTATAATTAGCCTCACTCTGATGATAGCGTATAGTATTTAATACCAGTGTGAATGTTTTGAAAGAGGTTCAAAAACAGGAGAATTAAATGTTAAATGAAACTTTAGAGGTGAATGTGATAAAAGTGAGGCTTCAATTCTTGAGTGTTTAGGGGGGAAAATTAAGGTGCGGAATGAAAAAGAAATTATACCAGTTGATAATGAGTGGAAAAGTTGTAAATGAGAATAAAAGGACACAAAAATATATAAAATACGCGTAGAAAACAGTGAGTTTAAGAAGTCGAGACTACTTTTTCATACCGACCACTTAGCAGCAATTTAGAGGTCAGACAGATTAGTAGAGAAAACAAAGATTAAGCAGTTTTTTTTCTTGAAGAATTATTGAATTCAACTCCTCATTAGCATTAACAAGGAGATTTATCGATTTATTTTTATACTTGATACACTATTCCACCATCAAGGAGTTATTCAAATATTTATCCAAAATCATTCATATATTTTCCTGATATTGTTTCTTGTTTCTCAGTGTTGGAAGCATATCAAGCATGTAATAAATTTGTCGCGCGCCAACAAGAATGATGGCCAATATTTCCTGTCAATTGCGCATCGATCACGAGGATCAAAGCGAATATAAAAAGTTAGATGAACTTTTAATTGGAAAGACGATAAGATTTTACAGAGACAGGTAGAAAAAAGCTCTGCGATACAAAAAAAAATACGTTTCCAAGTTGAATGTAAACATTTTTATGAGACCTTTTCCCTCCTCGTGCGCGAATGTTCGTTCACAAAAACAAAGTATCGCACGTAAGAAGGAGTTGAGGAGACTTCTCCGAGCGCTCGAGATTATAGGGAGAATTTATGTGATTGAATAGCCAAACAGCTGAAGGTTGAGGGAAGAAAACCATAAGATAGTGACACATTTAGCTCAGTAACTAAGTAATTTTTCTAGAAACTCATACTAAGAGGGCATTTTAAACTTCAAACCTGTGGGTTTTCTGTGAAATTCTGTCTTCTTTTTTTTAAATTTTGTTGATTTTAATACCTTTCCAATAATGGTGGTGATAAAAGTAAAGCCATTTGTTCTTTATCACAGTTGTTTTATTATTATTTCATAGGAAAATTCGGTTCAATGTCAATATTTCGAGTGCTTGACAAGACAATGATCAATAAATTGTTACAACACCAGAAACAGACATCTAAATTGGTGAATGATCATTGCACTTTGCGGCTCAGAACAACACCTTTCGCTTGAATCGTCGCACAAAACGGTGAGATTGACCAGCGAAGCTCGTGTATTTTTCTCTTTCGCACTGTATGACATAATTAATTGGTCGTCTCGTTTTTATATCACACTCTCGCAGTTCGCGATACAGAAGAGTGAAAAATTAGGAGATTTATAGTGGGACGGTTGAAGTTTAAATCAGTCGCCGAGTGATTTTGCGTGCCTCAAGGTGTGTGAATGGTGCGTCGCAGACGAAATGCGTCTCAGAAAACGCGATTAGCGCTTTCTTGCAACATGCAGCTATTGTGCAAATATTGATAAAATGTGTGCTAAAAAGTAACAGGCAGCTTTGCCCGTGTGTGAGTGCAATTTCTCTCCGTTTTCTTTGACGCCACTTGGCAATATTGGAGCGTGTTCGGGGATCTCTTATCAGATTTCCTCCTCGTGCGGAAGAAGTGAGTCGCGCAGTGGATATTTTTGTGAAGGAGGAGAGAAATAATGTTTTTCTGCCTCAAGTGAAAATAGTGAAAAATCACAATTTTCCCTCCTCATTTTCTTCAATTATAAATTTTATATATCTATTTTTACGCCGTCCACTTTGCGAAGAGACTTTGTGCGACATGAGAATTGGGAGAATTAAGGTGTATATTTTTGTAAATCGACGCCACACATCAGCAAATGAAATCCTAGATGTGTAGACACGAGAGCGACTCTTTTCTCTCTGTCACTCTCCATACAAATTAAATTAATAATATCAAAGTGATAAGGTCAACGATCAGTTGGTGAATATTATTCCCATGCTCAATTCGAATTTTTGCGCTTTTCCCATCATCTTCAATTACAAATGCTGTGGACAAATGGAATTTGATGTTGAAGCACACAGATGTTCTTGAATTTCAACAAGCACACACAGCAGAAAAGCTTGACTGTAAATGGGAAAGCAATAAATATGAATTTATCGGATTAGTTCTCCAGTTGAAGTGTTGCTCTTCAGCATTTCAATGCTTCACACTTTTCCGCGGGAACTCCGTTCGGAATTCAGCACATTTTTCGTGATTAAATATGAAAAAAAGTCTTTTAAATTCATATATTAAATTTCTAAACTTTACACGCGAGTGAGTGGTCAAAACAGAGTTGTTTTTTCTTGGACAAAGAGAAAGAAAAGTGGGGAATTAATTAAGTTTCGTCATATATGAAGACACACCGCAAAATCGCACGAGTGAAAAGTCAAATTTTGACAAAGAAAACATAAATTGAAAATAAATTCGGCAGTAATTAAAGTGTGTGAAAAGAATATCTCTCGCTTTATTTATTCCCTAATTGGACGATGCTCGCGATTCATGTGACGATATCAGGAAGTCAGTGAGCGAGAATGAGAAGATGAGGCAAAGTGTGTAAAAAGTGTTGACTGAAGATTACTTGGAAGATCTTTTACTGGGAATTTATTAAAAACCTTTCACACCGCAAACATAGTGCATAAAAAGCATTACAATTAAATTGAGGAAGTTCAAAATCACCACAATATTAAATATTGTTGTCCTCTTACCAGTGTTTGTGGAGACATTGCATGTTTTTATACTTCACCATGAGAATGTATCGAGAAATGTGCAGTGAGAAGTAAACAACAAAAGTTGTGCATAACAGAGAGACATTCACGCCAAATCATGAACAACGTCCACAAGTTGATGATTCACGTGAAATTATTGGCAATTTTTGCAGTCTTTTGCGCCACTGCCTCTGCCAGTGGAGCCTCCGGTGAGAGGAGAACTGATCAGTTTGACTTCAGGTGCTTCCCACACACAGGTGAGTCCAATATCACACACATTTATCAGCCATGATCAGCCCCAAATCAAGCCACTGCCATTTACTCCCAAACTCCAGTAGATTCTCCAAAGCATGTTTTCATGATTGAATTAATTGCTGCTTGTTGTCCTCAATCGGACATCAGCATTTTGATGCACGACCACTCACTTCCGCCGACTTTTTCACGTCAATATGCATTCCCATTCTCCTCATCCAAATGCATTTTGCATTTTTCGGATGTAATCGCAAGAGAGTGGCTTCATAACAGCTAAGAAGCGAGAAGAATAATTATTTTGATAAGATAGATTGCACTGTGCCTCAGTTTATTGTAGCCCAATTCCTTTCGTGCAAAGAATTAGCTTATCTCAAACCGGTTTTTTTGGATACAAAAGAATTATTACTTGGTCGTAAATTAGTGAGTAATGATTTTGTAGAACTGTTTGTTTGCAGAGCTTTACTAACATTTTATTAGAAATCGCAATTAATTTCCTTGTGTGGAAATCACTTTTCATCGCATAGTTCTTCTGACTAAGTTCAATCAATCAATTCAATCCCAAATAGAGTCTGGCAAATTCTGAGTTGATTTTTAAAATACCAACCCCACAAGCTAAATAAAACAGATGCTTATACACATACCAAAAGTTTCATTTTGATAAATGGTAGAGTTTTACGCATTTGTCTCACAAATGTAAAAGAAAATCAGGTTTTTGTACCATTACTAATCAAAATAAATAATTTTTATTCCGTGTATTCCAGAAAACCTCATTTCCTTCACTCGCACTTTGTCAGAAATAAATTATATGAGAAATCTCTTTATTATCACTCGCTTTTCTTGCAATTTCTCAACCACTTTTAAACTTAATTGCCCCGATAAAAGTCTGAATATAATTTCTATTTACGCTTTTGGCAAAGATATGTTTTTTATCAAATTCACACTGAATATTTTAGTGTTGTTTTACTTTATTTTATTACTGTGAGAAATTTGATAGTATTTTAAGCAATTGTTGTCAATTTCTCGTATCTCTCCGGATGCCTTTCAGATCATGCAAAATACCCTCGATTTGCGTCATCAAACAGAGACCCAATTTCCCTCCAGGTCACATCGAGAGTCACACATCAGCTCTTGTCGCGCATCTTTGCCATCTTTCTGCGCGAAGTGCTCTACTATGATAATGTCAATCTCATTGATATGCCCAAATATGACGAGGAGAATGAGCATCATCGACTCTTCCTGAGTCTCATGCCGCTGTCTTCGCGTGTGGTCTGGCCAGAGCCCACGGTTGATGTGGAGGTTTGGATGCTGCCTGATTATCACATAATTCCGGATCAAGTGCGAGACGCCGGCGCTGTGACAAGTTCGGGACGCTTCGGTTGGTACATACCAAAGAGATTCATCAGCAATACCCAACCAATTACCTTCAGAGACTTCCAGTCACACAATCACACGCCGGAGAAATACACTTTTCACATGGATAGTGACGAATTGACGAAGATCTTACCGCTGGCTGAGTGAGTATTTTCCCTCATTCACAAATGGTCTCAATTACGCTATTTTCGCGCCTCTTTTGCACATTCGCTAGATAGACTTTAATTAAGATTCACATGTTAATTTATTATTTGTATCGAAAGACAAACAGTTGAACTGATAAAAAGAGGCACTTTTTTCTTATTTTTTTTATACTCCAATTACGCGCAAACACTTGCGGCAAAACCAAGTGCTGTTGGAGAAGCATTTTCATACAGCACTTTGAGCTAAATATTGTTGTAGTAAAATAAATAAGAGACATTTTCTGGGTTACTGAATCTCTAGAGATGATTTTGACCCTCATTTAGTGTTGTTTGCATATTATATGTATCAATTACCACTGAGTTTCTGTTACGGATTGATTTCTATATTGCACAAAAGTGACATAATAATCACTCCTCTGGGTGTGAATTGAAAGACCAGCCTCAGCTTTCACTGAATAAATTAAACCATTTCATTTGACAACTTCTTCGATACTCTGCTTTATTCGCAAAAATGTGCTCTTGGGCCAATTAAAATATCTCAATTCTTTCTAATGGCCTTGCGTGATCTTTACGAGCGCACTCTTGTTGACTCGCGTGTTGAAAGGACAGTTAAAAAAAATTAAACGCAAAAACAACATGTTTATCTATCTTGCAGGAATTACTGTGACTTCAACACAACCAAATGTTTTTACACTCCATCCTATTGTACGGAGAAAAATTGCTCAGTAATGTTGGCTCCCGAATTTTATGCAACTTCCTTCATCATTCACCACATTGAAGAGTTCAACTTCAACGTGAGAGTTCTATTTCTGGGGCACAATTTCTCCGAAGCCGTCAACACACTCTTGGCCAGTGGAAAATCCCGGTTCCTGATCCTGCATTGGACACCTTCTGATGTAATTGATGGCGGTTCTGAAGAGTTTGCTGATGTCGTCATGCCAAAGTGTGAGGACATGAAGAGCAGTTCTGTTACTGGATGCAAATATGAAATGACTCCTCTGCTCAAATTCTATGCACAGCAGCTTCATTCTGCAGACTATGCAATTGTAGCTCTCAACAAGTTCTTCTTCTCCAGAGATCAGCTTAAGAGTCTTCTCAGGGATTTCAGTGAAGTAAAGCAAACAATGGGAGGTGATATTTACAACCATGTGGCTTGCAATTGGCTTAAGAATCACGAAGAAGTGTACAGAAAGTGGGTCCCTGTGCGAGAGTCTAAAGAGAACATCTACATTGGAGGCATTTTCCCCATAACTCAAGCCAATTCCATTCACAAGTGTCTTCCTGACGCCTCTCGCCGGGCAGCAGATGATGTTAATGGCATGAGGGATATTCTGCCAAATCATCGATTAATAGTCCAACGTCAGGATGGACAGTGTCGCACAGATGCTGTGATGAAAGCCTTCATTAACTACTATATGCGCTGGGAAAGAGTAATTGGAATCCTCGGGCCAGCTTGCAGTGAAACTGTGGAACCCATTGCCGGGGTTTCCAAGCATTTCCGCATGGGAGTGATCAGTTACTCCGCTGAGGGTGTCTCTTTCACTGACCGAACCACCTATCCCTACTTCTTCCGCACAATCGGGGAAAACCGCCAGTTCCAGGGGGTCTATCTGAACCTCTTCCGTCACATGAAATGGCGTCGGGTGGCTGCAATTACTGTCGATGGGCAAAAGTACACAGGATACATTTCTCAGATGGAAACCATGCTTAAGGAGAATCACATCGAATTGGCCTTCAATAAGAAACTCTCGCATTCTCCCAGTGCTTCTAGTGTTCATCAAGTGCTGCAGGATCTCAAGTCATCCACTAGAATCCTCATAGCCGATGTTGATGATACTGTGGCCGAGATTCTACTCTGTGAAGCTTTTAAGCTCCACATGACAGCCAAAAACGGATATGTTTGGTTTCTGCCGGTGTGGTTGGAGAAGCGAAGGCTCTCTAGTGACTTAGACTGCTCAGAAAGGGACTTATTGGAGGCCTTCAATGGCCACTTCTCTCTGTCTTACGTACCTTATGGCAAGGATGACCAGAGGATTACCAGTCTCAACAGCACTGTCGGTCAATGGAGGGCTAATTTCCAGGACGTCTGCCCATCGAACGCGCCTTACAGCTACGTGGGATTCACTTATGATGCCGTTTGGGTTTACGCCAACGCTCTGGATAAGCTCATAAAAGAGAATTCAACGTATCTCAGCGATTTGCATTCGGAAGCCACCACTCAACGCTTCATGGAGATCATTTGGAGCACAGACTTCATGGGTGTTTCTGGTGAGTTCAACGGGAAAAATTTTGTGCGCTTATGTCTTCTAGTCGAAGTTGCTCAAATTTTTTTATGGTGTTTCGAGGGTAAACTCATCTCTAATTGATACAATTTCTCCTAATTTCCGTGTGACCTTGTTAATGATACCAAACATCTGTATTTGCTAAGCAATAATATTAGTTAATGTATCAGGGAATAAATTAGAGGCTCGTTTGCCACATATTGACTTTCAATTAAAGAAATTCATCTGAGTAAATATGCGAATTGATTAAGAATTCGGAGTATTTCCACTGATGAAAGGAAAGTTAATTTTCTCAGAGATACATAAATTAAGTAAGGTGCACGTGATGGAAAACGTCTGGATTTGAGAGTATAAAAATTGAAATACTATTTAAATTAATTTTTGTAGAATATTTGTCCAAGTTTCACGTACAAAGAGCCTACGTTAATTAAGACATTAAGGAAATAAATATATTGAGTTTATTAATTTCATCCTCCTCTCTAAATTATGAAGCAAATTTACACTTAAAGAAATTTGCAATTTACTTTGGAGACGATTGTGAGAATTTACGAGGAGCAAAAGAGCGTTTATCAAAAATTAAATTCAGCTAATTGCACAGCGTGAGAAGTGTAATTGTTACATTTAACTGCACTCCACGTCCATTCACAGTGAATGATTTTCAATGAAAGGAACTGCGCTGGAGGAGAAAATTGCTGTAATATCGCGAATAAGACGAAAAAAATGTGCAAAGTAATTGGTTGAAAGGTGCTTTTCTGGTTTTGTCTTTTCAGGCAGAGTCAAATTCTCCGATGGCGGCTCGCGATTTCTGTCCATCAACATCATCCAGTGGATCAACAACTCGTCACGTGTTGTCGGGGTGTCGAATCCCAATGTTTCGGCGGTGGAAGCTGAGTTCTTCCTCAACGAATCGGCAATCACTTGGCTCTCGCCACTGGGGAGACCAACGGACGGTGTGGTCTTCTGCGGACTTCACTTCCTGGTCGAAGCACTGAATTCCGACTGCGAAACCCTCAACATAATTGTCATTTCTGTGGCATGTCTCGTGATTATCATTTTGGTCTTCCTGGCGTCCTTCATCTTCTGGCGAAAGCAATACAACAAGAAGATGAAGCTCTCGGCGCGCTACATGCGGAGCTTCGGGATTGATTTCATGTCCACCGCCGGTGGACCGGATCCTGGAAATTCCCTGGACAAGTGGGAAGTGCCCAAAGAGCAGATTATTGTGAACAGAAAGCTGGGTGAAGGTGCTTTTGGCACTGTTTACGGCGGAGAGATGCTGATCTCAGAGAATAACTGGATTGCTGTGGCTGTAAAAACCCTGAAAAGCGGAAGCTCTGTCGAGGATCGGCTGGACTTTCTGTCTGAGGCAGAGGCAATGAAGAGGTTCGATCATGAGAATGTGATCAAATTGCTGGGCGTGTGTCTTAAATCCGAGCCAATCTACACTATTCTGGAGTTCATGCTCTACGGAGATCTCAAGACTTTCCTCCTGGCGAGGCGGCATTTGGTGAAGAATCGACAGAGTGACGAGTCTGATGTCTCCTCCAGACGACTCACCATGATGGCAATGGATGTGGCCAGAGCTCTCTCCTACTTGGCTAGCCAGAAATTTGTCCACAGAGACGTGGCGTGTCGGAATTGTCTCGTCAACGCTCAGAGAGTCGTGAAGCTTGCGGATTTTGGCATGGCCAGACCAACATTCGACAATGATTACTACAAATTTAACCGCAAGGGACTCCTGCCCATTCGTTGGATGTCTCCAGAGTCCCTTGGTCTGGGACTCTTCACGCCAGCCTCGGACATTTGGTCCTACGGGATTCTCCTCTATGAGATCCTGACTTGCGGCTCTTTCCCCTATCAAGGACTCAACAATATGCAAGTCCTGGAGCACGTGAAGGCTGGTAAAATCCTCAAGATTCCTCCAAGAGTGAAACCGCAGCTGCGACATCTCATGCACAAATGCTGGGTGTTGGACTACAAGAAGCGTCCCAGTGCGCCAGAAATTGTCGAGTACATCTCTAATCATCCGCGCCTCATTGTTCCCTGCCTGGACGTGCCCACATCATCCGTGGGCACCATGGAGCCCCAATCCTACATTGGAAGCACTCCTGGCAAGAAATCTGCCGACGTGATAGCTTTCAATGATTTCGGAACGCTCAACAGGCGGTTCAATAGACGATTTCGCAGTGTCAGAGGTCGCCTGAAGGGCAACAATCCAATTGAACCACTCTTGTCCATCCAAGAAGAGTCCCTCGAGTGCATCCCCAATGAATGCAATATGCGACGATATGTCTCCATGGACGAACTCACCAAATCTCGAGGGAACATCATCTCAAGTGATATCTAAATTGTAAACTCGAATTGTACCTCTTTTACTGGCACTGTTCACTGCAGAAGTACAATGTCACAAAAAAATTATTTCTATTTATATTCTTGTTGAATAAATGACCTCTTTTATTATTAAAATACAATTAATGATTTCTTATATGGTTAGAAAATTTCTGGTCGAATTCTCGTGTGAGATTACCTGCTTTATTTACGTCCGTATTGTAGCTTAAAGCACTAAGGCAGACCACGTGTGTTTTACCTTCTGGAGAATATTGGAATTTCGGCGAAAAGTCTGGGACCCTAATTGCTCTGTATTTTTCCAGGTAAGGACAGATCAGTCTGTTTCCACAGCCCTGGAATATACTGCAACACTTATCGTTGTTTTCTTACTTCACTAATTTATTTCGCAGCAATAAAGGGCAAGAGGAATGAAAAATGTAGCAAATGCAGCTTATTATTCTACAATAAACATTTTCATTCCAATCTCGTTCATTCCGCAAAATACCGTTAAATTAAAAGGCAGCGCTAATAGGCCTTTTTTGACAGCTTCATCGATTGGTCGAACTGACAGCATGTCCAGTTTTTCTTCTGCAGTCAGTGGCACAAGTGTTTTGTTCTGCGTCGTGAAAGAAAATTCCATTTTCCTGGAAAGAAATTCCTTTAGATCTCCAAATTCAACAGCAAAATGACTATCCTTACGTCCGGAGGCGAGAAGAAGAACGTAGAGGTGACGGTTGTGCCGCTTGTCGCTGAAAATGTAAGTGAAATTTGGTTGAACAGTCAACTATTGTTTTTGCTAAACGGAACATGAAGAGATGAAGAAAAATGGTCGGAAAAGTGATTTTATCACTTTTCACAAGATGAATTTATGAATATTTGATGATTTGGAGACTCCTTCTGCTTATCCAGTTTTCTTTAGCTAATTTGTTTCGTGCAGTGAAATGTGATTCATAAAAAATAATTGATTAGCTTTGCGAGTCAGGGCAATTTTGATAAGAAAAGTGTACATTTGTTTTATCTTTTCAACTTCTGTTTGTTTCGCATGTGGGCGTAATCGACGTGCAGGACAAGAACAAATCCAAGGAGTTTAGCAGCATCCATGTGCTGCGACAGGACTGCGAGTTCCGGCCACCGCGACCTCAGCCATGGGCAATGACAAAGATCTTCGCCATCGCCCTGATCATCATGTCACTGGGCATCCTGGGCGGAAACTTCCTCGCCCGCCACCTGGCCAGATCCCACGTCGACCGAATGCGCTTCCACGGCTTCTGTGGCGTGCCCTATGAGAGCGGACTCGTGGACAACAAGACCATGATGATGTTCAACAGCAAATTCCGCTTCACCGACGACGATCTGCCTCTGATCTCGCGCGCAATGTCTCTATTTGGGTAATTTCTCTCAATTCAATCCACCTATTGTTCGTTCTCATAGCATTTCTTTAGCCATAACAATTGCTTTGATTGCTCGGAAAGCAATCGCGCTCACAAATCGATAAGCTGTGTCGAATAGAGCCAATTATTTTGCATGCAGTTTGGGAGCATAAATTGACCTAATTGAATTAGTGAGTTTATTTGGCGATATAATGACAACAGAAAGTCGCAATGAAAATCAATTTGCTCTTGTGTGATTATCGTACGTGCCAAATAACGGACGATGAGATAAAAAAATGAGAAATTTGTGATGTATTAAAAGGCACTTCAGTGAGATCTAAAAACGATGATTTTACATAAAATTCTGTGCTGTTATATGGGAAATTATGTATGGGAAAACTGATTGCATCAGACTATGACATCACAACACTGCAAATGAATATCGATTATTTTTTACTTTTCATACCTTGACGTCATAAAATGGCCAAACAAAAGTGTCTATTTAAAAGTGGTTTCTATTTCTATATGGTTTTATCAGAGAATAACACAGTGCTAACATAATGAATTTGCTTGCACAGCAACAACCAGCCACTGAGTGAGAGAATTGACGATTTCCGCTATGACATTGAGGAGGAGGAGAAGCTGGCGCAGAAATTCTTGAAGGAGGAACTCGAGCTCGATCTCTCGGATGACGAGAGCTACGCGCGAATTGACGTGCCCGACTTCAAGAATGGGCGTCCTGGGCGCTTCCTGCACGACTTCAAGTTCAATCAGTCTGGCATCATTGACGCGGAGAATCGCCGATGCTTCATTATGCCGCTCGATCGCGAGGTTGTCCTGCCGCCCAAGTCAATGCGCGATCTCGTGGTGCGCATTTGGAACGGATACTATGACATTGACACGACTGTAATTCGCAAGGAGATGCGCGTGGTGATCCCGGAAATTGAGGATGTCTCAACAGTGGCGCCCACAATTTACAATGAGTGCAGGAATATGAAGATTTTCCGTCTGGAGAAGATTGAGCATAACATCGAGAAGCGCTCAGCTGAGCTCGATTCGCAAGATACATATGTTGAGTTCACTGGCAAGTTGTCCCAAGTGCGCCTGCACAATCTCGATGAGGTGAACAATTACATGCAAGCGGTGAATTAGAATTGTGAGGAGAATTATTAGAAATTACCACAAATAATCAAATAATGAGATAATAGTCTCTATAGTATAATCCCTCATTCCTCACGAAAATAATTGTGACTTTTCACCCAATAGATTGGCTATTTGACTCAAGATTTAAAAAGTAAAGCATATGTTTTGGTAGAATTGTTCTCTCAAGATGAATGAGGATTTTTAAGAACTTTGAACTGAAAAATTATCTTTATGATTTTGCTCAAGAAATTTCTGGTATCTCTTTAGATTTTATGGCAAAAACTGCTGAAAATTCGTGTAAAGCCCGCTGTGAATTTCCATGAGATCATGTGAATGATGTGTAATACCGATGAATACCAATAAATATGAGTCGACACTGAAGGGTTGACGTATAGGCTTTTCTGAACGTTCGACGGCAAGCGCATTCCTGAGTCACAGTTTGTGTTTTCAACGCGTGTGATACGCATTAGACGCTCTTATTTAGAGAAGTAACATACTGGAGAGTTTATTTTAATCACAGACAAGTAAGTAAGCATTCTACTAAGGCGTGAAACATCAAGGATTAGATGTACATTGAGAATTGCACGAGAAACGCTGCATTTCCCTGGACTAACCTCAAAATTTTATTGTCTGTTTTGCCAGCAAGAGAAATCATGTCGGAGAGCGTGGAAAATGACTCTGCTACCGGTGTGCAAGAGCAGAGTATTATTCGCCAGGTGGAGTACTACTTTGGGGACACAAATCTCGCCCGAGACAAATTCCTGCAAGAGCAAGTGGCCAAGGATCCGGATGGCTGGGTCACGCTGGCGGTTTTGCTGACATTCAAGCGCCTCGCGGCACTAACCACAGATCCTGATGTGGTGTGCAAGGCCCTGGACAAGTCAAGCACCGAGCCACGTGTTGTGGAGGTGAGTGATGATCGCTCGAAGCTGCGTCGCCATCCGGAGAATCCGCTGCCGGAGCAGAACGAGGAGACGCGCAAAGAGGTGCAGAGTCGTACAGTGTACGCTAAGGGGTTCCCGGTGGAGGAGACGACAATTGAGGAGCTTCTTGAGTTCTTTCAACCTTTCGAGAAGGTTGTTAACATTCAGATGCGCCGGCGTCCGGACAAGAAGGACGGCGAGACGGTGCACGTGTTTAAGGGCAGTTGCTTCGTGACATTCGCCACACGGGAGCAGGCGCAGGAGTTCATCGCCAAGGAGAAGGTGGAGTACAAGGAAGCAAATCTCATCCGGATGTTCAAGGCAGACTACCTGGAGAAGTCCAAGCTCGAGCATGCGGAGGAGAAGAAGAAAAAGAAGCAGCAGCAGCAGGAAGAGGAAGAGAGCCACTTCTCTCTGCCCAAAGGCACCCTCTTGCACATCACGGGCATCGGTGCGGAGTCCACAATTGAATCTGTGAAGGCAGCTTTCGCCAAGCTGGAGGCTGATGTGGCTTTTGTGGATTATCAGCGCGGCGAGAAGGAGGCAACCGTGCGTCTCAAAGTGGAGGATTCGGCAAAGACGGTGTTTGAGAAGTTGGAGGGTGGCAAGGTGACGCTGGATGGTGTGGAGGCGACTGCACGCGTGCTCGAGGGCGATGAGGAGAAGGAATTCCTGGCCAAGACCATCAAAGCTTTGGCGGAGCGTCGGAATTTGAAGAAGAACCGAGGCGGAAAGGCCAACAAAGGCTACGGCAAGTATCAGAACAACAGGAAGCGCGTCGCCACAGCCAATAATGATGATGAGCCACCGGCTAAGAAATGAAACTATTCGCTTCTTTTTGAAATACACATACATTTGATTTATTTCAATTGGGATTCACCACACTTGTCTGCACTTTCCGCGATGATCCATCAATTGGCCGTGAGGACAGTGTGAATGCAACACCTTGAACCTCTTCGGTAATTCATCGTCGCGCAACGCGTCGGAAATTTGCGAGTCAAAGGGCAATTCTTGTTTCAGGAGGATCGCCTTGAGGCGATTGAGGGATTTTCTGGCGCCTTCCTGGAAAGCATAATCAAGGGGTGAGTCTGTTTCTCTTCTCTGTGGGAAGAGCTCAATTTTCTCACCTCCTCGTGAAACTCCAATTCTGCAGAGTCTGAGAAAAACACACCATGATCATGTGCTTGGGATCGCGCAAGCACATCGAGAGTGCAAAAGAGGAGGATAATAGTCACTTTTGCCAGAAACATGGAGAGACAACTAATGAGTTTTTCACTAGAAAAGATCTTAAAGCAAGTTTGCTCGGAGGAAAACTGAAATTAAGTTGATTTTTGGGCCATTTATAAGGTTTGCACTCAGGGCGAATTAAGGAGAAAACCACAGCATTAATCATTTCTTTGATTACGCAGCCACAAAATCCTTTTCCACACTCACAAGTTCTTGTGGTTAAATATCAGCTTGCGTCGTTCAAAATTCTTTTTATGTTAATCTAAGATTAAGAGAAATGTTGTGTAAGAATCTCACCAAATAACTTGCGATGAGTGAATTTCCAAATTTCCGGTTTGCGAAAAACTCAAGGCGGAGAAGCGCGTTTCCAAAAAGTGGGAATATTTTATCGATTTCTTCAAGCATACAATTTCCATAAGAATGCTTCAATTAATCTTGACTCGCACTCGGATTTCATCTGATTTGTTTATCTTGGCAGAAAATCTTTATATATTTTTCATGCAAAAATAAAAAGGTGTACAAATTTTCTCATTCACCCCACAAATATACTTCACACACCTTTTCCTAGAGATATTTTGGTAGGTAAAAAAATGGAAGATTCTTATCACAATACGATGCTAATGCACTATTTCCCAAGGTATCCGAATGTGTTGGCAACTGGAAAGAAAAATGGGGCATTTTTTAGCACACTCCACAACGCTGAGTAAGAATATTAGAGATGTACCTTCGTATTCTTTGCTGTGGAACTGGAATAAGTCAGCCACGAGGGTTCCGTCCACTTCGGGGGCCGCTAAAGTGCCTCCGTAAGCGGGGCGCAAGCATTCCTGGCCCATGTATCCGGTCAGTGTCTTGAAGTCCTTGTTCAGGAAGTGAATCTGCAGTGGCAAATGAAGGTACTCTTGAGAATGCACTCTGCAGTTGAAGATCGCGATTGTTGCTGCGATTGGCATTGAGAACAGACTCTCGCGAGCGAGCGATCAATGCAGGCAGTTATCATTTATGGTGAATCTTAAGTGGTCGTGCAGCCTTCACACGATTGAGCTCAACACTCAACAAGTGTGACATAGACACAATTTTTATTCGCCACTCACAGCTCAAGCGTATTCTCTTAAGCTTAAGATGCACTCTTACTCACCCTCTTGCGCAGCTTCTCGTTGAGGAATGGCTTGAAGATGGCGAAGAGCATGTTGAAGATGTAGGAATTGTTGACAATGTGCACCTCTTTGAGACGAATACCGATGCACTCCTGCACCCAGTGGATGAGCATCGCCGCGAATGACGGATTGAATTGTGTCAGGTGCGAAAGAGTCAATCCTTCCATGTTGAGAATCACCACAACACCGTTCACCTGATCAAAATACCAATTAGCATTGCGACGTAGAACGCAAAAAGAGTCTTCTATCACCTGAGTTTTCGGTTCTGCCATCGCGGCTTCCAGGCAAATCTCCACAGTTCTGAACAGTTCATCCAGAGAGCACTCATTCAGCTTCCACTCTGTGAAAGTGAAGGTTAGTCATGAGGTTAATAATACACCTCTGAAACAGGTTGATCATAAATAGAGTAAAATAACTGGGAAATGTGTAATTCCGCTAGAAAATGCAGAAGAGGAAATTATGTTATAAAGATCAATTTTTCCTAATTGTTTCCAGCAAATTTACGGTTTAGGTGTCAAATTAAAAAATTGCTCTCATCCATTCTTTTCGAAGGTATTTTATACCTATCAATGCCAAAAGTCGAAAGGGGTTAAGCAAAACTTCTTGAAGATTTAATGACACCTATAAATGTATTGTTACAGACAACAGATTATAAAACGTTATCAATTTTTTTATTGACTCTTGAAATACGTAATTGAAGGTTTTGCCATGAAAATCATTTACTTTATGGTGTGATTCTTTGTGAAGACTGTCATAAAAATGCCTCAGTCTACTGAAAAATCCACTAATAAGTCTGGAGTACTTAAAGTTGTTGTGTAAACAACTTAAAACAATTCTAGTTAATATTTTCAAAATTGCATCTCTTGCGATAAACGTGCATCGCATTTCTTCTGTCGTTGCTCAACTTTGAGACGCTTGACACAATTGTGAGATGCGAAAAACTCGTTTATGCGGCAATTTTCTAAGATCATACTCTAGATCGCGGTCTGAGAACGGGCAAATGTACAGAATAACCGACTATTGGGCACACTTTCGCGGTGTTTAGCATAGATTTTTTATTCTCTGCGGTCGTACTGAACGGTCAGATCGGTCAGATGCTGTGCACTAATGCCCAATGACAGTGGTTTTTCCCTGCCTGGAAGTGTAGAATTAATGTATGCAATTGAGGAATACCCGATATTTCATTGTCTCTCAATAATAATGATCATCCCACCCAGTGAAATATACGCACGATGATCTCCACCTCGAGTAATGAGTAAGAGATCTCAACAATTCAAGGTTCTCGTCGCTTGTCTCACAGTAATACAAAATTGCATTGCTTTTTTTACTATCATTCAGTCTATATAATCATTTTCCAGCAATTAGTCTTGGTATTTTTTCCCATCATATTGTAGCAATTTCTCTACGTATTCTTAATGCAAATGATCTTGTTAAGTTCTCTTGGATATATGGGAGGATTTGCAATGAAAGGCTCTGCTTACTTTTAATTTCGAGTATGAGAATTCTGCAGCCATTCTTTGTGCGCAATGGGCTCAAGTAAATCACTTCCTTCTCGAAAACATGCCTCACACTTCGCGGCACGAGATCTTCGGCGTACTTTTTGTACTTGATCTTGAATCTGTAGTATTTCTTTACCTGAAAAAAAGAGAGTGAATGTTTTGATATTAATTGATATTGAATGACAAAGAGAGATAGAGAGAGAGAGGGAAGAATTCTTACTCTTTCGAAGGCACTTTCCGGATAGAATTTGCACGGTCTGAGAAATTTGATGAGGAATTCCTCTTCGGCTAAGGGAACGGTCAGATCTTTCTCCTCTGCAAATAGAGAAAAGAAACGATGTGAAATTGCTGTGGTTGATATATTTGGGCGTCTGTTTAATCCCCTTTCCATTTATAGATAAGCTATTAAAAACCCATTTCACAATACAACTGATTGACACAATAGAGATTGATAAATCTCCTCAATGGAGGAATGATTTGAATTTTAAATTTTGCAAACACACATGCAATTTTTCAATAAATTGGCGATTATATAAAAACTGACGTGTTAGTAGAGTTTATCAACATTGTTGCATTTATGCCGAATCGCTCATCCTCTTGCTGCTATTCTGCACTATCTGTGTTCCATATTCCGAACAAAAACCATCTAATCGCCAACAAAAGAGTGATTCAGTGACTTGAGGGCACGCGCTATCTCTGCGTTCAAAGTTAAATGACCACATCTTTCCTCAACAGCAATTGTCCATAAATTGCGAAGCATCCAAACCATTAAGACACATGGTCGCTTTATTGGTAATATTTCACGTGGCTGTCAAGGCTGGAAAGACCAGGAATTGTCCTCTCAATGTCGACTTAGCGACGCAACCTTACGCAAATCATTTTTTCTTGCCATTTCTTTTCAATGAACTCACAAACTCGCGCTGAAGTCCAGTTCTTTTGAATATTCAAAAGGGGAAAAAATTCTGCCTCATCTGTGCATTGACCAGATGAGAACACGAGTTGATTTTGGCGGATTTTCCTATGCAAATTCGATGGTGTGTGGGAAAAGGTCCACATTGAATCATTTTTGGTTGAACAGAGAAATAGTTGAAATGCAAATCGCAAGGTTGCACGCAGTCAAAATTGGGCATTTCGTTTCGAAGTGAATTAATGCGTCACTGCGTCAACATCGCATTTGTGAAAGATGTCCAAGAACTGTGCTTTTCAGTGCGCTACACTTTAACACTTAAAGTATCATTTGAATAGTGAAACACCTTGTCTGCCTCTGATGACCTTAAACGCGAGTCTTTCAGTCTGTTTTCATTTCAACCGCCTATACGACATTTTATATCATTGAAAATCAAACGGTCAGAGCTTTTCCAGTCGCGTTCCCGCGACGGAAGGGATAAACTTGAGTTTTTCTCAGCCTTTTTTTGTAAGATCTAGGTAAGATTGTTCTTCCACTTCTCATCTTTTTTACACCATCACTGAACTCTAATGCTGGCATTTTTTATCATTGGTATTTGTCTTTGGTGCTTGAGTGGTCATTTCCTCTTTATAGTTCATCATTTGACATTTTTACGAGCGAATTGTAATAATAAAGCTATTTTAGGAAAAGTAAAGTCACCTCAGAAGCTTGCTAAATTCATTAGAATGTCTTTTACGTATGCCTGCGTGCGATTTGCAGGAGGTGAAGCGAGTAGCGAATTTTTGGGAATACTACTGGACTCAGGAATCACATGAATTGAATTAGGTGATGTTTTTTGCTTTATGCTCTTTGTGTAGCTGCGCAAATTTGGTCACAGTTCGATGCTTCATCGCCACCAGTGTTTGTCCAAATGTTTACCAACTTCAAAATCCACACATTTTACGAATGTTGTCTCCACTCGATAAAGCGCGTACGTCTTGTGACGCTTTGGAAGCAATAGTCTTTAACTATTCTTCCCAGGTCAATTTGGTCAGAATTGTAATTATTTTACACACAACATTTAACGCCACTTACTCAACTATATGAGCGCGAAAAGTGGGACATTTCACAATATAATTGGCAATGCACTGAACAGAATTATTCTTTTTATAGAGGGACAATCAAAAGGTGTTGCTGTGTGTCACAAATGCATCACATTAATTTGACGGACATGCATTCTCACCTTCGAGCAACTGGCGCAATTCTGTGAAACTCTTCTGCTTCAACTCTTCCGTTTCGCGGAGTTCCACAAAGGCCTTCTCGCGGGTTTTTCCCTCGATCTCATCCTTCTCCAATCTCACGATGTATCCATCGCCCAGATCGATGTAGGGCAGCTTCTCTGCGTCGAACTTTAAAGACATCCTGCTGAGCGTTGTTCAACCACTTGGCACTTATGATTTCACAGAGAAAACGACTTCAATTCTCCAACCAGAACGCACAGAGTCGGAGAAAAGTGAGTTGGATTTTCGAGACTAGAAAGCTAACGCACTACAAAAGATTCCCTTCACTTGAGGCACACTCTTCTGTGCATCTGATCTCTAGGCAATCTCGACGAGGAATGATTCTGATGCGTGCACGTTTCCTCCGCGAAGTGAATTTCGATATCAACTCCACGAGCAACGCACACAACACCAAATCACACAACCACGCGCGCAGTTCTTCCCACAAATCGGGTAAACAGTCATGTTCCAGTGTGTAAAGCTTCGAGTGTTAATTTTTCTAATAGTATTTCTTTTTCAACACCACATCTCTTCATTCATTGTGTAGTTTTTTGTCAATCCATCTCGCTCTCGCTCACGCAAGTGATTCTAATTAAAAGTGTTGACAATTTCGTCAATGTTCACAGAAAGAGATTTCATCGATATCCATTGCGAAAGTGTAGCTGTTTATTTTTTGAGAGGAAGTCCATTTTACAAGTGCGATTCAGGAGGAAATTGCTGCTCCCACAGAAAATAAAATTATCACTTTTTTATGTTTTCCTACACACTGATTGATTTTGTGGTAGAAAGTGGAAGTAATTTGAGATGAAAAAGAGTGGTAAAATGATGTCAAGTAGTAAAAAATCATAATATGCTCTTAAATTTGAAAATGGTGTGGGCGCCGGAATGTAGGCAGAATTGTGACTGATAACTTTGAAATTTGAAGTGTGCGCGGAGACATTTTTCACGGCTGCGGCGGCTGATTTGAGTTTTTCAATCTACAGAGAAAAAAAATCCTTTCATATGCATTACTCTGCATTGTAATTCAATGAATAAAGTCTTTAATTTTATAATAGAAAGTCATAGAAAAATTCCGGTATTTACGAGCATGAAAATTTTCCACGTCTGCTGAAAAGCTCAACATTATTTCGGTGATGGGAAATTTAGGTGATAAATATTTTAAACTCGCGTGGCGGCAAAAATATTGCGCTAAAATTCTCACAACACACATTGTGACTGTTGTTTTTTGTATCATTTCAATTATCTTTACGTTTGTGTAGAGAAAATCAAGAAATAAAAGGTAAATAAACTCGGAAAATATCGTTCTCTGATTATACTTGTAGGGAGTGAATGTATATCAGCGATATCAGTAAAAAATTGTCACACATCAATACGAATGGCAATGAGACGAAACTGGTGAAACAATGTGTGGAAGAGCGACCATGAAGGCACACGAAATTTACATTACTTCGTCAGTGAATCATACCGTTTTGAACTCTAAAGGCGCAGTTGGTTCACCGCGCGTATTTCTTCCACTTTTCCCAAGAATTCAATGGATTTTAGAATTCTCTGATGGATACAAGTGAAAGGAAACAGTGAATGTTATCAATGTTTGGAGGCGAGATAACTTAAGCTCAGTTATCGCTCCAATGGGTTCTCTCGATACGCTATCAGTTGCAATTGGTGTGGTGACAGACGTTCCGGGTTTTGTGTGTCGCGGCGCCGGAAGATGTCTTTGCGTTTGCATAAGCTCAAGTGGCTCATTCTCACCCTGAGCGGCTTGACGTTCCTGTACCTTCTCTACTTCAACTTCTCCACCATCAATGACCACAAAGACTTCCACATTTATCTGCAGAAACTGAAGAGGATCAGCGCAGATCTCACGCGCAAAGGCTGGGATGATTCGACAGTGTCACAGTGGCAGCAGAGTTTGGAGATTCAGAGGAAAATCGAGTGGAAAACGTGCGATTTTAACAATGTTGTCGTGGGACTGCCCGGAGATTCCATCGATGACCATCTGTGGGAATATGCATCCCTTCTGGTGCTCAAGGAACGGTGGAAGAGTGACAAAAACGTGTCAATGGGAGTGTTTTTGGCGCCACAGACACGAAGAGCGCTTGTAGATATATTAGATGAAGTGCACATAGATTCTCTGGAGGTGAGTTATTCTCCGTGAAAGAACATTGAGAAGCTAGAAAAAGGTGCAGAATTAGTTAAGATAAGTTTTGCTTGAAACGAGTAAATTGGTTATCACAATTGGTATGAAAAACTTCTATATTCATCGAAGAATTCGCGTATTCTTCATCTGTAATTTTCATAAATTATGATATCAATCAGTAAAGAGTCCGATGTTATTTGCTGATAGGGTTGAAATTGATATCCTGAGAGATTTTAATAAAAGCAACTTAGCACCAAAATATTAAATAAATAATCAAATTAGCGGTGATTTTTTCCCCTTTCACACACAGACTTACCCGAGTGGCTGTTTGGATTTGAAGCACGCCAATATTCTGGGCCACGTGAACAGCGTGGAGGTGGAAAAGACAACAGTTGGAAAGCCACGGCTTTTCCTACTCGAGAAGGGCGCAAAACGATATAAAGAGCTATCTGTGACTGATCTCAGCCAAATCCGGAGCTACTTCGTGCTCAATGACGATTTACTGCAAGAGATGAAGCAGAGCGTCTTCGAATTGCGGGAATTTTTTAGCCGTCCTAATGACACTGACGATGTCTTCCTTGTGGGCCTGCATTTGGGCAACAATCGCATTCCGCATAAGGTGCCTGAAAACTTCTACCGAATGGCCATTCAGAGCGTCAAACTGTGGCACGAAGATGTCGGCGTGCTGGTCATCTGTCCAGGCGAGAAGATGAAGTTCTGCGAGAAGACTTTCGACACGGAGGACCCGGTTAAGATCATCCGATCTGGCGGGGATCAGGCGAAGGACTTCGCGCTGCTCACGCTCTGCGACGGGAACATCCTGCATAGTGATCTGGGCTTCCTGGCGGCGTTGCTCAATGACGGCGAGACCGTGGTTCACCAGTCACACCCTCCGGACAACGATCCAGCCGTTCACATGGCGCATTCCCGGCCAAGGTGGCTCACGCTGGAGAATTGAAACAACTTGGATTTTTAACAAATCTCTTCTCCTCATTGTTATCCATTTTTATCTCTTGTTGCTTGTGACACAATCCATCTTTTTGTTTCTCTCTCCCTCGCAAATTCACTCGCACACACTGTTTTTTTTTAATACATATATCAAATAAAATATAACATTGAAAATATCTCAATAGTACAACTAAAATTATACAGTGGAAATTACTAAATTAAAAAAAATGGGAGGAGATAAAGGAATTCATTTCTTTGTTCACACTAAAAATAATAATAAATCGTACGAAATTATAAATCTTATAAAAATGTTTCACAAAACCTCGTTCTCGCTTTCGCTTCACTAAATAAAGTACAAGATGTGAAAAAACAGGAAGAATTTTGAGTGTTCTTTTTTTCGGATTCTTGCGTGGGAGTCTCAGTTGCAGAGGGTGGAAAAGGGAGATTTTTCTTATTCGAGCCGAGCATTCAGATGATAATCCAGGAAAAAACCTTCTTTGCGTGTTTTGATGATTTCAAATTTCACAAAACTTTGCCATAAGAGAAAATACACGGAAAAGGAGAGTGAAGTAAGTCAGGAAAGAGTCGTGAGTGAAATGAAAAGGCGCGTATTTATGGTTTTTCTTCCTTTTTTCTTTCATAAGTTCATAATAATAGTAATAATAATCATAATAATGTTTATGTATATATTAATAATACACTAGGCTCTTTCCATTTTCATTTTCCTTCACTTTTTTCTTTATTTAATAATACATATTAATTAGTTCATTTACTTTATTTCTCATTACTTTTTTCTTTTTGTTCATTTTCAATGTTGCTTCTTTTTTTCTCTTTGTATTTTTTCTCAAATAAATTTTTTTCTCTTCTGTTTTCACCACCATTTTTTCCTTTTTTTTTACTGAGGAATAATGAGTCCTAAAGTACGTTGAGAAATTTTCTTTAAACGCTTGTTTTTCTTTTCCTTTCTTTTCCTTTTTTTAAATCTTTGTTTGCCTGGAGATGGAGTTCTTTTTTCTTGAGATAAGATTACGGTTTAATTATCATGATTGTGATTATTTTTCCTTTATTTACTAACACTGTTTAATTAGAGATTATTTTCTGTTTTTTTTCTTTTATTTTTAAATAGTAAATGTATGAGAGACTATTTTTTCACTTTTCTTCACTATAAGTCCGTATTTTTTCATAGTAATCCTTTTCTGCACCTTTTTCCATCAGAGGAATTTCTATTTCATGTTCACTTTGCTATTTTTCATTTTTTTTTAATGTTGTTTCTCAATTTTGTTCTGTGGATATCCTTGAAAAATCCGGGCGGAAAAACTCAATAGAATTGCTTTTCTTCATTTCTTGGTGTTTTTGTTTATGAAAAAAATTCACTTTAATTTTGGTTTTTGAATTTTTCAAAGTTTCTTCTCAGAATTGCTCTAACACTGTGGCTTTTATCTCAAACTTTCTAAATTTCTTCACGAAATTCAATGATCTTCTCACTTTATTCATCTTTTTTACAAATACTTAATGCCTATTTAAAAGGTTTTTCTCATTTACTTTACGTCATCAAAAGCATTATCTTTTATTTCAATAGTAAATTTTCTCTATTCAATATTATAAGTTTCTCTCACTTTTTTTCGTTGTTATTCCTTCTCTCAACTATTTTCTCTGTTTTTTTTTTAATTCTTCACTACCAATACTCGAGAGATGGATTGAAACAACAATGAATAAGTTCCATTTTTTTTTTCTTGAAAAATGCTTCAAATCAAATTGTTTTTAAAGTGGTCACAGCGTTTTTCGTCGGGTTTTTCAGTGAAAAATTAATAGTTTCTCTTCAAATAGTCCTGATATTTTTCTTTTTCCACTTTATCTCTAAAATGTACCTTTGAAACTCGTCAGCAGCGACACAAGTAAAATCAATGACTAGCAAAAGATGTGAATAAAAAGGACCTAAAATCAAAGGTGATTTAACTTTTCGTGGCTGACGAACAGAAAAAAAACTATTGATCTCTGTTAGCATTCCTTTGAGCAACTCTTTTTCCCCGAAAACCTTTCAACAAAGAAAAAAAAGCAAGAAACTAGAAAAGAAAAGAAAAAAAATCGTTCTGCAAATCATTGATAAAATGAATTGAAAAATGCCTCTTCGTGACACGTTTTGTTTCACGAATTTCAACACGCAGTTCCTTGACTCTAATATTGCTGTCCATGCTCGAGAAAGAAAACAACATATTTCACTCACATCCCTTTTCTTTTTTCCAAAACTGTGATAAAACAGTGACTATAAATTAAATAAGGACGCCTTCAAGTTCATAAACATTCCGTTGTGCCGTGAATTTCCAACGAAAAAGCAAACAATGGAAAGTCCGGAACTTCACGTGTTCTTATTTAGCTTTAGTCACTGCGCTTGAGAAATTTCTTCTTTGACTAATTTTGAAATTTTCCGAAATGTTTAGTTTTTGCTTTTTGTCACCTTCAAAATTCTGCACAGCACTTTGTTTCCATTATTCTTTTTATTTTCATTACAATTAACCTAATTCTTCAGGGTGGCGAAAAATTGGATGAATCAATGTGTGTGAAAAATACAAAAGAAAGGAGCAAAAGATTCGAATGAGTCTTGAGTTAAAACTCCCATTTTTTAACCTTCAAAGCGACTCTCTGATATTTTCTTCCCGTAATGCAAGTAAACTGTGGAAATAGGATGAATTTTCAGGCGAAAAAAAACCATGGAAAATCATGGAATACATCTTGCAAGTTTACGGAAAAGTCTTGTATAGGAAATCAGCATGCAATTCATCCTTAAAAACATTCTTCACTGTATTACATTCGTCAGATTCACGGACTATTGAACAAGTGTGATTGTTGGTTTTGTATCTAAAAATGAAAATCTTGATATCATAGGAATTGTTTTCCCCACTAAAAACTAATGCGCTCACACTCGTTTTCACAAAAATATCTACACAAGTTTTCTCTCTTTCGCACACCAATCGAATACATAATCATTTTTCCACTTGTAGCCATTCAATCAATATTTTGCTTTTCTTTCCCACTTTTTCACACCTTCCGCGCTCTAAAACGAAGAGTTTCTCTCACGTTAAATAGATTTCTCTCTTTTTGCATTATTACTTCTGTTTTTTCTTCCTTCCTCTCATTTCTTTCTCAATTAATTACATAATTATTTATATACTTTATACTCTCTTTTTTTTACTCATTTTCTTCTCATTGTTAATTTCTCTCCATTTTTTCATCTTTCTCTCTCTCTCTCTCTATAAATTGAAAAAAACTGTACCTATTTATATTGTAATATAATTTTTTTTATATATCGATTATTTTTCCTTATTACTTCACGTTCACATTTTTCACCATTTTTTGTTGTTGCTGAAATTACTGTTGCATCTTTTGTGTGTGTGTGTGTGTGTATTTTACCTTTTAGTTGATTCTCTCTCAACTTTCCATTTTTAAGAGACAATAATTACATACTTCTACTTAACCATTATAATTTTACACAGTGTAATATTGTGTGTTTGGAAATAAATAAATTATTCACAAGAATTAATAAATTTTAACTGTGAAATTTAAAACAACAACGTCTCTATGCGCTCACAGAAATATTCTCTTTCTTTTTCCTCCCTAAAACTGTATTTTATGCCATTGCGTTTTCTTTCATATTAAGAAACTTGCATCTCTTCTTTCTACACGCATCGCGATGCTCCATTACAACTCTCTCCTTCTCTCTCGTATAAAAACTATAGTAATAGTGTTGAGAGTCTACCCACGTTAGAATGCAATCTTGTCACCCAGCTTAACTCCTCACTATAGACACACTTTCTTCACCATTTATCATCTCATGAAATTCTTACATTATATTTTAACGTGATAATTTTTGTTGTCATTTAATATTACTTCCTTTTTACTTTTAATTTTAATATAAAGTCAAAAGAATTTGGCGTCAACTTGTGTTTTTTTTATTCTTTAAATATAGAGTCTATCATTTGTTCATTTCTCTCGGTTTTCTCTTCTCATCTATTCTTTTAATATCCCTTTCTTCATTTCCTTTGTCATTCCTCCGGGGCAAGCGCGACATGCTTTACAATCCAATGCAGCACACTTTTCCACGGCTCTCTTATCCACTCTCCTTCTCGCCCTTGTGTCTCTCTCATCTTCACACATTTAGCCACAAGATCCCCGCGTTCAAGACACACACTATACAGATTACTTTTTTTTTATCACAACCGGATTTCGTTTGTCCACCCAATTTTCTTCTTCATCATTCCCAACACTCTCTTCTCTCTTGCTGGCTGCAATTCACGTGGCACAAAATGTCACTCTCGCGCGCGCTTTTCACTGTGAGACACTGAGATTGCCGACGAAAGCAGACTAAGACGAGCTGGATTGGTTTAAATTGCCAAACATGCCTACGGAGAACGACGTCTGGCCGGGCTGCTGTGACGCCTGCGATCCCGATCCCGACTGCTGCTGCTGCTGCTGATTGGCTGCCTGATTGGCCGCCTGGTTGGCCTGCCGGCCATGCTTTGGCACCGGTGGTTGAAGATACTCATGCCTCGCCAGCGCGAACACATCCATCCTGTCCTCTTTCCTGTACGCCAGGCAACCGCGGATGAAACTCTGCGAGAGAAATCAACGTGAATCAGTCAATGCTAAGATATTTGCGAGGAAATTTAGTTTCAAAATGTCATAGCAAAAAATCTAATCTATTTGATGAGGGAATTGTATTTTACGTTGAGATTTTTTACTATTCGCAATGCCATTACTGTATCTGATTCTTAGCCATATTCCATAACTCTATCACCTGGTAAAACCACCCAGTGGCTTATCATGCTATCACGGTATGTTTGATAAGCGTGCGAAAAGGGAATGTAAAAAAAGTTCAGTGCATACCTTGGCCTCATTGGATACTGTGGGCTTGTTCGAGAATTGAACTTCAGTCGCCTTCAGGATGGTGTTCTCCTCGAGAATGGTCGCCTGGGACTGATTATGTCCAAATGGCTTCTTTCCATATAGACACTGATAGAATATCACACCAACACTCCACACATCGACTTTGGATGATATCTTCGGTGGATTCTTGCCAACGACAAAGCACTCCGGAGGCAGATACCTGCGCAAAAAACAGAGACTTAAACTCCGCGCGAAACTAAAATGCAGAAGAAGACTCACCAATACGTTCCTGCTCCTTGTGATGTCAAATCCATGCCATGATCAGGATTGTAGTTCTCTTCGTCCATGACTTTTGACAATCCAAAATCGGTGATCTTGATCTCCCCGCACACATTCCCTTCCGTCAGAAGGATATTTCCCGGCTTCAAATCATAGTGAATGACTGGAGGTTTGATTTCATTCAGATACTTCAGCGCTGAAACAACCTGGCGAACAGAAAAGCGCAACATTAGTCAAAACATTCATAGCTAAGCTTTCTTTTGGAGTTAACGCAACTTACCTGCATTATGATAGATCTTGCCTCCCTTTCGGGTATCGTTTTGTGCTGCTTCAGATAGAAGTCCAAATCGTGACCATCACAGTATTCCAATACAGTGCAAAAGGAGTTGGCATCTATTTCGAACACATCGTACAACTTCACGACTCGCGGATGATCCAGCGCTTTATGAATGTTGTATTCTCGCAGTGCATGCCTTGTAGGAGAGCAAAAATCAATTAGTTATCATCATCAATCTCACAGTGACGAGACACACAACAAAGAGGCATTTTAAACAAATCAATAGCAAGTGGGATGGTAAATGAAGATTAAGGATCACAGTCAAGGATCAGCGGAGACTTGGTTAAAGATGACGTGAAAGATATTGTCAAAGTTTTTACAAACATTTCCCACACGTGTGAGACAATTTTTAGTGGTTAAAACGTTTGATTTTGGTTCCCATGTCGATGGGGAGGAAGTCACTCACTTAATGTAATTAGCCTTCTTGTCTTCTTTCCAGTCTTTGTTCAGTTGGTGGACTTTGCAAGCCACATAGCGCTGCTCCTTGAGGTCAAATGCTTTATGCACCTCAGAGAAGCCACCCTTGCCGAGCAGCATGAGGAGTAGATACCGATCATTGAGCACCGGATGATTGTTGAAGCGTGACTGGAATTGTAGAATGGAGATGATTAGATTCTAAAATACTTTTCACTGCTTGATAAAAATTTCACCTGATCCTCGTTGTGAATTCGCTTCAGTTCGCGAATGTGCAGATTCCGTTCGCGTTCCAACTTCTCCATCTCGAGCTGCAGATCGGCGTCCTCCTTCTTGAGGGCATTCTGCCTTAACTTCAGTATTTCATCACATTCATAGTACTCCTGGAGTGTATAACCGCCAGACACAGGCTCTGGCTTCACAAATGTGGCATCGCTGCCATTGTGCAGTGTCGATGACGCCGACGATCCACTCCCTGAGCTATTTCCCGAGCTCACACCACTGCTGCTCGCTGATGACGTGGACGAGTTGTTCCTCTTCCGTCCACTCTCGGCATTCGATGGTCTCTTCTTCGTCAGCATCTTCTTCTGCCTGTCAATCTCTTCGCGCTCCGTGGAAATTTCCTCCTGCCGTCGCGCCAACTCCTGAAACGCATATCCATCCGTCCAATTCTCCTGGAACGTGGCGCCAACGCGTTGCGTCACAAATTGGCCCAATCGCAAGCGGTTCTGCATGCACTTCTGGCGCGCCTCCTTCTTCTCAATGTTGCTCTTCTCCTTCAGCAACTTCTTCACCACATCAATGCACTTGTTGATGTGCGACTTGTGCTGCTCTATCACCTTCAGCTGTGCCGATATCTGGCACTTGTGCTCGTCCGACTGCCGCGTCAGCTCGTCAATTTTGATTTTGCTCGACTCGAGGTCGGAGTCCCTCTCCTGGATGTCCTGCGACGACCAATCCGTCTGTGTGGCCTTCGACACTGTGGGCGGTGGACAGGGGGCTTGCTGCGCCGGTGGCGGACACTGAGGCAGGGATTGCAATGGCGACGGCGGGACAATCGTCGAGGCGGGCGCCTGACGCATCTTGAACATGTCCTGGACACCTCCGGTCAGGCTCGTCAGCGGCGGCTGCGGACTAGGCGGGAACATTGGGTAGCTCCCGTGCTGCGGCGACGGACTCTTGGCACCCGTGTGCTGCCGGTGCGGACTACTGCTCGGGTGCTTGCTGTGGAAGTAGTCATTTATCTTCTTGCTGTCCGCCAGCGGCAGAGTCATCCGCGGGCCCTTGCTGTTCGTCACCGACGGCGGTCCGCTCGTGACACCGCCATTCCCTCCGCCTCCTCCGCCCCCGCCAGGACCACCACCATTATCACATTCCGCTTTCCGCTTCCGCTTCCTCTCCGACGGCGTCCGGGGCAGCTTGTCCGGCGCCACTGTCCCCCCACCGCTTCCTCCACCACCACCAGACTCCAGCTCCTTGTCACTGTGAGACGATCCAGTGCTCATGTTTGAGTCCTGGTTATGTACTGTTGTCTGGCCACCTTGTTGCTGCACTATTGTCGTCTGCGGTGCCATCTGCAGTTGCGTGCCAGCGGACATCTGAAACCAAAGAGACGATGGGGATCAGATTAGTCAATTGCATCTCAGGCCTTACGATAATACATATAAAGAATCTTTCTGCCGTTTTGTCCCGCAAGCTTCAATCAACGCTAAGATGGCGACAGACGCAATAACTTTTGGTACAATTTGTGATCAATTCACATCTAAATTAAATTCAGTTTACAAAGTGTCTATTTTCCGAACACCAAATCATGATCTTTAAATTGACATCTCGGCTTGATCTCTTGCTCTTTATCTTGGTGCCAAAAGCGAGGCCATTTTTCCCATAGAGTTTTTTAACTAACATGGCTGACGCACACATAATGAGATTTGCGAGAAGGTGGCTTCGGAAGGAAAGATGAAAGACAACCACACATTGGTATGTTGCAATGGATACCTTTATGTACATTATAATCCCAAGGCAACACAAGAGAGTATGAATCAAAATCAGCAGCCAGCACTCGACCAACACATCGCAATGCCTCACCGTCCAACTTGAGATAAAATAGAGACACTTTCTATTCGCGAAATTTTGATACTCTCCGAAAACGGCATCGACGACAATGGCGACGAGGCTCCGATATAGTGAGGAGAGAACGTCGAGAATGAGGCGACACGGCGGAGGAGGAGAGTTGGGGCGGAAAATGGGTGAGTGAGAAAACAAGCAAAAAGGCCCCCCGAGAACACGAAAGACGATGGATGGGATGATTGTGTTTTATACGCAAATACAAACAAAATGGCGAATTACGAACAAGGTGGAAAAAAATGCCTCAACTATACTTCTTTCCTGTGCCAAGACTGTGCGCCTCTACACCTCTGAAAATTCACAGCTTCCACGGCTTTTGCTCCATTTTAAACATTACAGAAAACGATGAGAAGCAACCTTTTTATCTCCGCGTCTCTCAAGGTTTATTTCCTCCCTTTTATGGTCACCTTTTCGCAAGGCGAGCACACACAACTTCACAATAACATTCCCTCTGTTCTTCCCAACAACACAGCACATCCTCAGTGGCATCAAAGGACGATAGTCTCACGATAGCCATATTTAAATCCCACTCTGGTCAATGTGAGAAAATATACGAAAAAATTAGTCACACTGATACGAATCGCTAGATAATATTCTGGCACACACGAGCCACAAGAGTCGTTCACAATTTTTTCCTCCTCTCTTACTTGTGAGGGGATTTAATGCATGATGTGAGCACAAAATTGGAATATTGGCTATCTTTTTCCACAAGTGCGCGCATATACATAACATCTCTTATTAAATAAAAGCACACACAGCACGAAAAAAATCATCTCTCTTGCTTCTGCCCACATAATTCGGCCTCTTAACATCCTTCTCTAGCGCACACACAGTAGAGCACGAAAAAAGCGCTACACTCTCTGTGGCCAAAGAAGAAAAACAGAGGAAAAAGACACGCAATATCTCTTACGACTTTATTGAAGAATTTTATTTGCCATTTGACACAAAAGTACACGGAACTTATGTACAAAATATACTAAAGCCTCTCAAACATATACAGCATATTTTCATTCGATCCTCTCTCATCATCGTCTTTGCCATATTCTCCCTCTCTTTATCCACTATTCTCTCTCTCTCTCTCTCTGTGCTCGTCATATCTTCTGCTCTATCTCTCACACTCCATTACGCATTCCGCCGTATCAGCATTCATCATCTCACATCTCTTTCACACTCTGTCACTTTCCTCTCTTTACGCTTCCCCACCCGCTCGCCGCGCCTCCCCTCTCGACACATCCAGAGTTGTATCTAGGCTTCTAGGTGAAGAGACACGGGAATCAATATGGACCTAGGGTAATGTAGCCACTCTCAAGGATACTCTCCCACGCACACTCTCTCTGTCTCTCCCCTTCGGCACTTTCCCCACTTCTCCCGACATCTCCTGGCTCTTTGTCCGCCCTTAGCACTCGGCCCAAATCAACCCCGAAAACTTTTCAACAGAATCCAATGTCAATAACCTCGTAAATAGAGAAAAGAGCATTACATTCAATATATTCCCCCTATTTAACACTAACCCCCAACAATGCGCACAGGATCACTTCCTGGTGAGCCTGACAAAAATTCTATTGACACAACCTTCAAGAAAAAATCACGTACAGCGATAGTCTTATCAATCTGTCAATTCAGCCCTGTAAATAGAGAGCCAATTCTCTCTCGCATGTGCTTCCAACTCTCTGAGAGCCGTGCCGACTTGATGCATGCAGAGATTAAAGAAAGAAATCGTCATCAAGTCACACATAGACCGCGCACTCACACTCTGGCCAAAAGTTCACACATAACCAGACACTCAACACATTCTCACCCACTCATCCAGCGACCACGTGGGTTCGCTGATGCGCGCACACTCTCTCTCTCTCTCTCTCGCTCTCCCTCTCTCAGGCGCACTCTCTTATGTACTCTCCCGAAACTCTCAGATGTTGATACACACCGACAATCTGCTCCCACGAGAGCAATCTCTCACTCTCCGGTCAATGTAAATGTACATATATAATGGTTAATTGTGTGTCGCTCTCTTTCGGTCTCAATCTCTCGAATCGCAATGGGAAAACTCAGAGGAGATTCACAATAAAATGACGTCACGTACAAAATGGCTGACAAAAATCTCTTTAATATAAATCACCCAATGTCGATCAAAATTGCAAATTAGGCAATTACATATAGTTAATCTTCGAACACCCACCCACTTGTCAGGCAAATGTCACTTCTGACAGCAGTTTGACACACACGCAGCCAATAGCGATAAAAGATCTACAATTTGCTCTGAGCAAAGAGACATATTTTGAGCTAGGAAAAGCGAAGCAATTAACATGTCGTAAAAGTCTCCAATTCCGAGACAGTTTACACTGTCAATTGAATTCACGGGTGGCAAATGTGTAAAAACAGACCAACAACCGCAACTGACATATTTTTTACTCCTTTCTTCAATCATATTTTCCACCATGATGGAGATAAAATGCCACTTTTTTCTCTCTCTCCTCACCACAAACACCACGCCAAATAGCACACACACAAGTCTCCATATGAAGAGTGTGTAAGCGAGAGAATGCGAGATATAGTTAAGTGACACTCGGGTGGATTTTGTGTGATGCTTAGGAGAGAAATCTCGTTAGGAATTCCAATTTTGTCTCACAATGTATTCCAACCAACACTGAAAATAACTGAACTCTGCTCAGCATTTAATGCACACTTACTTTTTTCATCTATTAAAAGCCCATCCATCTCGCTCGCACCCATTCTCCAGATGCACATCTCAATGGATCTTTTTTTTCAGCAGTGTTTTGTATACCTCTGCTCTGCCTCAGTGTCCGAGATATAAAACGCCCAAGCAACCCAACATCGAACATCGCGTAGAAGCGCAACAAATACAGTTGAAGAGTGCGCGATTTTTTGTCCTCGCGGCACAAAACCTAATGAAATTACTGTCAGAAGAACAAAGGCATCATCCTGACTTACTAACCAGTGTTATGATTAATTAATAAGCGGTGATTTTTTTTCCATAGTCAACGCCCAACTGTTGGCTGAATTCCAGCCAGAGTTGTATGATTGAAAAGAAGGTAGGCATGACATCTCAATATTTTCAAAGAAAGAAATCACAAACTTTTCCACTCACTCATGACATATTTTCCTCACCCAATTAATATCTCAGCCCATTTCATAATGCGATCGAGTGAGAAAGGCTGCGCTTAGACAGAGAAACATACACAAATTACATTGTTATTGACTCAAATGTACCCCATTATGAGTTGTCCTCTTATCGCTCGAGAATTCTCTATTTAGTTACCGACCGAAAAACTGTCGATATAAATAGAAATATAGCAACAACACACAACATACATTGGCACACACTCAGCGAGGCAGTCAAACTCTCAACATGAATCAAACCGTAGGGAAAAAAAATTGTTTATATGGAGAATTTTTCCTTCTTTGTCTCCCCTCATCATCTCATTCAACCCTCCGCTCTTCATGAACCATCACAAAAACACCCAAACTATATTTCAGTTGAGAGATCTCCTCTCTTGTACTTGGAGAGTTCAGCCATAAACGTAACAATGTGTGAATCCTACAATATCACACGATCTCCGTCATGATGGTGATTTAGTGAGGCACTGAACAATCCAACAGAGGGGCTAATCACACTATAAATTCACATTCAATTTACCAGCCACAGTCAATTAATTATATCACAGATATGCATATTGAGATTCTCCGCTTGATTCTGGGCACTATTTGTTCAGTTCCTTGTTAGATTCTCAACGTCCTAATCTTGTTGAAAATAAATACAGGTCATTTGTCAATATTTCTGCATACAGCAATCACTGTTGACTTAAAGTGTTAATTGGTAAAGTCGGTAAAGCTCTTCTATACATATATACCAAAACCAGTGCATGTGGGCATTAATCCGATAGCACTGAATGACACTAATCTGCCAATAATTTAGGGTCAGTTATTCTCATAAACTTGTACAAAATATAGGATAAATACAAGCAAGTATGTGATTTAAAAGATCCATGTGGATCTTGAAGGTAGATTTCTGCAGCCAAAAATTGCTATATTCAGTGGGACACATCTTGAGACTCAGAGAAAAATCATCCATTTGCTATTGAGGACGTTACACTTCTTTGGCCGGCACAAGCATACGCAATCATCGCTTCACTATCGATTGGCAAGGTATTGAAAATGCAGAGGTTTGGAATTTCTGCTCTGCTCTCGAGAGCTTCGGTACAAAATTTCCGGGAATGAAGCACCTTTAATGCTGGAAGACACAACATCCCAGCATTGGCAGTCCTTTGGCAACATAGTGCGAGGGAGATGGACGAATGTGAGCAAGAGAGAGGCCAAGCGAATGCGTCAAAGAGCTCTGGTACAATTGGTTTTTGGAGTTGGTTCACATTCGTTGGTGTCACATACAAAATCGCTGGCAACTCGCTCCGTGTGCACAAGAAAGAGAGCAAGATATCGAGAATTCAGCGCCATGTAC